TCTGGTGCCAGCAAGGATACTCTGGTTGGAGGCTGACCAAGCAGATGTAAGACATACAGCATTCACAATTGAGGGAATAGCTTTGATGCCTGCATCACCGGCGGCAATAACAAAAGGACTTTGCGCCGCAGTCGAGCCATAACCGGAGAGACGGTGGTCTCCACTAGATACCAGCATACCTACGACCAAGACAGCTGCAAGGTAAAAGATAATGATTCGAGCAAAGACTCGTTTGCAGGCTTTCGGGATATTGTGACGCGGGTTCTTCGTTTCCGCGGCAGCCATGGCCAACGACTCGACGCCAGCGAAGGAGTACACTGCATTGGTCATGACAGCCCAGAAGCCGAGAAAGCGGCCCCAGGATCCGGTGGAGATGTATTCAACAAAAGGGCCCGGGTCTTTCCAATAGTGGAATCCTAGGCGCGGTTTGCCTGGTACTCCGCCCAGATCGATGACGAGACCCAGAATGACCACGAAAACGACCAGAAGGATCTTCAAAATAGCAAAGATAAACTCGACTTCGCCATAGACTCGAATGAATGAGATGGCAACCACGACAGACACGATGATAAGAATAGTCACCCAGACTGCGGCATTGACATCGGTATTCCAGTATTGGATCAAGGCCACGCTAGCACTGATCTCACTAGGCACGCTGATGAAACATCCATAAACAACGTTCCAACCAATAGCAAATGATAATGCCGGGTCGACCAGAAGCTCTGCATGCCGAACAAAAGAACCGGTTACCGGAAGTAAGGCGGAAACTTCACCTAGGGCGAATTGAATGGCGCAGACCACTGAGCCGACGAAAATATAGCCCAGAAGTGCTCCCAACGGGCCACCCGTGGCGATGGAGCCACCAAGACCAAGAAAAAGACCGGTTCCCTGTTTGGATATTAATTATTCGTCCTTGTAACCTGTTCTAAATCCACCTCTCTTAGAGGATAATGTGCTGCTACTTACAATTGCACCCGCAATCGCGATCATTTGAATATGCCGCTGCCCTAACCCTCGAACCAGGTTCTCTTGCTCGTGTTGAGAAACGATATGCCCATCGTTGGCACTTCCAGCCCTGAAAGACGGTAAATGCGTGGCTGGCGCCACATAGTCTTCAACATCGTGAGTGACATATTGAGTGGCCGATTTGTTGGAAATCTCCTGGTCCTCGTATATCCCAGCCATTTTTGCTGTCGCTTCTACCTGTCTGCCGCAGACCAGAGGATAGGGAAACAAAAAGCAAAGGAGCTGGTTCTTCCAAAGATCTTATTCTGCCAAGAGCTGCAGGAGACGAGCGAATCACACCATCTAAGTGGTGGATGAGGGAAGGCTAGTTGGGCTTATCGTGTGGTGCCGCCAAAAGTGGAGGCTTGAGCAATCTAAAATACGCCGCGTTCTTCAAAGGTGGTTAGAATTAGAAATTAGGGAGCTAAGGGTTGACTTTGCATATGTGTATTAAGGAATTTATTAATTTCAACTTTTATCCTTGCCGGACGCGTGTGAAAAAAAAAGGAAAATGGAAAGAAAAGCAAGTAGAAAAAGGAGTGTCTCACAAGAGCGGGCCATTCCATCGTCGCCTGAGCACAAAGTTTCGGGGCTCCCCGAGCTTCTACAGACGCGGAGTAGCCTAATTGGACTTGGCTTCTCTTGGTTGACTGAGTAGACCAATAAACAAGGATTTGGCCGCGTAATAGCTACTTTTTACCAATGCAAGAGCCCGATTCCAATCACTTTTAAACAGCAATAGAATTCATTGGGGAAGAATCCGAAAAAGATGCCGGCCTATTGGATGGAGAATCTGCACATCGGATTGTAGACAAATTAGGCAAGTCCAGCCAGTTTTGCGAAAGATCGAGCAAATCCTATGCCCAGATCACGAATTAATAAATTGCGAGGTTTTTCCTTGGTTTGCGAAGCTAAGTAAGATGGCGTTTCCACCACTCTTCCTTTCGAGTGAAGGATTCGTAAATGGCTTTCTGTCCAACCCACCCATGACCCTCACCCTCGAATTCCACAACTTCGGCGATCCGTCCTTGCTCCTGCATAGCAGAAGCCATCATGCGCGCCTGTGCCAATGGCACCACCATATCAGTCGTTCCCTGTAGTAGTAATAATGGTGCCTTCATATCCTGAGCATAATGGCATGGACTGCGCTCCTTGAGCACTCGTGCTCGATCTTCTGGTGCGGTCTTGCCCAGCAGAATGCGATCGACATCTTGACTCTCGAATTTGTACGAATCTGCCTGAAGGGCCCGCACATCGCTGATTCCGTAGGAGCTGATTCCCGCCGCCCAGACCTCAGGGTACATGTGTAGAGCCCGCAGAGTCAAGTATCCGCCCGCACTTTGGCCATAGATACCGACTCGGGCTTTATCAATCAATTTCTTCTCGGCAAGGTATTCAACGGCACTGACAGCGTCGGCCACGTCAACGATGCCCCAGTGGCCTGACAGTTTCTCGCGGTACTCGCGTCCAAACCCAGTCGATCCAGTGTAGTTAACTGCGCAAACGGCAAAACCGCGAGTAGTCCAGTATTGGGTTTCTAAGTTGAGGGCAGGGAAAGAGCATCCATTCGGTCCTCCGTGGACATACGTCAGAACTGGGGGAAGTTCGCTTCCATCTGCCTGGAATTCTGGGTTGCAAGGGGGAAAGAAGAACATATGAACTTCGCCGTCGGAGATGGGCCCGTATTTTTGAGGAGCAATATACTCCGTCGCTTGAGAAACGTATTCAGGTGCTAATTCAAAGGATGCGGTTGATGTGAGGACCGACTTTTCCACGTCAAGAGAGTGTCTGATCGATACAAGACCCAATTCCTGGGGTGATTTTGCTGAGGATGCAACAACCGCAAAGCTTGTTGGTGAGACACGGTAGATAGCATTTGCCCTGTGTCCGATATCCAGGTAGGGAAGGTTAAGATCTTGGACAGCCAGAGTATTAGTGTCGACGAGAATCATTCTACTGGAGCCATTCGTCACAGCTGTAGCAGCAATCGTCTTCTCATCAAGTATGAGATATGTAGAACTAGATAGATGTCAAAGATAATTTTGAAGAGAAATTAATGATCCAACATACCTTCCAAGTTCCCATTCGGCGATAGCGAACTCAGACTTTTCGAAGCCATTCAGTGATAGATATCGCAGATTCTGGTCCTTTGGGTTGAACGAGTATAACTGCCAAAAGCCCGTCCGATCACTGACGAAGTATAGCAATCCATCCACACCCCATTTAGGCTGGGCGATACTTTCTTGCTGCGCCTTTCCAGCAATACGTGTGACATTTGTCAATGATCCATCTGCCCATTCCGCCATATGAAGGACAGTTCCGGTCCATGGCATATCAGGATGAGTCCACTGAATCCAAGAAACGTACTTTCCAGATGCATCAAATTTGGGATGGGAATAGAAGTCGTCGCCTTGTGCGATTGTAGTCTCTTCCCCAGAATCGAGATTAATCGCCACCAGTGTGTTATGCACATGAGTTGCTTGGGTCTCGGGGGTGGCCTCTCGATGGTCCTCCTTAATTGCAATGATCCATTGAGAATGCTGCGGATGAGTGCTGAATTCAGCATACCGAATGCCCTGGACTGCCGGGTGAATAAGCTTGACTTGACTTGTGGCCGGGTCTAGCATGTAGATGCTACAAGAGCTCTCATCCGCGAACAAAATTTGCCCGTCTGGTCTCATTGAAATAGAGCCGCCGCCACATTCTTGTACGGTAGCATGGGCGCTGAACTCCTTGGGTAGAACATCCTTTGATTGACCATTGATATGCTCTACGATTGCGAAGCGGCCATCTTCGGTTGGATGACATTCCACCGAGTAAATGGCACCTGAATTTTCCTGTTCATTGTTAGTCACGGGAATAAATTGCGAAGCTTTTATGACGAACATTCACAGCCACTTCATGGAGAGAGATGCTACAAGTAGCCAAGCGTTCCGCTGTGAGAGGGCTCTTCCATTGGCCATAGGGCAAAGTTTGGGAAGAAGACATCGTTCCACTACAGTATAAACGGTGCAATGATCTGGTGAAACAAGATAGTCGAGAATTGAAGTAGAAAGAAGGTTTGCGAATCAATGATTTATCATGAAGAAGTCCTCGGTCCCGCAGTCTGCTTGGCAGGTGAAAATGACTCACTTGTCCCAAAGAGAATTGAGATGAGATAGATAAGTGGAGCTTTCTGCTGGCAAAGGCGTTCAATGATGTGGATACTCGGGGACGTCTCAGCATCCTGCAAGCGATTTGGCTTGCGAGATGGTAGTATGATGAAACTTATGGTGGCAGGGCGACGCAGGGACCTGCTAAGTGGCCGATCTGCCTAAGGCGGTACTCATACGGTACTTTGTCGGTTCGCTCGGAAACAAGCGTGTTTCAATCACCGCTTATGGTAGTCGATTAATCAGATTGTGGCTTGCAAATAAATAATCATCACAATGAAAATTATCCAGTTACCTAGGTATTTACAAAAGAATCCAACCTACAATGCTCCAAATTTTCTCTTTTGAGCTACAATACGGACGGCTTCACAACAATATCACGTGATTCGTTTACAGTAAGATGTATTTCTAGACCGACTACTTTGCATATGGTATCACACGATATGATAGCTTCACGTAATGTATGTCTCTGTCATTTTATGTTTCTGGTAAAAAGCTACCATCGAAGTGATTGAATTAAAAGTATTCTCACAACCCATCTCCACCTCTATGGCGTATAATAAAGAAAAGAGATGCCAGTAGGCGCCATGGCAGGGGAAATGCAGGAGACAAAGCAGGAGGGGAAGTAGCCATGGATAAAACCATAATCCAAGGATTTTTCAATATGGAGAACGGCAGCCATTCAAGTCATCTGCAAGAGAAAGAGCTTGGTGAATAGAAGAGCGCCGGTCCACTTTCTATGTATCCGGGGCGCCGCGCTATTTAAAATCAAGAAAAGAAATAACACCGGAGAATGCAGAGTAATGTGGAATGTCGAGGCCACTGGTTGCCAGTCCCACTTAGTTAATAAGGTGAGTACCTGGGTTGCCGTCTTTGTACTTGTCTTCTGACGGGGCCAACTGGTTGTTCTTCTTCAGAGTCGTCGTCGATGGTAATCGCATTTCCAAAAGTGACGCCTGTACTTCCTGCCGGCCGCCTACGTGGTGGTAGGGAACTCGAATCTGACGATTCGCTCTCCTCGGAGTCCTCAACCACGTTTTGGTAGCGTCGGCGCCCAGGGGCGGGATCGATTTCTGGGTTTTCTCCTTCATCAGTATCCTCGGTGTGAGTTGGAGACGATGGTGCGTCGTGATATGTGTCTCCATGTGAAACGGGTATTCCCCATGGTCCTCGGGGCTCCATGAGACGAATTTCATCCTCGTCCATATCATCCTCTTCCGCTTCTGCTTCCTCCTCTTCTTCAGAGTCGTCATCCCATACAAAGTTTGCAGTAGGACGACGATGAGGTCGTCGGACCACGCTGTCTTCTTCGTCCTCTTCCTCATCTTCATCTTCATCTTCGTCACTTATGATGGTTTCGTCAAGAATGATGGGTCTTCGTGAATTCCCAGTTTGCCAAGTAGGTGCCATCACTGTCGAGTTTTCAGACTGAGAGCCATCGTCTTCGCGGTCCACATGCTCCTCGTCGTCGATGAATGAATCTTGTTCATCGTACTCGTTCTCTTCGTCGATGTAGTGTTCGTCATATTCGCTCGGATCGGTAAGTATGACGCCGGGAGGTGGAGCATGTCCATACCCCATGGGCGGCCATGGAGCACCCGGATGGTAGAATGGAGGGAAGCCATCGTGCCACGCTATCCCAGAAGGATTTGGGGCTGCGAGGCCCCGCGGAAAAGAGCCTGGGAGCGCAAATGTTCCCCAAACCTCATCGTCATCCTCGATGTCCCCAAACCCGTCATCATTATCAACATCGGCTTCGTCGTCTATGATTGAGTCATGGTTTTCTGTGCCAGTTGGGTCTGAGTCTTCGTCCGTGTAGTCTGTTCCGTCCGAACCTCCCTGGTATTCATATCCGCAACCCGCGCAAATCTCCTCCTCATCAAGCTCCCAGCTGCATATTGGACAACGCATGACTCCATCATCCAGATCGACAACAGGTTGCAGAGGTGGTGGTCTTTCTTTGAACAGGCCTCTGAAAAGACCTCCGTGTTCCGCATCCATATTTGCTTTATCTTTATCCAGTCTCTCACATTCCTCTTCTCGATGTTTTAAGTGCTCTGCTGTAGTTTCTCCTTTATCGAGGAGTTCCGCGCGGCTCGTGAACATCTGTACCACTGTCCGTACCTGGAGATAGCAAATGACCGTTAGCGTTGTATAAGTACTACTAACACACCTCTAGTGGGTACATACTAGGTATGCCGGCGCAGGTTGTGTTTTGACGGGTGCTCGGCAATCTGGACATGTTCTTTTCGATTTTCCCCCGGCGAACCAGGAGTCCAAGCACTGTCGATGTTAGCAAAACCATTATCGGCAGAGAGCGGGCATGGATAGCACACCGAGTAGCAGAAAGTATGGCCGCAGGCAAGGGTGAAGGGCTCGTAGAGTGGACGGATGCAGATACCACATTGTAGTTGACTTCGGATATCATCGACATGACCCTGTAGAGTATTGACAAGCTATGGGCGCGTTAGCGATTGATCTTGGGACCTGGCAATGATCAGATGAAACCTACCCCAGATATCTCCGTCCCAGCATCGCTTCCACCCGCCATTTCGCAGGTTCGGAAGACAAATCTTATGCACGCACAATCAGCTTGACTGTCAAGGTAGCTCAAGCATAGATCAGATCGCGTTGACAACGCTATGGCGCGTGGCGCGAAACCCGTGAGATGCGGTGGGGTGAGAGGAAAAGTTTCCCAAAAGTGGCGAAGACCGTAGTTAAATGGGTACCATCGGACGAATACAACCAAAAGGCAGGTTAAATGAGCCTTAGTGTTGGCAGTTTAGGCTCGCGAAGCAGTATGATATGTTTTAACAATTCTCTCTGATCCTAGAAAGCTAACAGGAGAAACAAAGCAGCTGTAAATAATCAATTATTGGCCTCAGGCATTATATTATGTCATCGGTTCCTGGAAAGAGCATGTGACCTGCGTCATGGGAAGGTGTCCGCTTACTAGTTGTTCCCGTTCCTGCGTTTACTTTTCAATAAAATAATCATGAAAATCTTACTCCGGATTCTCTTGAATACTGTCAGTTACTGCCTTTATATTCATACTGCTACATCCAATCTCACGTACCACTCGGTCCAGCTTTGGGTGTTGAGTTCGAATAACCATACACCGACAACCTATACAGTGTGTACGGGGTACCGTACACCAACACCCGCACTCCTTGCGCCTAGGATAAGCCTTTCTTTTGCCAGTGGAATTTGGGCACTGCATGCTGTGAAATGTGATACATAAATTCACGTGATAATCAAAATACAGCGCAGATTCCACTGTCATATCATAATCTTCCAGAGACCCCCACTGTGCATTGCGGTATCAGTAACAACAATCTTTACTCCGTTAGGTTTGAGGATTGTACATTAAAATCGATAGGAATATATTCATATATTAATTAATTTTCGGCCCCGAATAAGGAAATAACCTCTTCCCTGCATACTACTGGCAATCATCATACCTGGAATCACAGTCCGCAGAAGGAAAGATAAGTGTCGCTAGCTGTCACGAATCACATGTTTGTTGCCTCGATGCCTTACCACATAAGCATTTGTCTGGTTATTCATAAGGATATTCTTCTCCTTCTTCCTCATGCTCAGTATTCTCGCCGAATGTAGCGAGAGGGCCCAGGGGTGACCACTGGGGAATATGTGTGTGAATGAGAAACTATTTAAACCAAAAGGATCTAGATATACAAGTGTAGACTGACTAAGCCTGTGATATGGGACAAACGCTCTAGCGTGCGTCCCAGGCCCCGGCAGGAAATCGCTAGATTTTAGCTGACAATTGCTTCGTCGTATCTTTATTTTCGTTACATCTTGATCTTCGTCGCATCTTGAACCTTATCGTATCTGAACTCTTTACACCAAGCTGCGGCTCCACGCCAAGACCGGATCCGCACTTCCTCGCGGAGCAAGATTGACATTCCGATCTCCAATCAATCCTCGGCATATCGTCAGCCTCCCTCAACAATTCATCCGTGTCTCCGCTTGTGGAGCTTTTGCCATTGCGTTGAAGACAATTTCCTCTCTTCCTCTGTTCTCGAGTCAGATCAAGGGCATCGAAACACCCGCAATCATGCCGGAAGGATCCACGCCCGAAGGAGGCCCCGAGAAGACCTGGAAGAAGGCAGAGCGCAAGTTTACACAGTGAGTATACGTTTCTTCTCTAGCCCCTCTGCATGGTGCCCCGAGCGAGTCATCACCCTCTCGCGTTATTACGTGGCAACGAGAGCTCCTAGAGAGCTCCGTGCCACGTTGCCATGCGGCACCGGCAAACTCCTAAAACAACTGACGTGTCTCTGTCCGCACAAATCCTCTCACCATGCCACTTCATTGATTCAAAGGCCAATAGAATACTGACTCTGTGGCTTTAGTAAGCCAGCGAGCGAATTCTATGACCCCTGTCAGGATTTCGCCGACCGGAGTCTAAAGTGCTTGAAGCGCAACAACTTTGAGCGCGAGATGTGTGGTGACTATTTCCAGTAGGTTCATTATTCTTGTTCAGTTTCGGGGTCTTGCCTCCTCGCTCAGGGTTACAGCCTCACAAATATTGATTCGGGTTCTTGTCTTTGCATTGATCCCCTGTCGTGCTCTTTATTGTCAAACCCCCCATACTGATCATTTGTGTATTTCCAGAGCGTATCGTGACTGCAAAAAGAACTGGGTTAGTCGACTCCTTCATCGAGCCTATCTTTTATCTGTATCCTCTACTCGGGGCTTGCTCCTGGTAGTTGGGGCATAATGTTCATAGATCTGGACATGGGAGACCCATCTCGCTAACCGAACAACAGTTAAATCAGAAGAAAGGAATCAACCAGTCCGACTAAGGCATGATCTTGGAGGTCTGGTCTGCGAGGACTATGAGTTATGGCCTGCAACCGCTGGGAAGAACCACGCAAGTCTGCTCATGCTTCGACATTATTCGCAATGCCTATACCTAGGTACCTCAATACCTTGGCTAGCACATTATATTTTCTGAGCGATCTTCTATGGCAAATTGTAGCCTTCAAGGCGTCCGAGGAACTTTCGAAGGGCCTTTTGTATAATATTGGGAAAATTTCTGTTTTGTTATCTTTATCATTAGTAGGGGTTTATTTCATCCAAATCGGCCCAACTTCCAGATGAACCTTGAAGTTCAACTCCAGGGCTAATACTGGTACTAGTAGAGTAGAACCATGCCCAGGTGGGTCGGAAGTATTCATAGATCGTACTAGTAGTATGAGTATCTGCACGACAGAACTTGAAGTTGACATATACTAGTATACTACCGTACTACCTATCTAGGTAGTAATATGGATTATCGTCATCAATTTCCAACGAATCCAAACAGCAAATATTATCTATATCCCCCTACCAGACAGCAAATTAGGAACCCATTTTAAAGTAGTAGTAGTAGTAGTAGTAGTAGTAGTAATAGTAGCTGTCGCTAATTACGGACGCGCTTCCCCCACCAACACACCGCCTTTGTGTGAATTGCTTCCCCGCCAAACCCGACGACGAAAAGCACCTGTACTCCCCCACGTTCAAGCTGATCTGCTGTGCCTCAGCACGGGAAACTGTCGTCTGTTGTGCTCATCCGGCTAATCATAGTCCTGTCAAAGCTTTGTCGCCATGGCGCCCGCCAATGACCAGGTGTTTTCCCGGCGCAATCACCAGATTCAAGATGCTATTGACGGGCAGAATCTGAAGCAAGCTTTGCAGCTGATTGAGAAGCGCATGAAGAAGGGCGAGGATACTCGTTTTTTAAAGGTGAGTCTCATGGTGTCCTGCTCGGCTCTAGACACAGCCACCTTGACACATGTGGTTAAGATCATATCCTCTAGGCATGGAAAGCACAAATCCTCCTCAGACATGCGGATGAAGCCCATCGTCAGCGCGGTACTACCGAGACTCTCGAGTTGTGCAATGCGGAGCCAGCTACAACCGACCTAGAAACGCTAGAAATTCTGTTTGAGTCGCTGCAGAGATTGGACGGATACCGGGATGTCAGAAATAGTCTCTGGGAAAGAGCAGCGAAAGCGAGCCCTCGCGACTTGAACATCCAGACAAAATGGTTCAACTTTGCCTATGAGAATTCCGATTGGAAGTCGGCGCAGAAGGTCAGTCTGAAGAAAGGATCTTAGCTTTGAAACTGTCGCTCAGAGGACTGACTAGTAGTGGATCTCTCCACCAGGCTGCTATGAGTCTCCAAAAGAACTTTCCCAAGAACCGGGCGTATTATTTCTGGGCCATATTCCTGACACACATGGTGGCAGTCGATGATGAAAGCTCCGAGGCGGAAAAGAAGCTATTCGGAACCTTATCATACCGCATGATCTCCAAGGCGGGGGCTGATGTTCCTGCCGAGCCGGTACGCTTAATTCATTGATCCTCGGCTTTGCAATACTAACATGAACTCCTTTCGTCCATTCTAGACAGATCTCCTGAGCCAACCTCGAGCCATCCAAAAACCAGAAGAGCTCCGTCTACTCATTGAAATCCTGACATCGCAGGGCCGCCATGAGGAAGCCTTACAAATACTAGACAGTGATAATCTTGGAATCCATTCTCGAATCGTTCGCGGGGACTCGACGTTCATCGGTCTCAAGATTGACAGTTTTTTGGGTGCAGGCAATCTGTGGGATGAGGCATTCACTTTCGTTCAGGGTCTTTTGACGGTCCCAAGCGATGATGAACGTGGCCGAAAGGAATTGCTAGAGCTTGACGACTGGCGTCTTTGGAACTTGTTGTACGAGGCAACTTCAAAGTCGACAAGACCTGGGTGAGTGTATGGAATTACACCAAAAATCCTGGCATTGAACTGACAATATATGACCCACCAGAATCGTCAAAGAAGCATTGCAACTGGTCGATCAGTTCCTCGAGCTCGCACCTAAATCTCGAAATGCTTGCTTAGCTCGTGCTGATATTGTCAACTGTGGTTCTGAGAAGAGTAGCGAGGACAAGCTTGCTGTTTGCCGACACTTCATTGATAACCATATTCATAAGCTCTATGCGTTCCAGGATATTCGAAGGCTTGTAGGACAGGACAAAGAGGGCATGGAGGAGATGCTCAAATATATCCGAGAAAACAAGGAAGGTGGCAAGGTGAGCTCCCGTGTCCAACCAAGCATCCCAATTCAAACTAAGTGTTTTCTAGACATTGGTGCCTGAAATCAACGCTCTCAAACTGGAATATTGTCTGTGTATCTCAGCCCCTGAGAACACACCTAAGGAAATCGTCGAAAAATTTGTGGCGCAATGCATGAAAGTCTATTATGGCTCTCGCCAAACCAAAACGGAATCGACAAAAAACGACTCTGCCACAATCGAGAGCCAGCCTAGAGATGACTTGTGCCTTCTCGCAGCTATGGCCATCCTACAGCCAGAAAGCACTGGAGAAAACCCGGCTCATGTTCCCGAGGCAGCTCTTGTTCGGGCCTCTGGGATTTTGGAGCATCTAATTCAAAGCTCACCACACAACTACCCTGCTCAACTCTTCCTGCTCCGAATCTACTCTCTTCTTGGGGCAGGCTCCATGGCATTGAGCATGTTCAGTAAAATGTCAATCAAACACATGCAATACGAATCCGTTGCTCATAATTTTTTCACCCGTCTTGCGAGCATCCACCCTCATTCTGCCCCTCCCATTGAAGGCGCAGAGTACAAAGATTTTGACCCCCAATCAGCATTGGTCGCAGGTCTCAAGTTTTATCGTGGCGCTGACCTTTCCACATCGAGATACCGAACAAATGGCCTGAACCAGGGCGCATACGTGCATACAAAAGAGCTCGTTGAACTTGGGCACCGTTTTTCAAAGAGCTTCTGCCGCAGAATGTATGCCCTTGACGTTCGTCGTGCCCAACGGCTAGTTGGAGGGGACTCCACCGCAATGTGGGATAAAATTGGTTAGTCAGGACGATGTCCCTCAAATACTTTTGCAAATTCTGACTTAAAATAGCTCGCAGTAGTTCTCCAGCTGTGGATCAACGTGACTCCTCGGTTTACATGAACTGCGAGTTCCCTGGCAAACTTGAATTCGAACAGCGGCTACGAGTAGGCCCAAAGCCGATGGTATGCTATCTATGATATCGATTATGTAGTAAAGACTTTAGCTGACTATAACGTTTAGACAAACTGGTTGACCGCGGCCCAGGTCACAGACCAACTGTTTAGCGTGTTGAAGGGCATCGCCGTCCAGCGGCCGTTGGCCCCGGAGATGGATCTGTCCGCCGCCAGTGCACCATCTGATACCGCAACGGATCAAACACCCATCGAGAAGGAAACAGCTTTGATTAACTGGGAGCTCCTCGGGGTAGCAACCTTTATGGCGGGCTCGAAGGATATTTCGTCCGAGGAAGTTGATAATGCACTTGGCAAGGTGGAGGATTGGCTAAACTTGAAAAAGAGTGACCTTACCCTTGATGACGAGAAGGTCTCCCCTCTGATCACAAGGACTGCTTTATATCTCCAACCTGCGGCACCAGCTGGTCCTACTTGGAGATATCTCCACTCCGTTTTCACGATTCTCGAGAGTCTCAAGGCAGCATCGCAGCTGATTTCTTTGGCCTCTCGCAAGGGATCGAAGACCACCATGCTGCCCAAGGAGCGCGTTGAGCGATTGTCTGCTTTGGTACCCGCAGTGTTTGAACTGATTCGTGCCAATACCCGCTCTCTGAAGTCGCATATTCTTGCGCCGGGTCTGCTTGGATTATTGGTTGACTCGATTTTGTATGGGAATGAGTCTGGCAAGTACGAGCAGGAGCTACAGGATACCCTCGAGAAGGGCTTGGATATGCCTAGCCTTGAAATTTCGTGTCACACATTGATGGAGAGCTGGTCAACGGCACTCGAAGGTGTTATGGCGGTGAAGTTGTGAGCGTGACTTGTATGTTGTTGAATGGTTGGTCTCATGTTGACAAATGAAGCATGGAAGAACTGGCATAGGCAGATATTACGATCCCAATGCTACTTGAGCTAATAGTTCGCGAAAGATTATTCCTGGTATTGTAACCCTATCCTATATTATATTAACACGGAGTATTTTCGTCAGTCTAAAGAAAAAAAGCGTGAAGATTGGGGAATTTTATTCTATCGAGACCCGAACTACTATACAAGCTTCACATTATCGAGACGTACACTAGACCTGGTTTGTAACGGGGATCCACAGCGGTCGATTAATATCACGTGATAAATGGCTATAAACAGCGGGCGGTCGGGCTTGCCCTAAGCCCTAACCCTTCGCCTACGGACCAACGCCCGCCAAGACTCCGATTGTGCGGTTCCGCAAAGACTAGGGGATTTCCACACGAGTGTCTTCATTCCCTTCCTACGACAACCACCGCCAACCCGTCCAGCCACCAACCGTCGAAATGGCCCAGGAACGCACCGGTATCATTGTTGGCACCAACAGTGGCCACGTACGTGCATCCTTTCTCTCCCCTACCGTCATCTCGTCACCCCGTCGTCTGGTCTTTTTCCGATCGAAGTTTTTTTTTCCCCGAGTCGATTCGAGCCGAGGGTTCTCCGTCAAACTATCGCCAGTCGATTCAACAGCCATCAAGTGAATCAGATAGGACCACCGCAGTGTGCCAGAGGTCAAGGAAAGAGGAGGAACGCAGCAACAATCGACGATAATTGCGGTGGAGCAAAATTTCAAGATTGATTAGACGAGCATGGAAAAAGGCAAAACATAACCATCGACATGAACCCCCCGGCTCAACCTCAACATGCGAATGAACAATACCGACCGCCAAAAGACCAGACAATGACAGACCGATGTGACGGCGAATGGATCTTAAATTTTCAGATGGACTGACTTTGCTCGCCTATAGAAAACCACTCCCCTCAACACCCCCAAGAACAAGATCAGCCGTACCAAGGGCCAGTCTTCTCGCCGCACTGCGTTCGTCCGTGAGGTTGCCCGTGAGGTCGTTGGCCTTGCCCCCTACGAGCGCCGCATCATTGAGCTCCTGAGAAACACCCAGGACAAGCGTGCCCGCAAGCTCGCTAAGAAGCGCGTACGTCTACTCTTCCCCGTCTTGATATCTGTGCCGGTCCAATTGGTTATTTGGAGGACGGTTTCTTTCGGATGTGCACAACGCAATGGACATGGGGAACTATCCGCTCGGTCTCAGTCAATATTTGAAATCGGAGCGGGCTGATCCACATGATTCCTGCGCTATGTCTACCTTCTCCAGAAGTCTTTCCACCACATGTTCCACATCCGAACCAGCAGCAGACAAGCATAACAATTTTCCAACGAATCCAAATACTAACATATCTGCTTAGCTCGGTACCTTCGTCCGCGGTAAGCGCAAGGTTGAGGACATGCAGCGCGTCATCGCTGAGGCCCGCCGTGTCCAGGGCCACTAAATGCTCCATTCCGTTTAAAACTTTTTTTCCAATTTTCGAATAACGACTCGAATACCTGGCGCGCGCAAGGGAACACGAATGAAAAAGAAAGCTTTCGCATATGCCTATTAGCGCATGGCCTTGCGGAATCGGAATACATGGGGTTTTTTGTGACTTCCGGTGGATGACGGGGATGGCAAAAGTGGGATCCCTTCCCTTTGACTAGGAAGCGAAACCATAATGAAAACTATTTTGTTCAATTCATTCATATCTTGCATGCTGCTCGTAGTTGCATTGGAGACTGCGCTCTCAGGGTCTGCTCCTCTTCCTATAGGGTTTGCCATGGCTTCTTCGCCGTGAGCTCTGGACGTGTCTCTCCAACTAGCATCCGGTCAATTTAAGAATACTCCTAGTTGAGGTCCATTTGACATGGTTCTTTCTACTCAGAAAATTGCTAGACTCTACCCCGGGCTTAGATATTTCTTCAATACATTCAGCTAGTACTGGCTTGCGGGTCTATCAATCAATACATTGAGAGGCCATCACTCGGTCACATGTCATTCAACATCGTGCACATCACTCATAGAAATGCCCAGCTCGTCCGAGTGGCTCATTTCTTTCCAGGTAGCTTCAGCCACTTAGGGACACCGCCGTTCTTCCGCAAACCGGAGGATTTTGTAGTTCCCCCAGATCCACTCGAATCCACGGCCATTGAGGATGAGGCTTCCGCCGCGGGCTCCTCCGCAATTTCTGGAGGCTGTTCCACCTTCATCTCACGGGCCTGGTCAAGAAGCTCGGGGCGTAGAAGATCTGTGCGGCGTTGTTGGGCGATCTCACTTGTAGCATCAGCCCAAGTGAAGTTGACAAGTACACGACCTGCCAGCCCCAAATCTTTGATCAAGCGCTGGTCAGACTCGGGTATGGCCTTCGAATGTCCAGGGCGCCCGAGTGTCGCATTGACGAATACGTTGAGACCAAACTTCTCGCCTTTGTATGCTGGACCCAGACAGCTACGGACGAATCCATAGAGCGACTTTCCAGTATCTGCAGGGCCGAATTTAGATACCACCTGGCTCTGGTCTGGGAAACGCACTTTCACGTTCACTTCGTGGATCTCTGAACGTCGTTTCTCCTCCGCGGTTGCCTTAGCTGCTAGCTCCGCATCGGTTAGAAGACGCTGGTTGCGAGAGGATTGATTCAGTTGTCGTTGATGGGCCTTTGCATGCTCCACCGAGGGAATGTAGTCTTCTTCGTTATATGGTATTTGGGCGGATGATGGTGTATCTGCCGATGGTGGAGAAAAGACAGTGATCGATCGGCCTGAGGCTGATGTTGACGTGGGTTGTACGGGAGGGGCATCTGGAAGCGATCCACCTTGGCCAGCTGAAGCGGGCGCAGCTGACTGGTTGGAGGTCTCAGGATGAGAAGATTCCGTGATATCTTCATTCTGTCCCTCTGCGACAGAGGGGAGAGATGGTTGGTTCGGAGTTGGGGCTGGGGTATCATCCCCGGATGCCTTGAAGTATTCGCCAATTTTAACCATCGCCTCTTCAATAGGTTCCTCCGTTCTTCGAAAGCTCAGTCTCATAAGGATGTTACCACTGTTGATTCCAAGTTGCGCAAGTGATTTTTGAAGGTCTGTAAAGCTGGACAGTTCGCGGTCCAAGATCTGAAGAACTGGGCTTTCATAGAACAAACGGGCAGAATCACCATCTCCAGCCGAAGCACTTGGCACTCCGCGCGCTGTAAGGTTTCTCATCGACGAATTCCCTGCCACGCCTGCTTCAAATTTGCGTAGTACTAGCCAAAGAGTTGTTGTGCTGGGGAATTTATCCAATATACGACCGTTGGGTGCCCCGCGGGCTTCGGACTCTGGGAGTTGGAGAGCGACTGTAACGACTGATGGCGACCGAGATAATTGTACAAGCTCAAGCTTCGCACCAGTACTTAGGCCAGTGAGACGAAAGGTCACAGACAGGTCCAGCTGTTTGCGATTGTGCCTGATCAAGATGAGATTGGTCAGTATTGGGGATGAACGGCTCATGAGGGACAGTGAAGAGGGTCTCTATTGGCTCACTTTAGTCCATACTGACTCGAGTTATATCCAAGCTTCCTGCATGCTTCTTGTAATATATCTGTCATCTGCTTGGAGGGGGTCGTCTTGACCGTTGCCCGCCTGGCCGTCGCGTCGATCACCACGACGTGGGCACTCATTATCGCACTGTATTGAGCTTGAGGCCTCAGAAACCTGGTATTAAAATGGGAATATAATGAGAAACAAAACGGGTAGAGCGAATTCGTGGGAATCGGAGAGGGTGAAAGTGTGGGGGGGGGTGAAATGGAACGAAAGAACGCAGTCGAAGAGACCGACCAAACAGGCAGCGGTGCGGCGTCATCCGAGCTGCTCTCGCGTCCTTCAGAGCTCCCCCGTCATCAACCTCACCTCCCCCCATCTCCACCCCCGACCTCCCTCCACCACCAGCCCTTATTTTCTAGCTCTTTCTTCTTTTTGAAGCTCTATTTCTTGACAGTCTCCCTGGATTGATCGAAAATAAACCTCAATAATGGTAGGGAAATCTGTCCCTGTCCCCGACTTTCACCGTGACCGCTCGACCTCAAGCTAACCATCTCCTTCCATCATCAGGGCTCCCCCTTCGACATCAGTACGACCGACCATCTCGCTGGATAAACAATCGTCCGATATACTGACTTCTACATAGATGGCGGTGCCTGCGTCGCCATGGTGGGCAAGGACTGTGTCGCTATCGCTTGCGACCTCCGCTTGGGCATGCAAGCCCTGACAGTTTCCAACAACTTCCCCAAGATCTTCAACTACGCGCCTTCAACTTATCTCGGCCTGACCGGTCTCGCCACCGATGTCAACACAGTTTCTGATCTGTTCCGCTATAAGGTGAACATGTATCGCCTGCGCGAGGAGCGCAACATCGCACCCCAGACCTTGGCCAACCTGGTCAGCTCATCGCTGTACGAGAAGCGTTTCGGTCCGTTCTTCATCAGTCCTGTGATTGCTGGTATCAACCAAACGACTGGAAAGCCGTTCATTTGCGGTTTCGACAGCATCGGCTGTATCGACTTGGCCAAGGACTTCATCGTGAGCGGAACAGCTAGCGAGCAGCTGTTCGGTACCTGCGAGGGTCTGTGGGAGCCGGATCTGGTATGTTCATTATGTTTTCGAGAGATTTTCCATTGAGTCTAACGTATATTTCCCTTTTAGTCTCCCGAGGATCTCTTCGAGACCATCTCCCAAGCACTCCTGGCTGCCGTGGACCGAGACGCCCTCTCCGGCTGGGGTGCCCAGGTTTATATCATAGAGAAGGACAAGGTGACCCAGCGGTTACTGAAGGGACGACAGGATTAAAGAAAGGATACACTGATGAAATTGGTTTCTTTGGGCTTTCTGCTGGTTTGAGGGCAGATTTCGGCGTCTGGTCTTCACTGAATGATGTGCCGTCGACGGCTAACCATGGTCAGAATACCGCAATCGTGACGCGAGAACAATCGACATTTGAAATTATGGGTTCATTTTGTAGCCATGTATTTCTCAATATTTCCATCATGATAATACAAGCCCCGTCATTCACATCATACTAGTGTCCATGTATTCGCTTTCATATTTTGAAATGCCTTTGCCCCTCCCCATACATCGCATCTTCGAATATCCAAGACTAATAGCCTTCCTTGCCTTGAACCGCGCCATAAGCCGGTCCTTCCTTTCCCATGAACTCCTTCACGTCACCCGCAAGTAATTCAGGAACCTCCCATGCAGCAAAGTGACCACCACGATCAAACTCCTTCTCCTTCACCACATTTCCAATGATATGGTACCAGGCCATCGGCCACATAACAAGCTCCTTGGGGAACTGTGCTACCGCAAATCGCACACTGGACGGTGCACATGCAGTCATGATATCGTCAAGCGATGTGTAATTGACAGCAACCCCTCCTCCTCCTCCTCCATTCTCCATCTTAGATACCGAGGAATCAATCTTTGGCGCCGAGGCCTCATAATAGATACGCGTGGAGGCTGTAGGTCCGGCCCGCGAGAAATAGTACACGCTTACCCAGGTCAAGATCTCCTCATCAGTCCAAGAATAGTTATCAGTCCACAAGTGCATCTTATCGTAGATCCAAGCCAGTAGTCCGATGGGACTATCACTTAGCCCATACCCAAGCGTCTGAGGTCGAGTTTCTTGCTGTTTCATGTACGCATTTCCACGCAGGAGATAGTCCATCGAGCGAGCAACCCATGCACGGTCTTTAGCGGAGAAGGGCACGCTCGCGAGGGACTGCAGAAACCGGACTGGACTTTTCCATGGGAATGGAGGTTTAACGGGAATGAAATTTAGATGAATGGCTTGGATGTGTCGGGCATAGTATTGAGCCATAGTACGGGCAATCATGCTACCCCAGTCGCCTCCTTGGATCACTTAATGGTGTTAGTTCAACACTGTTTTGAGGTACAGTTCGGAATGGGGAAGAGAGATACCGTATTCCTCGTAATCTAGTGCCATCATGACCTTGTGGAGAGCCTCGGCGTATTGGGCTAAGCCGAATCCTTTCTGTTTTCTGGTTAGACTCTGTTGAGTTGGGAGAACGATGTGGTTTATGAGGGCTCACCTGTTTCACGCCCTGAGAGAATCCAAAGTTCGGCAGCGAGGGTGCAATGACATCGAATACCGGCCCCTCGCCGTCTTTTGTGAGCAATGGGATTAACTTTGTTGCTTCTAGAAAGCTACCGGGCCCTGATATTGCGTGTATAGCAGATTAGCTAAGATATCCATGAATTTCCGATTCTCGAGTGGCAGGTGGTAACAAACATACATCCATGTATGAATAATAAAGGAATGGCATTTGGATTTCCACTTCGGTGGTGTAGAGTGTGAATATCTAATTCCCCGAATCCATCAACGGAGATGGTCACTGTGAACTGCTGTAGTTGCTCATTAAGCTTCCTTTCCTGCGCCGGCCAGTCAAAGGTATCGCGCCAGACAGTGGTCAGTCTCTTAATCTCTTGGAGCGGGACACCCATATCCCAATCGACAGCGTCAATTTCATCGGGAAAGGTGGTTTGGTCGAGTTTGTGATGTAGTTGATCAAGTTGTGCGTCTGGCACATTGATGGAGAAGGGGGTGATTTTGCTCATTTTCGGCGTCTCGGGGGTTTCTTGCTAACCGGGATCTTCTCTCTAGGGAGGGAAAATATTTTATAACATGAGTTAGTATAGTCTATGAAGTCATTGCATCTATGGATAGCACGGCGTGTAGCTTGCTCTTAAGGGTGTTTGGTGGGGCTTTGCCTCGGTTTCACAATCGGACCTTGCGGGGTATAAAGGGAATAAAGGGCGATTGATATCTAAAAATGATATTAGTAGTAGTGGGTACTATGAGTTGCATGTTGAATGGCGTCATGTTATATTATCTTCCAACGTTCACATAATTAGTCGGTTCCTTCAGGTCTTCCAAGGTTGAAGGGGACTTTTTACAGTCGGGGTCAGGTGCCCAGGTTAGTATAGTACCAAGCACACCACTGGCAGTGGGTCAAGTTCAAGTTCAAGTTCAAGTTCTTAGTACTACCTACCTAGGTACTAGGTATTAGTTAGTCCCAGGTGAATCATTCAGGGAGAGAAGAGAGAAAAGAAATTGAAATTTGAACTTTGGAGGTATTAAACTGTGGTGTCCAATAGTTAATACTACTAGTACACTAATATATACCTGGGTATCCCATCAACTCACCCTATCGGCAAACAGGATCTCGGAACCCAAGATATGTAGATGAGATAGACCCTGCGCCCGGTTAAGAACTCCGATTTGCCGACGCAGGAATTGGCATGATAGGCAGGCCAGATTCGAACCGTCCTGCATCTGGTGTATGCATATTTCGTATAGCACTAGAAATAAAATCAGATGGATCCAATGTCCGTGTGAGCAATCTCTGAGATCCTGATGGGGGGTAACCGAAAAAGCAAGCCAATAGGGTGTCAAGAACAAACGAGGCTGCAGGGGTTCATGTCTCCAACTCTGGGGCTTGGAAGCCGGGGCCATCCACTGGTACAGGGAGGAAGGGTACCTAAGTGTAACTAACTGTACCTAAGTGTGTAGGCGCTGAGGTGGTGTACTCGGTACACGCAGCCCTTATGCACGAGGGCCGGTCTAGATCGCCGATCGCGTGCAGGCCCCGTGTTTTTTTTCCCTGAGAGGGCTTTCTCAGCCCTTAGGGTCCTACCTTGTATTTCGTACTTTTAAGGTATTCTCTTCATCTATATCCCCATCACCTATTTCCCATCATATATTCCATCACCTTGTCTAGGTGGTGATCCCCATCACCACTTTTATTACCAGTGCCTGTCCTGACCCACGAACTCTCCTGTTTCAGCCTGGTTGTCTAGACCGCCCGGTGGCCCCATCGCTAGAGCCGGGAAATCCCCTCTCCCCCCCCCCCCCTGCTTCAGCTTCACCTTCGACAAGTTCGACCTTCAATCCCCTTTTTCGATCCTGCGGCGAGATCTAGCCATGGTGTTGGCCCTCTCCGACTACCTAACAAAGTGATCGTACCCCGAACCTCCTTCCGACACATGGACTATGTCCGACTCGCCCGAGTCCGATGTCTCTAACCCCGTTCACCCTCGACCCGCCATGTCCTTCCCCTCTTGCAAGTCCGAATGCATCGCCGATGGTCTCACCAATGTGCGCGATGATGGTGAAATGCAATATAATCAGCCTGGAAGCTGGAATGACCACCTCCAATCTGCCGCCATCGAACATCTGGTCACCCTCAAGCAGGGCCTGAGGACCTCCGACACCGAGCTGTTCTGGAAACGGCTCATGGAGGATATAACCTCCATCAGCAAGGCTCAATATGGCTTTGTTGCCCGTCGTGTTCATGGTGGTGAGCCGATGGCCGAGCTGGGTGGCCGACGACCCTCCCTCTTCGGTGCGGCTTTCTACTACAACGATGGCTACCAAAACGTCGGACTCCAGCGAGACCGCTATTTCGCCGGCGGGAATCCTCTGCTGCATATGGATCACGAAAGGCCGTGCCTGATCCCTGAAAACCTCAAATCCCTATCTTCCTTTGGCGATGACCAGTTGCCCTTTGGCGCGGAGGCGTATCTGGCCATCCCGCTTTTTTCCGCTGGCAAGTGCCGGGCGCACCTGGGCTTGATGTGGTCCAAAGAAGGACTCAAAAACCGGAATCTGTCATGGTCTTTTCTTGAAGTGCTCTTACATTCCCTGGAGGACCTGATCGTTCAGCATCTCTCCTTGGAAGAGACCGCCCCCGACCATGAGAAATCTGAGACTCCCGAGCTCCACTCTGCGACCGTCCAAGTTTCGCAGAATGGCCACCAACCCAACACCCCCGATTTCACCTCACAACCCCTTAAACCATACGCCCGCAGCTTATCACACGAGCTGCGAACCCCGATGCAAGGCGTCGTCGGTATGTTAGATGTCATGCATGCCACAGTGCGAGAGGCCATGGAGAGCAAGACTCCCGTGAAGTCGGGTGGCATCTTCCAAGCCCTCAAGGAAGGTATTGAGATGGTCCAAGATAGTGCCCGGCGTGCTGTCGAAGCGGCCGATAATGTAGTTCATGCTTATGATCTTAACATGCAAGTCCCCAAGACACCGCAGCGAGAGCATGAGAACGAGATTTTGATGGACCCCATCCCACCTGTGGACTTGACGGAAAGCCGACCGAGCGTCTTCATCGAAGGAAATAACATCGCTGTGAATCCGTACAAGCGACGCCGGAGTCTTCCTCTCGACATGTCCGCCCGGCCAGCCCGGAAACAGAGAACGCGAGCAGCATCTTCGCGGCAAGAGCTCTCACCCCGCAGTGAAGAAGTTAAAAACGCCGTCCACGAGAGCGACCAGATCGTCCATGCTACCCCCGCCACTCAGATAGAAGCAGTTATGGCCAACATGGTTGATCCACCACCGTCCATTGCTGTCCGACGTTCAGCGCCCCATCTGCTCCTTGAAGGCATTAATGTTAATAGGAGTTCAGCCCTGCGTTTCACCAAATTGCGAGATCTTCTACGCCTGGTCATCAACGAATCACTTCACGTTGGTGGTCGGCCTGATTCAGCAGTCAGTCACGCGACCGAGTTTGGCGAGAAAATCGAGATTCGATCTCGATCCTCGAACGGCTTGATCTTTACTAAAACTGTGGATTGGTCTGTTGACCCCGCGTTACCCGACACCCTTCTTGCCGATGACCGGGATTTGGCCAAACTTATTTCTTGCGTTTTTCTGAATGCCATCAAATTCACAAACAACGGCACAATTGCTGTGTGTGCGACTGTCGATCAGAAGAAGAATGACGTTCTGATTAGCGTGAGTGATACTGGGCCTGGAATTCCGGCCGCCTTTCTGCCCAATCTCTTCAAGCCCTTTGCTCGAGAGGATGCCTCGACCACCCGCAGCAAAGATGGATTGGGGCTTGGTCTTCTGGTGGCCAAGGGTCTTTCAAGAAAGATGGGAGGTGATCTGATCTGTGTACGGTCATCGACAACCGGGCCCAATCATGGTTCGGTGTTCCAGATCCGAGTCCCCGTGAACCAACGCGAGGCCTGCAACCGTCCTGGAACACCGAATGAGAGGATGATGACCCCGCCCACAGTTACTGATCACTCTCGACATGGAAGCGCCAGCAGCTTCGTCTGGGAAGCTCAGTCCTCATCCTCGATGTCTCCCTCCGTCATTCAAAATCACCAGCTGCAACAGCCGACACCAAGTACTGGCGATGGTCATTCATCTCAGAGCCCTACTCCCCCACGGCCGACAGAGTTTCAAACCGCTCGCAGACAAATTTCTGGTGACACGTACGACAACAAGCTAGGGGAGAAGCATCCCCTGCGTTTTCTCGTGGCAGAGGACAATCGTATCAATCGACGTGTGTTGGTGAATATGCTCCGCAAACTCGGTTATCGCGATGTACTTGAGGCCGCAGATGGCAGGGAGGCTGTTCAAATCGTCCAAGATATTCTCTCTACCTCAGGCTCAGCCCCAACTTCAGCAGAAACTAGCCCCGTCGAGACCAATATGCCTGCCCCGCCAGTTGTAGCGGAGATCAAGCCGATCGATGTAGTGTTGATGGATCTTTGGATGCCCGAAATGGATGGTTATGAGGCAACATCTCGAATTTTACAGATGGTAACCGATCACCACGCCAAATCTGCTCTCTCTGTTGATGGATTACAACCTGTGACCACCACCGAGAGCCCTGACACCATGGAAATGGATCCTCCCATAAGTGTGATACATACTCCACGACCTCCTACCGTTCTTGCTGTGAGCGCCGACGTCACCGATGAGGCGCTGAACCGCGCTTCAAGAGTGGGAATCAAAGGCTACATGACAAAACCATACAAACTTACCGATCTTGAAAGGCTCATCAAGGGATTCTGCGGTGGTCCAAGTGATCCTACTGCTGGAGCTAGGAATCCGTTTTGATGGGAAGCATTGTTTTTTTTTTTTGATAAACTCTTGAGAAGGATCTTTGGCAAAAAATCTGCCATATACCCTCGGAGGCCTTTTGCCATTGCATGGCCCGCGTTGCTTTTTTGCGTTATCTGTCTAGGTTACCCAAGAGGTCTACCGTGCATCTTGAGACGACCCTCGCCATGGTTTGGCAAGGGGGAAATCTTGTCATTGTTCATCTTGGCGTGTTTTGATTTTGGCCAACCCTTTTTCGTTCTCTCACATGCCATATACCACATTGGGCATTTTCACCTTTACGCATTTTTATTATCTGTTGCCCTGGGCATAATGATTGATGACCCAAACCCAACCCCCACCCCTTCTGCCTCGAAACTTCCCTGGGCAAGGCACTTTTTTCTGATATATCGCTCAAGGAATATCTTCCGTCCTTCACGACGTTCTACACTTACGACGTACAAAGTACAGCTAGCTGAATGAAAAAAAAGAATAAAAAATAAAATCTGTCATTACATCCATTATCAAAATCAACATCGCTCTGACCATGCGGTTCTAGACATGCTACAACCTCCCTATTTTTAAGTGTAACGTCACGTAAACCCCATGCTCCATGGACAGAAACGCCCCGGTCAGAACAGATCAGAGCAAAGCATCTATCCAGCAGCACCGCTGTCTTTCCCCCAAAAAAGGAAAAGAAAGAGAGAAAAAAAAGAATCAAATGTCTCATATAAGGACCGATGATCTGATCAATATTTGCGTAACTGGTCGTGTGCGGCACAACAAGAACTGGAAACAAGATGCAAGTTGTAGTTTAAAGAAAAGGGCTTAAAACACATTCAGAATGAGGGGAAAAAAACAACTGCCAATCCAGGCTCCGCATTAAGTCAGCTTCTGCTTGATGAAGAAAGACCGCAGATGCGAGAGCTGCCAGGCGCAGGCGGCGGACAGGACGGCGAGTTGCATTAGAGTCCAGCGCACGACACGGCCGTTGGTAGTCTCGGACTGATCACGGAACTCGGCCTCGCGTTCCTGGTAGAGAATTTCATTAGCATCGCGATTGAATGGAAGACGAAGCCCGTAGTCCAGAAGTAATGGCGCATAGCCAAACACAAATTTAAATAGAGGGGAGGGCAAGGAAATCACTTACCCGCTGGTACACCTGCTCCCGACGGATATCGTGCAGTCGGCTGTTCAGATCCTTCACGCGCTGCACAATATCCTTGATCTTATCCTTGTCCTCGGTCTCAATCTTGCTCGTCTCGCCAATGGCCATGTCGAGGGTAATGCGGACAGCACCCTGGCTGTTGGACAACCAGCTGGTTGTCGCGACCTCGGTGTCGGCCATGAAGCAGATACGGTGTTGGCCGGCGTCAGCGGCGGAGAAGGTGAAGCGGCCGGAGTGGTTCTCGCGCTTGTTTACGACGCGGTGGTCATTGTCGAAGGTCTCTTCCACGGTGATCTGGACCTTGAGGTTGTGGTCGACGGCGAAGACGCCGGTGTTGGGGTTGATGACCTGGGTGTCGAACTTGCCTGTTCATTGAAAGTAAAGATATTAGTCAATCTTTCCGACTGTTCTGAAGACATTGAGAAGAAGCGAAATGGTCTATCGTACCGGCTACTAGGGTGTCCTTAGGTAGGTCCTCGAAGAAGCACTTTGGTTGGCGGCCATCGACGTAGAAGTACAGGGCGTTGGCGGGGATGAGCATGGAGAAGAAGGAGAAGAGGGCCAGAGCAGCTGTGAGCCATGACGGCGAAGCCTGGAAAGCCATGGCTGAGATTGGATCAATTGGAGTTGACTTGGGGAATAATACAATCGACCCTTCCAATACTCCTGACGATGCCAGATGGTCAAGTCAAGTCAACACGCGGGTCCCCTCCACCGCCTGCTGGTTTCGGCCGTCTCCCTTGCCCGGCCGCGCCTTGATTTTCATCGCGACGGCGACCTCGTCTCCCCTTTCATCTAAGATACCCCTCAAGAAATCGAAGTCTATTTTTACCTTCTCCCTCCAATCTATACTCCGACTCTACGATTGTCTGTCGTGAGTCTGACGAGACATCATCTTCGCCATGGCGGCCGCTGCCGATGTTCGTGATATGCTGGATCTGCCGGCTGAGAGCCAGCCCAGACCTCACAAGAAGCAAAAAGTGGTTGAGAAGCGACCGGGTATGTATCCAAAAGTTTCGTGGTTGTCCCTAAGCGACTCATAGCTGACCCCTGTGGCAGAGGGTATCACCCGTGAACTTTACGCGTTGCTGGGAGAGCGGGCACCGCCGATTGCGATCAGCGAGAACAAATATAAGGGCCGTCCAAAGCTGCTGAACAAACTACGTGTGCGACCATGGCGCATGTCGCCTTTCACCAATGGAGCCCGAGCAGATGGCTTGGTTCTAAACCACTGGCAAAGAAAGCATGAGGGCGCGCGACAACCCGCTCCGGAGGGGACACAGATGGATGTGGATGTGGACGGAACGAAAGAAGAGGGCAAGGAGGAGACTAAGCCCTTGGAACAAGAGTACACATTCGCCAAGTACAATGTCAAGGCACAGCTGCCGCGCCGATACACAGACGACGAATACAGCCGACATCTCCGCAATAACGAGTGGACACGCGAGGAGACGGACTATCTGATGGACCTAGTCAATGAGTTCGACCTCCGTTGGATACTCATCGCCGACCGGTACGAATATCAACCGCGAATGGACACCGAACCCGAAGGCAACGCCATCGTTCCCGCAAAGACCGTCCGAACAATGGAGCACATGAAAGCACGGTACTACTTCATCGCCGCAACAATGCTAGCAATCGAGCACCCACCGTCCGAAATGTCCGAAGCCGAATTCGAATGGCACGAGAAGATGCTCAAGTTCGACCCGAACCGCGAACGAGACCGCAAGGAACTCGCCGCCCTCCAACTCAACCGCACCGCCGACGAAGTCCGCGAAGAAGCAATGCTGCTAGAAGAACTCAAGCGCATCACAAGCAACGAACAGAGCTTCATATCCGAGCGCCGCGAACTCTACTCCCGCCTCGAAGTCCCCGTCAGCGTCGGAAACACCGCCATGTACCAATCCAGCCAAGGTCTCTCCCAACTCCTCCAAACCCTCCTCCAAGCAGACAAGAGCAAGAAACGCCGCTCCATCCTCGGCCCCGACGGCGCTGTCGCCAGCCCGGCCAGCCAAACTCCCACACAAGCAGGAGGACCAGTCAGCCGCGGCGACACACCCAGTGCCAACGCCGCCGCCGCCGCCGCCGCGAACAACAACAACAAAAAGGGACCCGCAGTTCCCCCAGTCCAACCTGTCGTCCGCCAACTCACAGCCGCCGAAGAATCGCGGTATGGCATCCAGCACCACGAGCGCGTCACAGCCGGCGTCCAATTCCGCAGTGACCGTGCCCAGAAACTCACACAGGCCAAGTCGAACGTACAGACGCAAAAGCTCGCCAGCGCACTGGCCGAACTCGAGATTCCTGTGCGTCTGTTCATGCCTACCGAGCGTGTTTGCAAGGACTTTGAGAAACTCATCCAGTCTGTCAATGTGCTTCTTGAAGCGCGAAAGGTCTCTGAGAAGGTTGAGAGCGAGATTCGTGTTCTTGAAGCTTCCAAGGCGGAGCGCGAGCGGAAGGCGAGAGAAGCTGCTGGTGAGACCACTGCTACGGATCCTGAGAATCCGGAGGTGAAGACTGAGGCGGAAGATGGGACTGGCGTTTTGGGTTCCACTGCTGAAGCAGCGGGATCAGGCGGGGAAAAGAGGGAGGGTGGTGATGGTGAGAACGCTGAAGAGGCTGCGAAGGAAGATGGTAATCACAAGAGGTCGGCTAGTGTGCTCAGCGCTGTTAGTGACAAGAGCAATAAGCGGCAGCGGAGGTAGATGGTTGAGTGACTTGACTGTTTCTACATCCTGCACTGTATAATATCTACTTCTTTTTAGGCGCTTGGACTGGACCTTGGATACCTCTGTACGATTAATGACATTCTGTTGGGAGTTACCTATAATCCAATCTTTCCACAACACCCTCGACCTTTCTTTCCTAACGCCTGGAATGATAATAATAATGTAGTCCCTGATAATACACCCCTCCAAAACACCACAAATTCAACACGAATATACGTGATGCACATAATTTTGTTTTCGCTTTTGATCAGGCTGAATGCCAGAGACCCTCAGTGCACGCATCCCACAACGGCATTCGGCTTCTTCGAGTCGCCCAGCGGCTGCCATCAAAAGAGCCGGGCATATCAATACAGTCCTGGTACATGCTCGCCAGATCTTCTGTTGTTTTTCGCTGAGGATCCTCCGACACACAATCTTCATACTGGTCCGAGGAACTCTGTGAAGAGTCCTGCTGCTGGACAATCGAGATACGTCTGGTCTCTCGGCGACGAGTGAAACGCCGGGCCCATTTTTCACTCCGAGATTTTTTAGGCTGGAGAGAGCAAGGCTCTTGAACATGGTATTGATCACCGAGGTCAAAACATCCCGGATTATCGTCATCTGCATTACCACCCGAGACAATAGCAGCTTGTTTCAGAGTTGGGCTGAGACGGGACCAGCGCTGAGCAAAAGAGTCGTTGGCTTGGTTGCTATACTTCGAGCTCTTTGGGACTTGGCAGTGCTCGATGTGGGTCGTTGGAGGCAGCCCTGGGGCCCGTAGACTTCTGAAGCCCCCTTCGTGAGTCTGGACGGATGAAGGGTCATCGGTTCGACCTCTGCGGCTTCCAAACATTGCTCGGATATGTGGTGCCGTAGGGTATTCGGATGTCTTGACCTTCGGGATTGGAGATAGGCTGGGATTGTCGATATCTGAACAATTGCTAGCCATGCTTGGGCTTGGCCCGAGTGTGAAATCTTCCGTAGACTCGAAATTATTCTTTGAAAGCTTTTGATAGTCGATTTTGTTGAAGCTGACTGGCATTTTTTCGGCTCTAGATTCTGGCTCGGGCTTGCGGTATGGATGATAAATCGGCTCATTTTGAATATGCGGTTCGTCCTCGATGGGCACAGGACTGTAACCATAGCCTACCCTTCGGCCTTCGGACATCCAGCCGACGCTGACTTTTCGTGGCGGACAGGCCTTGTCGAGATCATTCGGCGGCTCATGAGATTTCGTCTGCTCAGAATCAGGACTTTCGCAATGCTCTCGGAATTTGCTCTGCACAGCTCCATTTGCGTAAAGTTGACTGCTCTGAACAATTTCACTCTCGTCCGGGATCTTCTCCTTGATCTGAGGATTGCTCATTGCGAGATTGTTCACACTTCTCTGTGAATCCATAGGGGACCTGTTGGATGTAATGGAGCCTGATTGTGGCGAGTAGAAAGAAGAAAAATCATGTTTCCTAGGCATTGGAGTTGGAGGAACTATATCTGATACTGCTGAGGCTCCAGGCCTTTTTGGAGGTTGAAGATTTTCCTGTGATGGAGGAACGAAGAAACCGAATTCGTTTTGGTGAATCAATCGAGGCATGGAATTGGAAGCTGTAGTTTGCGAGGCAAGCCGGTTCGAGATTCCCAAATCGTCAAGATGTATTGATCGAGGATCGGTAAAAGATCTGGCTGAGGAAGATACTTGTCGTTTCTTCTTGACCAAAATATCTGGGGAAAGATTGGGCAGAGTTTCCGAAGATGCTGCGCTGTAAACCTGGCCGCTTTCTTGCAAAAATTGTTTCCAGTCAGCCAGTGATCTTGAACCACCATTAGGCCGCGGAATGGCAATGGTGGCAGGTGTTGGTGCAAATGAGGGAATCGACAGAGGGCCAGTGAAGGTCAAATCTGGGAAGGATCTCGCAGACGTGATGTTCAAGTCGTATTCTCCTAGAACCGATCCCGCTTGCAGAGGGTTCAGACTTTGATTTGATCCATTATGACCTTGAAAAGACGACACACTGGCAGTGGGCGTAGATATAAAATTCATCCCAGTCGCAGACTCGTGGTGGGAAAGGTTGGATATGTTCCCATCTTGAGAAGAAACAGCCCGATTCTCTGAGGAGTTTCGCTCATGGCTTCGTTCAATCAGATCACTCAGATCCATTCTCGGAAAAGGTCTCGCAAAGGGAGATCTGATACTGTTGCCAGCACGCCTGGGAGTGGTAATGAATTGCGCATCGCTGTCGTATGCCCTTTCGCTCATCAAACTGCTTCCAAGATTGCCCAAGGTTGTGAGGTTCTGCCCAAACTTTGTCCCTATTTTTGGCGCTGACTTGATAGACCTTAGATTGAAGGGAAATCCAAGCTTCGAGGTATCGCGATCCTCGGCGTTTGTCTTGGATTCTCGGGAGAAGCGGCGTCGCAGACGATGAGAAAGACTCTCGAATTGCTTTTCAGATTGTTCAATGGGATCATCGGATGGGACGGAGGGCACTGATTTTTGAAATAGACGGAATTAGGGATTGGCCCGATGAAAGCAGTCTTCATGACCGGACTTCTCCTTACGTACGTACCTAGATTCTGAGCCGGCGGTTCCTCCGCCGCTAGTGGGCCATCATGGTCGGACCGAGCAACACTAGACGGAGAAGGCGGATGTATTTTGCCCCAACGGGGACAAATTAGAAAAGTCATTTGAATTTTCTGTTTCGCATGAAAGAGGAGAGTAGAGGGAGGAATGAAGTTGAAGGTTGGTTGAGGTAGAAGGGCTTGATGCTGTGGAAGGTGCCTCCAAACCTCCTTCCATATTAGCATATCTACACTTCGCTACATACTCTACTACTAGTGCATTACAGTATACTACATTATACTATACATCAGTGATAGTATAGTATAGTACTGCCTGGTAGATGGAGTATTATATTGCATATCAGATGCTGATATGGCTCATGGTGTTCACTTCCTTGCAGCTGTGAACTGAACTGGGTATTATATATGCGTTAGTTATGCATGGATGTAACAGAACTATTCCATACGCCACAGTAGCCTAGACCACTTTCCTCTTTGGACAATTGCACGAACAAAGTTTAAACGACGATAACCCTCGGAAAAGGAACTCGTCAATGCACCTTTGTCATCAGCATTAGCCGGTCGATGCCGCGGATCTCTAGGCCAATGGAGAAGAGGTAGTTGTATAATCTGACATTGGATTAATAGTCACAATTTACAAAGTCAAAGCTCAATTCCAGGCAGCCTCAACGGTCGTAAGCTGTTAAGGCCGGCCATTCCGTCTCCACAATAAAAAGAGGGTCATGATAGACGCTAAGCAAGCTAATGCAGCCACGGTCCAATGAGGGACCGCCCCCCACTCCTTTGTCGTGGGACCCTGTCGAAGTGGTAGCTTCATTTGATCAGAATGAAACCGGATATGGTAAGTTCGGGGCCAAGCTGACGGCGGCGAGCGATCTAATCCTAGTCCAACTTCTACTTCCATATGGCATAGGCCCAGGTGGGGAGGGGGAGGGGCAGCTGAAGCACTTCCGACTTCCGCCTGCCACGAGGCCCCCTCTTCATTCAATATTTAAATCTTTCTCTTTCTGCTGATACCTTGGTACCCTCCTATTGATTTTCTGTTTCATTCACATACAGTAGTCTTTGCCCAGATACAGATACCGACCCTGCATTGTCTACACTCGTCCATCATCTGAACCCAATCCGAGTCAACCGTATCAGCAAATATGGCAGCCAAAGGATCAGAGCCTATCGAAACGCGCTTATTCATTAACAACGAGGTGCATATCTACTACATATCCCTGTTCCCCAATGTCAGCCAGCACTGACTAAGCCGCGCTTCATAGTTCCGTGAATCGTCCAGCAAGAAGACTTTCGATGTCGTCTACCCTTACACTCAGGAGGTCATAGCCCAGGGTATGATAACAATCCTGCAACTGGAAGCTACTTAATTAGCAAGATATTGGAAGAAAAGGCCCTTGCTAAACATCCACAGTCCACGAAGCCGATGTCAACGATGTCAATGACGCCGTTGCAGCTGCCCGCGCCGCATTCCCCGCATGGCGAGACCTCGGCGTCGACGGACGTGGGGCTTATCTCCGCAAAGTCTCCGAATTGTTCATCGATGCCAACGATGAGCTTGCCCGCCTGGAAACCCTCTGTACCGGCCGTCCGATCTCCCAGTTTATCGATGCGAAGCTGTCGTCGGATACCTGGCGGTCCTTTGCCGATGCAGGCTGGAATGTCCAGGGTACAGCAAGCACCCACACACCTGGGCTGCTCAGTCTGACTGTCAAAGAGCCGTATGGTGTGGCAGCCATGATCATCCCCTGGAACTTCCCACTGATCATGTTCTCCATGAAAATGGCTGCTGCACTGGCAGCCGGTAACACTGTTGTTTTGAAGAGCAGCGAGAAGGCACCTTTGACCGTATGTCCAGCGTGGATCACAGGCCCGATTTACACATACCCCTTCCCTTCCAATATAGAAACCTTGGAATCACCATGGAAATAACTAACTCCAATTCAAAACCCATCTAGTCCATCGCCGCCGCAAAACTCATCCAAAAAGCCGGCTTCCCTCCCGGTGTCGTCAACATCATCGCCGGCCACGGCAACCCAACCGGCGCCGCCCTCGCCGAACACATGGACGTGCGCTGCATCAGCTTCACCGGCTCATCACTAACAGGCCAGAAGATCCAAGCCGCAGCCGCAAAGTCCAACATGAAGCACGTCCACACCGAGCTAGGCGGAAAATCGCCGGCCGTCGTCTTCGAAGACGCCGACCTCGAATCCGCCGCCGCCCAAACCCAATTCAGCATCCGGTTCAACAGCGGCCAAGTCTGCGTCGCGAACTCGCGCATCTACGTGCAGGAAAGTGTTGCGGAGAAATTCAAGGCGCTCTTCCGCGAGCAATTTGAGCAGTATGCGCTTGGGGACCCGCTTGATCCTGCGACGCAGCAGGGCCCGCAGATTGATGTGTTGCAGTATAAGCGTGTGCAGGAGTATCTTGGTGTCGGTGAGAAGGATGGCGAGCTGACTGTGGGCGGTGATGCGAAGGATGGATATTTCGTTAAGCCGACTATCTTTGAGAAAGTGCCCGAGGACTCGCGCGTGATGCGTGAGGAGATCTTTGGTCCTGTCGTTGCGATCAATACCTTCAAGACGGAGGAGGAGGCGATTCAGAAGGCGAATGATACTGAGTTCGGCCTTTATGCGTCTGTCTTTACGAAGGATTTGGATCGGGCGATCCGCTTGTCCAAGGCGCTGGAGGCTGGTACCGTTGGCGTGAACTGTACTAGTCCCACGAATGCGAAGGATGCTGCCTTTGGCGGGTATAAGATGAGTGGGACTGGCAGGGAAGGTCTGTTGTACAGTATTGATAACTTTGTTCAGACTAAGTCGATCATTATCAAGGCTGCTGGAAACTCTGCTGGGCTTTTCTAGGCAGTGGGGTTAATCCTATGCCGAATCTTTTACGAATGAATGTCGCAGCTTTAAGCTATCTATTGCATAAGAAGATATTATTCGTAGAAACTAAACTCTCAAGGCTAACAATACCACAAACACCTCCGCTTTTAATCTTCTTCCCCACGAATGGCAGGAGAAATAAATTGGGTTACAAATTTCATAAAGAGACATGTAAAATCATCGAGCTAGTTATCAATACATGAGTTATTGTCCCATATATCCCGTGAACTGTGTGCGCACCGGATATCCCACCAGTATGTCACAACAACATGCAGACATTTCAAAGGAAATAAGAGGCGAGACTCACCAGAGCTCCGGTAAGAGCCAGGGAGCCAGAGGCACCCACGACGGCAGCAGAGTTCTTCGTGGAGGATGCGGAAGGGCTGCTAGAGGCCGAGGTGGAGTTTGAGGACTTGCTAGCAGTGACTTTGTCGTTGTAACCGACCTTCTCGTTCCATGGGTAGGGGCTAGTGTAGTTGTAAGTCGCGGCCTTTCCAGCATAGGTCTTCTTGACAATGTCGAGAATACCGTGACCAGCAGAGCAGTTGCCGCTGGTCAGAGGAACGGGCCATTCAGGTGAGAACTTGGCGTAGTCGCCATCTGCCATAGGGCCGGGGTAGGTCTCGTTCAGAAGCAGGTTAGTTGTGTCGACTTTGTAGTTGACGTAGCCGGTCTTGTTGGCGACAATTTGCAGCAGATTGGCACCACAGTCCCAGCGGCCCAGACTGGGGAGTCCCCAGTTAGCGCTGACAGAGGCAATGGTCGAGTAGTGGGTGTAGAAAGTGTCATCTGTGGTTCCCTTCAGGTGGTCGGGAACTGCTCCACCGACAAGGATAGAGAAGACCCGGTTGGCATGCTTGTGGGTGTAGCTATTTGATGTCATAGTTAGTAACAGTCTCTCTTTTTGTCTTGAATGTAAGGTGTTGAAGTTCTCAACTCACTTTTTATCCTCATCGTAGCTCAAAAGAAGGAGAGTATCCTTCATGAAGTAGTCATCCTTCAAAAGCTTCTCAACCCACGGGCGCTCCCACTTGGAGGCAAATGTGATGTTGGTGTCATGAGCATCATTGGTCATGTTAGGGGTGATGAAAGCCCACTGGGGCAGCTGCTTCTTCTCCAGATCCTCATCGAAATTGGTGAAGTTCTTGATCTGGCGAGCCTTGGTGTCGTTCTTGACGACTGAGTCGTAAAGAACCAGCGGGTTGTGCTTGCGGACATAGTCCGGGGCATAAGTATTTTGGTTGGAGTAATTGTAGCCCTGGTAGCCGGGGTATGGCAAATGCTCCTGATACTCGCCCCATGAAATACCCTTGGTGTCGAGAAGATCAACAATGGAGGAGATATTCTCAGGGATCTGGTTGAAGTTGTCATTATCCATTCCAAAGGTGTCACCACCGGCAGCAGCACAGTAATTGGGCTCAGAAGGGTGAGTGACAGCATAATAGTTGGTACTGTGATTGAAGTTAGAACGTGAATAGTATAAAATGTAAAGCTAAATTGAGCTTCTACGTACAGCAGAATACCCTGCTTAGCTAGCCACTCCTGGTTAGAATCGGACTCGGAGTCGGAGTAGTCCTAATTTTGATGTCAATAAAATGAAATTCCAATGGTAGTTCGGAAGTGCAGCGTACGATATTCTCGAGCCAGACCTGGTAAAACCGGTTGAAGGCAAGACCCTTGACATCGGAGGTGGGAGATTCGGGCAGGGTAGTAGCCGCAGCAGCCTTGATATCCGACAGAGGCGGCAAGGACGTAGTAGCAATCTCAGCGCGAGCCAAGATGGCAGCGGCGAGGATGGTTGCGACGGTCTTCATCGTGTAATCTTCGTTCAACGGACAGTAGTGTCGGCTGAAATATGAAGAGGTAGATGGATGGGAAGGAAGAGAGAAAAGGAAGCTCCGAGAGAAAAGTAGGCGGGGGTAATGGTATATAACAAAAAAAAAACAAAAGCGTGATGGAGTCTCACTATTACCAAGGTCCCTAGGTAGGTACCAAGTCAATCAAGGCATTGCCTACAGGAATTAGTGTAATGTCCTCCCTCCATCAAGTCGGAATTGAACCCAATGATCACAATCTACACTCTGCCCCATGTGGCACGCTGTCAATACGGGCACTCTGATTGGTCAAGGGGGTGTCACCAGGAATCGTGCCTGGGAACGCTAAGACTTGCCATGGACACACTAGAAGCTTGAACCGAGCACGTGAAGCCTTCAATATTACATTCTGGCGAAAGAAGTAAGACATCTTGTGGTAGCCTGGGAGGGTCGGAAGAGATCCGGTCACGATACGATGCAAGCGATTGGGATGCAATGGAACGGTGGGGCGGAAACTGTACATATGCCATAATAAGGCAACTACAAATCTACCTGGGAAAGACATAATAAATTAATGCATATAGACTACTACCGCCAATGATATACTTCGTATAGTAAGCTACATAGCTTCAAGCTTGTTCAGAGTTCAGGTCAGATCCAACTTGGGTAGAGTTGCCCTAGGTGAGAGGTGGGACCTTGTAGAATACACCCCGATAAAGGTACCTAGTCAGTACTTGAAACTAAGCAGTTCTTCGCTGCTACCATTTTCTATACTCTCACATAACATCCTTAATAGCCAGTTCCCTTCCCATTTCTCGCCATTTCTGTATATTGTCGATTTTCTAGAATTCAATGCTATACTGACCTCTTTTGATCTCTCCACTTTTCCCATTTCATGATACCCCAGTCACGTGAACGTAACCTCGGCTCCCAGTCCGGGGAACCGAGACGCCATGACTGTTTCCCGTTTATCCTCTGGACCCTTCATCTCCTTTCACGCTATTCAATCCCCCACATAATGATTTCAAGATGAGCTCGACAAACTTCGCTGCTGCACAGGAGCGGGTGCTCGAGCGCCGCCGCCTCCGTGAGGCAGAAGCGCGTTCTCGCCGTGCGGAACAGCAACGGGCTTCTCCGATCAACCCAGCCACCGTTCAACGCCTTCCATATCCTCTGAACCGCGTTCCGGGCGCTGGTTGGTCTCTATGGAATAATGTGAAAGATAGAGATGGAACGCGTCCGGCATTTCGAGTCGGTCAGGTGGATGCCGAGCTGCTAGACGAGGAATTGCTGGGTCTGTTGAAGGGTCAGGTTGGCGAGGCTCTCAAATACTTCGGAGTATGTACACACCGGATCACATCGCGTCAAACTTGGGAGTGGATTGCTAATCATAATCTACCAATAGCCTCAAATGAGGGAAGAGTGGTCTCATGAAATCCTATTCGCGCTGCGAGCCATCCTCTTCAAACTCTCGATGTGGGATCACAATGCCTCCTATGGCGCCGCCCTACAGGGCCTTCAATATAGCGATAGTCGCAGCACGGGACCTGTTCTCTCTCCTCCAACAAAATGGCAGAAATCAGCGTATGGCCTGCTTACTGTCGGTGGGCGCTATGCCTGGAACAAGTGGGAGAGCTGGCTGATTGGACAAGAAGGCGGTTATGAAGAGGTTAGTGGTTCTTTCGTTGACCTGAATATTTTTCGGTACTAACACTACTCCCCAGCCATCGCAGGAAGTCCGAATGCTGTCACGTCTGACCGATTTTATCTCCACCTCACACTCCATCGCCGCCTTCGTTTCATTCCTAGTCTTCCTCGTGAACGGCCGTTACCGCACCCTCGTCGACCGCCTTCTCCGCATCCGCCTTGCACCTCCATCTTCCCAGGCTAGTCGTGAGGTATCATTCGAGTATCTGAACCGGCAATTGGTATGGCACGCATTTACCGAGTTCTTGCTCTTCTTATTGCCATTAGTGGGCATTGGTCGATGGAAAAGGTGGCTAGCTCGCGCATGGAAAAAAGCACTCAACGCCTTCAAGTCGAGTGGCGACGAAGACGAAGTTACAGACAAGCAGGGAGAGCTCGGTCACCTCCCGGAGCGGACCTGCGCTATCTGCTACCGTGATCAGAACCCAACGGCAACCACAGAAACCGAAGTACTAGCGGCATCGGCATCGTCTGGTGGTATCTCTGGGTCTTCGCAGACGGACATTACCAACCCATACGAGACAGTTCCCTGTGGGTGCATATATTGTTTTGTTTGTATTGTACAAAAGCTCGAGGGAGAAGAGGGCCAAGGTTGGACATGTCTCCGGTGTGGCGAGGTTGTTAAGAAATGTCAGCCTTGGAATGGCGATGTTTTGGAAGAGGCTCGGTCCCAGCCAGGCACCGGCAAGATTGTCGGATTTGCTATGGATGAACCCAGCGATGACTCTCAAGAGGCAGTGCAGAACGGCAGCGCTATTGGAAAATCCAGTCCACTAGAAGAAATCACTGCGGATGATGCTCTTCAACATTCGAGCGAATGGTCTACGGAGGAAAAAGAACCTGCTGAAGACCATCATGCTGACGAGGAGCCTTCTCAAGCACACCCTTGAGCAGTGAAAGTGAACGCACCACTATGATCACTGGTTTTCGCAGTTTTTATTTTATCTGACAATAGTCAACTGCACCCAACCATGAGAAATCCATCGATACCCACCCACCACTCCACCCAGAACCTTCCTGTACATAATGAAATACATATACTATCTTTCATGACTACCTTTGCAAACTACATGCTATTCAAATTGAATCCATACAAGTCGCCCCAGCGAAACCAATCATACCCCCAACAAGTGGAAATACTGCTCGGCATAAGTTCAGCCATGCCCAGTCCTGCATCAAGCCCGGCACCTGTTCATCCTGCTTCGCCCGCATATTCTTCTCCTTTTCACTCACAACCATGCCTCCGCTTCCTTCTGCGGTCGAAGCATCATCTCTCACCGCATGCGCCTTCAATAGGCCGTTGACTTTCTCCATCGCTATCAATGTCCATGGAATAATCCCCAAAGTGGTCCCGACAGCTGTAAAGTACAGGCAGCTCCAGCTCCAGCCAACCTCTTCAGAAACCAGGACATCACGCAGCCTCCATGCGAGGTAGGCATTTGCCGTAGAAGCTACTATGGCGATAGACAGGAAGATCTCTTTGCCGCGATCGTAGACGTCAAGCCACTGGCGACTGAGATGGGCGACAGGGGTTGCGGGGAGAGGATGACGAGGAGGGAGGGAGAGGGCAGGAATTGCGACCGCTGAAAGACACATCATGCCACCTGATTGTACTCTGTTGTCAGCTGGGCATTTTGCGGGTCTGTATGGATCGGGCAGGAGATTGCTTGCCGGCTGTTATGCCGCAGCCCAGAGTGCCGATTAGTTGAGCGATTCGGATATCGGTCATCATGTTGAGTTGAGGTAAACACGGTGATCTTAACCTCGGGGAGAATCTGACTCCAGAGTATCGAGGGAGGAAGTTAAAAGCTACATGTAATCGATCATGCAGGTGATCATAGTAGATCCGCCTCTCCCGCCAATGACGTTGAAGACTGTGAACATAGTTAACTAGTACATGAATTACATGAAGGACGGAGTACGGAGTATATCAATCTCCTAAATCTAGTGAACAGTTGGATTCAGTCAATTGCTTAGGCAGTTAATATATGATCCGACTACTCCATGCTATCCCCCACAAAATCTGAGCAATGCCCTCACGGTGACTGGTTGCTGTCCCGCGGGGGTCCACCTCGGCTTTCCTTGCGAGCCCCAGATAATTGAGAAGGAATTGGGAACGTTTAAATTGTCCCGCCATCACCGTTGCCATTGCCATTGACTTTCCACTTTCTATTCATTCCTATTTATATCCGCCATGGATCCTGCTCAACCCCCCCAAGCTGGCCGAAGCCAGGTATATCAACTTCCCCAGCCTGCCCACCGATGCCAAACACCCCGATGGCTCCCCCGCACTCAATCGTCATTCGTCGACCATCACACGAGGCCATGACTTTCCCGGTGCTCGAGTTCGTGTCAACCATATAAAACTCCAATTGATGTCTTGAGCTCCATGCTGACACAATCCCTAGGCTATGCTTTTTGCCGCAGGCGTCCCGGACAAGGAGGCCATGGCTAAGAGCCCCCATGTTGGCGTTGCCTCCGTTTGGTGGGAGGGTAACCCATGTAATATGCATTTGATGGACCTGGGAAAGACTGTCAAGAAGTCTGTTACAGAGAGGGGCATGATTGGATGGCAATACAACACCATTGGCGTGTCAGATGCCATTACTATGGGTAGCGACGGTGTGTTCCCTCCCCAAATGAGCAGTCGAGCAATTGCGCGATTAGCTACTGTCTAAAATTGGTATCGTCTGCTGATCATTGAAAACAATTAAAGGAATGAGATTCTCCCTACAGACCCGCGAAATCATTGCCGATAGTGTGGAAACCGTCACCTGCGCCCAATACCACGATGCCTGCATTGCGATCCCTGGCTGCGACAAGAACATGCCCGGTGTCGTCATGGGCATGGCTCGTCACAACCGTCCATCTATCATGATCTACGGCGGGACCATCGGTATCGGATATTCAAACCACCTTCGTAAACCCGTCAACATCTCCACCTGCTTCGAGGCGGCCGGCGCCTATGCCTATGATACGCTCGTCCAGCCCGACGACGGCGGCGACACCAGCAAGACCAAGGATGAGATCATGGACGACCTCGAGAAACACGCCTGCCCCGGCGCCGGAGCCTGCGGCGGCATGTTCACAGCCAACACCATGGCCACAGCGATCGAGTCAATGGGCCTGTCTCTACCCGGCTCTTCCTCAACCCCAGCCGAATCCCCATCCAAGATGCGCGAGTGCGTCCGGGCCGCAGACGCCATCAAAGTCTGTCTGGAGAAAAACATCAAGCCGCGCGATCTGCTCACAAAACGATCCTTCGAAAACGCCCTCGTCATGACCATGGCACTGGGCGGCAGCACCAACGGCGTCCTACATTTCCTTGCCATGGCCCGCACAGCCGACGTCGACCTAACCCTCGACGACTTCCAGCGCGTCAGCAACAAAATCCCCTTCATCGCCAACCTCTCCCCGAGCGGACAGTACTACATGGCCGACCTGTACGAGATCGGCGGCATCCCCTCTGTCCAGAAACTCCTCATTGCCGCGGGCCTCTTGGACGGAGACATCCCCACCGTAACCGGAAAGACACTCCGCGAGAACGTAGAGTCCTGGCCTTCCCTCCCAACAGAACAAACCCTCATCCGACCCCTCTCAAACCCCATCAAGGAAACCGGCCACATTCAGATTCTCCGCGGCAACCTCGCGCCGGGTGGTGCTGTCGCCAAAATCACCGGTAAAGAGGGTCTCAGCTTCACGGGTAAAGCCCGCGTTTTCAATAAGGAGCGCCAGCTCAATGATGCGCTGAACGAGGGTAAGATTCCCCGCGGAGAGAACCTGGTTCTCATCGTGCGGTACGAGGGACCAAAGGGTGGACCCGGTATGCCAGAGCAATTGAAGGCTAGTGCCGCGCTGATGGGCGCGAAATTGAACAATATTGCGCTTATTACGGATGGTCGATACTCGGGTGCTAGTCACGGATTCATTGTTGGTCACATTACGCCTGAGGCGGCGGTTGGTGGGCCTATTGGACTTGTTCAGGATGGGGATGTGGTTACTATTGATGCGAAGACGAATTCTTTGTCGATGGATGTTTCGGATGAGGAGCTTGCTGAGCGGAGAAGATTGTGGACGCCTCCTGTGCCGCAGATTACTCGGGGTGTGCTGGCTAAGTATGCTCATTTGGTTGGGGATGCGTCGCATGGTGCTATGACGGATTTGTTTTAGATGGGCATGTTGCATAAAGTATAAATAAAAATTAGGCTGTGGGATCGAATCGATATATGATTTTCGTTTTATTGGGGTACATGGATGATCTTCAAGTTTCTTGTTGACGATTGGGCTACCTCGTCGTAGCCTCAGCTTCGGTGGTCTTGGTGGCAGTGCTCGTGTGGGTAGTTGTAGTGCTAGTAGATGTGGTGGGAGGGAATTCGGAGTATGGCGGTGGGGGATCGTTGGCGTTGTCCGGCCATTCGGTGGACTCTGAATCTCTTCTTTGGGAGGTTGATATTGAACTTGCTGCTGACGCCGATGTTGATGTTGATGGACTTGAAGTGAGGGCGACTGAGTTGGTTTCTTGTCGCTGGCCTTGGTGGCTGGTACTTGATGTTGTACGCGTGGGTTTGCGATTCCGCGCTCGAGCGGCATGGTATGGAGATCCTCTTAGATACATTATTTTTTTCCCTATGATGAAATATTGTTTGTGACATGAAAATCGAGTGATTCCTTATTATATAGCCAGTTCGAGGTTGTGGTTAAGGTCATCGGGCACAGGGCATATCAGGGCACCGGGCACAGCCGCAATGTTGCTGCATTTGCCTGATTTGCTACGGACCCACTAGAAACTTGAACTTTATCATCGTTATAAAATCGGATATGTGATGCATGTTTGCGAGAGTCACTGTTCGGTCGTGCATGCTTTTTGTTGAGGGTGTGCGAACTTTCAATTTAACTGGCTGCTTCGAAGCTGGCGCCAACGCATGATGTGGGGTAGTTTGGCACCTGGGCTAGATTGCCTTCAGCTGGGACCAACTTGGAGGCTCTTACACTCGCACATCTCGATGACCCAGCAAATATCCTTCGGCGATGCAAATCGCGGATCCCAAGTTGGACAAAATCGTGGAAACATCACTAATCATTTCCATTCCGGCACAGGTAAGATGACAATCAGCCCGGGGCAGTTATAGATCCGAATTAACGGGGCTACGCACTGCTAATGGAAGCAGGATCATCATCCAAAATTTCATGTCTTCGTAAATTTTATACACAACAAATCCCTACGATGACAAAAAACGCATTGAAGAAACAAAGGGGGTCCTCCTCAAGGACTCATATCGTTGGGTCCTAGACAACAAAGACTACAAGTCATGGCACGCAGACGCCAGCGTCAATCTCCTTTGGATCAAAGGAGATCCCGGTAAAGGGAAGACAATGCTGATGTGTGGGATAATCGACGAATTAGAGCATGAGTTGGGCAGCAATGCAAACATCTCATTCTTCTTCTGTCAAGCTACCGACGAGCGCATCAATAATGCAGCATCAGTACTTCGGGGTCTTATTTATTTGATCACAGAGAAACAACCTTCACTTTTCTCTCATGTTCAGAAACGCTATGATAGATCAGGAAAACAATTGTTCAAAAATGCAAATGCGTGGCAGTCTCTTACTGGCATACTCTCGGATATTTTGAGAGATCCGAGCTTGCACCGCACCTGTTTTCTCATCGACGCACTCGACGAATATCTCCAGACAGCCAAAAATCTTGCAATCAGTCAGCCATCCTCTGAGACATATACTCATAGTACGTGGGGCAAATTGATATCTTCATTTCGCCACGAGAATCATGGTCTACCTTCTCTTTCATGGTCAGCAAATGGGAAATTGGCATCAGCTTCCAAATCTATCAAAATATGGAGTCCCATTGAGTCTAGCTTTGACTCAATCAATGGGCATTCCTCCATGATCGAAACACTCAATTGGTCCCCAGATGGAGAATGGCTTATCTCCAGAGCTACTGATGGGAAAATCCAGGTCTGGGAGCCAGTCAATGAACATGAGCTTGCTAGTACACTTGTTCAAGTCAGTGGAAATGATGTTGCATGTCTTTCCTGGTCCTATGACGGATCAAAGCTTGCTTTAGGAAAGCATGCAATCTGCATATCTGGGATCGCATATCTCGAGGTTCCAAAATCCTCAAAGGACATACTAATAGTGTCAGATCAATTGCCTGGTCGCGCGATGGAAAAATAGCTTCGGAGTCTCATAGTCGAAAGATGCTATCATCTACCGGGTCTCTCACAGCCATCGAAACTATCAACTACTGGAACCCGGTAACATGTCAATGTATTTCGACATTCCAGCACACGCTCTCCACTGATCATACCCGGATCGAAGAGCGGAATGATATTTTTCATTTTGACGAAACCATTCCGACTCATTTACGCGCATATTTTGGTACAATCGATGTGTTGACCGGCAGTCGTATCTCGACCTCGACTAGGTCCATCTCAACTCCAGGAAGGCCGAACCAAAGATATGGCATCGATAAATCGCTATCATGGATAACCTATGATCATAAAAACATTATAAGGTTACCATATGAGTTCCAGCCCAATCACTTGAACCCAAATAAGGCCGATCTCCCGGGGTATGCTATATGTGAGACGCCGGTAGCAGTACGCGTGGCCATTGCGTGTGATTCGGGTACAGTGATAAGGTTGACCTTTGCCAAAGAAGTCCAGTTTGACTAGTATGCAATGCATGCTTTATCATTTACACTACACACTACTAGCACTAGTACTAGTCTCTGGTTATCTTGCGCAGTGAATAAAATAATATTTAGGGTATCTTAAAGTAAAACCGTCTGATGCGATAATGTTTTCGACCAATGACAGTGCGTTATTTAGGACTACCGTCATTCGGGACATATGTACCTAGATTTTATTGATTCACGACTCTTTTGATATATCGTGCTGAGACCCGGGATATGCATATCAGAGAATTTGCTCTCATGCACGCAGAGCCAGGATAGCGTTTGTCCCATTGCAGGCTTTGTCAGTCCACAGTCCTATATCTAGGTCCTTCTGGCTTAAATTCATATGAGAGATTTATCCATTCTATTCTCCTGCTCTCGTCATATCGAAATTTACTGATATACAATAATTCAAATTGGTCATGGTATAGTTCAGCTGTCTTCACTGTGTCATCTATTGTAAGTGGTCGGTCACATCAAATCAAGGCTGGCGCTAGCCTCGGATCATTTCCCAAATGGGACAAGACCGAGATAACGCCATCCGCGCTACAGATGATCTTGTTGCATCCAAGCTCTCTCTTTTACCACATCGTTTCATATGATTGGCTTCGTCTGTTCGAGAGGCGTTCAAAGAACTTGGCTTCCTCCATGGCCGACTTTAGCTCGCACGCCATGAAAAAAGACCGATAAAGGTACGCCGTACACACCATCGGCTTAAACTTCCGAGGTTACTCCGCTTCCATCATTGAAAATGTAGGTGTGCCCTTGCTTTTTGCTTTTTCCCCTCACTTTACGTTAACCATCTGCCTATTTCAGTATTGCAGAGACGATCCCTAATCGTCTATTTCGCTAAAAAGATGGCTCTTCTCGGGGTGTTTCGACGACGGCACCACCCAGCCCCAGCCAGCGAGTACTCAGAACAGACAAACGAGGAACATGTGGATACTCCTTCTACACCAAAAGTGACAGACGACAAGCTGCCCAATTCAGAGAAGGTGCAGGTGTCTGAGACTTTGGCGATTGAAGAAGAAAGCCACGACGATCCTGAAATCGCTGCGCTTCCTCTACAGGTGCGACAGTTGATCAACTTGACCGACGACCCCACTCTACCTACAATCACATTTCGCTACTTTGTTCTCGCGGCCATTTTTGTTATTCCTGGGGCCTTTCTGTCTCAGTTGAGTTACTTCCGCACAACCAGTGCGAGCTACTCGGTCTTTTTCGTCCAAATCGCCTGTCACTATGCCGGCCATTTCCTCGCGCGAGTTTTGCCTGCTTGGACAATCCGACTTCCTGGTACAAGCCGGGGCTTTAGTCTGAATCCTGGACCTTGGAGTATCAAGGAGCATGTGCTGGTCACGATTACAGCAGCTTCGGGGGGCAACCTACAACATGGGATATGCTCCGATCGTCCTAGCCGAGCTATGGTACGGCAACAGAATCCAACCCGCGGTTGCAATCTTCTTTATGCTCGCGATCGTGTGGATTGGATACTCTTTTGCGGCTCTTGCTCGTCAGATTCTTCTGCCAGACCCGGAGTACATCTGGCCGCAGGCCTTGATGCAGACGACCCTGTTCGAAACGTTCCGACGAACAGACACAACGTCGCGTCTGGCTCGGCGCCAGATGAAGTTCTTTTTCTTCTCTCTTCTGGCAATGACTCTCTGGCAATTTTTGCCTGAATATGTTTTCCCATTCACTTCTTCATTGGCCTTCCTTTGCTGGGTTGCGCCTCGGAACCCCGTTGCCAATTTCATCGGGTCTGGCTTGGGCGGCATGGGGTTCCTCAATCTATCCCTGGATTGGTCAAATGTCAACTGGAACGGGTCCTCGATTTTACTTACCCCGTGGTGGACACAGGTCATCCTGTTCCTTGCCTTTGCCTTCAATTGTTGGGTGCTGTTACCCGCGGCGAAATGGGGAAATCTCGGTTCTTTCAAGCATGGTCTCATGTCCAACAGTCTGTTCATGGCAAATGGAACCAAATATCCCACAGCAGAGGTGCTCACTCCAACCTTTAACCTCAATGAGACCGCGTATGAGCACTACGGTCCAATGTACATGGGTACTCAAAATGTGTGGTCGACATTTTTCGATTACGCAAAGCTCCCAGCGGCGATTACTTGGATCCTCACCTTCGGCTACACCCAAGTCAGCAGCAATCTCAAAAAGATTTTCGCAAATCGGAAGGATTCCCAGAAGGCCCAAGATGGCCAGAATGCTCAATCCGCTCAAGGAGAGGGGATTCACTACAAGTATCATGATCGCCTCAATGTCATCCAGCGAAACTACAAGGAAATCCCATCTTGGTGGTATATTGCACTATTCTCAGTGGGATTCGTCATTCTGATCACCAGTATCGCGTGCGGATATCTTTTCATCCCCATCTGGACATTGTTTGTGGCCCTGGCCAGTGCGGCAATCTTCGTGATCCCTTTCGCATGGCTATATGCCATTTCCAACTATCAGCTTGAGACCGGTTCCTTCAATGAGTTGATGTACGGATACATGGTGCACACCAAAGCTGGCTCTGGGCATCAACACCCGTGCGGTCCCTCAATCTACGGCTCTATTGCTGGAGATGCATGGTACCGGGCACAGTACATGCTTCAAGATCAGAAAATCGGTCATTACATGCATATCCCGCCGCGCGAGGTGTTCTTCTCGCAGATTTTCGGCACGTTGATGGGCGTCCCCATCAACTACGCAGTTATTCGCTGGGTTATGGACACCAAGGGCGATTTCCTGACAGGCAAAAAGACTGACCCCCTCAACCAGTGGACTGGTCAGAAACTTGTCAGCCAAAATACGATGGGCATCCAGTACGCCGTTCTGGGGCCCAAACGACTTTTCGCAGAGGCCGAGATGGCGCCACTTCCATGGTCCTTTCTTGTTGGTGCTGTCATTCCACCGGTTCTATTCGTGTTTCATCGCTTCTTCCCGCGCCTTCGGATTGATTTGTGGAACGTTAGTATCTTCTTCGGAGGTCTGGCGATGTTCTACGGTAATGTCAGTACTGGATATACGTCGGCCATCATTGGTGCGTACATATCGATGTACTGGGCTTACCGGCGTCACTTTGAGGTGTGGAAGCGTTACAACTACCTAGTTGCAGCCGCGTTTGATGCCGGGTTCAACTTGAACATGTTGCTTATTTTCCTGTTCTTCGGATCTGGAAAGCAGATCTCGATGCCAAAGTGGTGGGGCAATAATGAGATCTCTGTCGAGCGATGCTTTGCTCTGAGTAGTTAGAGCGCTCGCTTTGAATAAAAAAGGAGAGACACAGGTTGAACTTCAAAACATCCATGGATACTTATTCTTAAAAGTAATCTGGTTCTTCTATGAGTAGTCCATAGGTAGTACTAGTAATAACTTCTTATGGGTAGTAGTAAACGCGGCCTATTTCAAGCAGCCTACGGCGTACCATGGTCGCAATGGGTCCAGTTGTTCTGCTAGGGTCATTCAGGGCAGTTCTACTGGCCGAAACAAGGGGCCTATGTTCCAAGGTTGTTAGGATCCACGGCAAAGCAGCGAGAAAAAAGGCTCAGGGTAACCAGGTCAAATACCAGCAGTGTAGTGGGAACTGTATTATGAATTAACGTCCAACTCCCAAGTGATAATAATCATAGTAAAACATCTATCGCGGCAAGAAAAAAAATCATGTCTCATGGCCGAAAGTAATAATATGAAATCCTATCCCAACCCATCCTATCCCATCACATCTCTATCCAAAACGCCGTTCCGAATTGAATTCTCTCAGAAACTCAATGAAAGAAGAAGAAAAATAACAATATTACAGAGTGTAGAAACCCTCTCGTTTTACAAAGTAGGCGCTCTCTTCAGCCCCACGCAATACCTCACGAACAGCGTATCAATGAAATGACCATGTCGAATGCCCGGCGGCCTGCACCGATTGAATTCATCAATCGCATCCTGAACTCCATATCCCAGTCGCTCGATGAGGTAGCAAACGATCAAAAAGCCAGTACGGTTGTATCCGTAGTGGCAGTGCACACCGACAAGTGGCCGGACCGAGTGCTCCTTCTTCTCATCTGAAGACGTTTTCTCATCAATATCCCTTTGGAGACGATCAACAAGAGCAATAAAGTCGCGAGTCTCGTCTGGAGTGGGAGGGATCTTGGAAACGGTTGGTTGCTTGCAATAGCGAATTCCACCTGCTTCCAAAGTTGCAGGGTTGTACACCGGGCTCTCATGGCTGATGTCGATAACCGCATAGATCTTATCTTTGTACTGGGCAGAAAAACAGACCGGATTGTGCTGCTCGTCTACCTCGCGAAGCATCTTCAGAGCGGCGAATGTGCCACCGATCGGCTTCGAGACTGGAACGACCTTTTGCCACTTGGCTAAGTTCTTGACATCCCACTTTCCCGATGTGTTGAGGTATTGGAGTTGCCAGCCAAGGCCAAGTCGCTTGTCAATGTGGGACGAGAGGAAATCTTGGATGATTCCCGCGAGGGTGCGGTAGGTAGCTCGGTCGTAGAGCAGGGCATGAGAGGCTGGCGCTGGCAGGATTGCAGACTTAACTAGTCGCTTTCTTTCACCAGAGGTCTGGTCAACAAGCTGCTTTTCCGTCTCACTGGACTGGATGCCATATGCCTCATCGTGAGCGCGTTGATCGGTCGGCGGTTTTATCTGGTCATGAACTCGCGATGCGTCGGGGATAATGCCGCCTCCAGCGGTATCGATGGCAGTGTGAGCTGAGGCATCGCCAAAGAACTTCAAAAGCGTTTGGATTTCGGCAGGCTTTGTTACAGCGTCGGCCTCGCCTGCAACTAGCAGGATTGGCATATGAATGCCAGCCCAGACTTTCTCGCCGGGCATGCCACCTACAGCTTCTCCAGTCTCGTAAGAAGGAAGAGTTCCCCATGCCATGCGACGCCAAACTGGTGTGCGGCTTTGTTTATTAAAGCGAACTTGGAGGTCTCGGGTCTCCGCATCCGCATCACTGCCCACCATTCTCATCACGCTGGCGCTTTGACTGCCACCACGGCGGTCCCAGCGACGCCACAAATCAAAGACTGCACCTGGGACGTGAAGGAGTCGACGAAATGATGTGGTATCTTCCGCAGATGGAGGTGTTGCTCGAGGGCACACTGCGATAAGGCCAATAATGTGATCCTTGAGGCTCTTGCCGATGGGCGAGTTGGAAGAAGCAAGCAGGGCAGCTAAAGAGCAACCCAAGCTATGTCCGATGAGAATGACCTCTTGTCCAGCTTCACGGTCTCGATGGCGTTCGATCGCCACGACTAGCAGTTCAGCTAGGGCCTCCACCGTGTAAGCATCCCATTCCGTTGGCGCAAACTTGGACAAGCCACAACCTGGCAAATCGATACCAAAGCAAGAACCAATGTTCGAAAGACTGGTAAGTAAATGATGAAATTGTGCAAGCGATCCACCTAATCCATGAACGAAAACAAGGAGCGGGACAGGCGAGGGTTTGGTCGGAAGGCGGCTCAGTTGTGGGTGGGGACTGTAGAAAGTTCGAATTGCTGGGTAAGATGCTTTAGAGGTCGTGTAAGAGGCAAATTCGGTGAACTTCCTAAGCAGACCTGGGTCGGTTTTGGCAGCTGCGACTGCGTTAGAATAAAGAAAAGAAAAGAAAATGACGATGACGATGGAGGGATATGCTCGCTTACCATCAGAGCTTTGCTGCTGAGGCTCTGCCGACCACTCTGTCGCCTTGGCCTGGCTAGGATCCATGCCATGGCGTAGCGACCCATTGCTATCATAGTCATCATCTTCGTAATCATCGTCCGACGAGGTGAGGGTCTTTGTGGATTTGTTTGATTTGGTGGAGGAGGATTTCCGCGCCGAGCGACCCTTGCGAAACCATTTGCCACGAATGAACGACGATACGAGGCCACAGCCTACCATGGTAGCAACAATGGTAGCGACGCAGGTAGAAAGAAACACGGCTTTGCTCCAGTTCACCTTATCATTGCGATATATGGAGGAGATATAATTTGTGAGGGAGGTGTAGGATGCGTGTTGGGCGGCCAGGAGCTGCCTCAGCGCGGTAATGCCAGAGCGATTGAGTGATTTGGAGGTGTGAGATAGGGAGTCGTAGAGGCTGGAAGCTGAGGAGGAGCCATCGGACCCCATGGCTTCAGCCTTTTATGTCGACGAGAGTCGAATCGAATCAATCGCGGCAGGCGCCAGTTCCGAGTTGGCTCACGGCCCAAGGCCGATCAGGAGAAGTGCACGCGCGGGCAGGGCGAATTCTGCTTGGATAATGATTATGCGTGATGCCAATGAGAGAGGCTCGATCGACAACGTTGAAGGAGACCAAGAAAAAGCAATAGACTCGGCCAGTCACGATGGCGGGTCGCTCAGCGTGGGGGGGGGCAACAACGTGACTTCGGGGCTCCACCGAAGGCCACCTGACCTTCTAGAAGAAGGCGCAGTAGTACTATGTAAGCTGGCCTTGCTGAATATATTGTGGCCTGATCAGCAAGGCACTAATCAGTCAGTATTCAGGCATCAAAATGTCATGTGACCGCTTAGGGTACGGCTAGCCGGAAAAGGCTAAGCGAATCCACGGCACACAGACCCCAGCCAAACGGGACGAGTTTGTGTGTCTCGAATTTTGACTTGGACTCTTCGACTTCGACTCTGCCCACGACTTCCGCCATCTCTCATCCCCAACGCCCTCCTCGACCCCTCGACAAGTCGCCAATATGGGTGGTGTTTCCGTTCGCGATGTGGACGTAAGTGTCCTTCGATTTCTCCGCCCGCTGAGAGGGCCCTGATGATCATCATCAACCCTCGATCCCACCGGATTTGGGTCGGTGTGCGTTGTGGTTCTGTGGACGGGTTCTACGTTCTCGGAGGCACTGGAAAGGGAATATAAAGGGCTTCGCAGCGGCTGGTCAATTGGATTTGCTGGATTTGGTCAGGAAGATATTGCTGTCTGGGAACTACGTTGAAAGGTTTTGTCCACACAAATCGATCTGTCATGATCAATAATGCGTGCGCCTTTGCAACCACCCACGGCAAAATCTTCACTTCTGAAAGCACAAATATACACGCACGACAAGAAAAGAGATGGAATTGCCTGACAATGAGAACGAGAACCCGGCATCTACAAAACCTACGCACGCTGATCATTATCCTCACCCTCACCCGTCTTCAACACACTTTGATAACTCAAAATAACCACAACGCTAACAATATCCTTCTCACCTATAGGCGCAGAAGTTCATTGCTGCCTACTCTGCTTTCCTGAAGCGTCAGGGAAAGCTCCCCATCCCCGGCTGGGTTGACACTGTCAAGACCTCCGCTTCCAACGAGCTCCCTCCCCAGGACCCTGACTGGTACGACGAACCAACACCATCATCTCCAGCCAGATCTCGAAATTCAGAACTGACAAATTCCTCCAGGTATTACATCCGCGCCGCCGCAGTCGCTCGCCACATCTACATGCGCAAGACCGTCGGTGTCGGCCGCCTTCGCAAGGTTCACGGTTCCACCAAGAACCGTGGCTCCCGCCCCGCTCACCACGTCGATGCCTCTGGCTCCGTTGACCGTAAGGTCATGCAGTCCCTCGAGAAGATCGGTGTCCTTGAGGTCGATGAGGACAAGGGTGGTCGCCGCATCACCCAGTCCGGCCAGCGTGATCTGGACCGTATCGCCAAGACCACCGTCGATGAGGATGAGGAGTCGGATGACGAGTAAACGTTTCGCAAGGGCTTAATTGTTTCGGGGGGTCGTTTTGACCAGTGCCTCTAGTTTATACCCAAAACAAAACATCAAAAAATTGGTGACAACTAGTCGCAGGTGGGAAAATGAAATGATTCATCACACAAAAAATTCGGAGCCAGGTCCCGGAGATTCCTTTATTAACGTTTGTTCTACAATTTTTTCTCTCAACTGTTACCATCCACTTCCATGACGACCAGACGAGTCTTAGCGCAGAGAGAATGCGGAGAGGTACTTTTTTGCATGAGGAGACTTCCATTGCGAAAGCAAGAGCGAGAGAGAGAGGACGAGACAAGGGGTTCTTTTTCCTTTCATATCATGTTGATCTCCCTCTCCTCTTTGACCCGACCACCCCACGGCGTCTTTGTTCCTGATTTCTCTCGCGGCCTCCTGGAAATAAAGAGCATGTCTAACTACTTAAAATCGTTCCATATTTCTGGCCAACTGTAGCTTGTAGTGGCCATTGGAATGCCAGGTAATGAGCTCACGGTTGTGATGTATACGTAGATGACTATCTAGGTACGATGTGGTTCCCTCATGAGCAGCTCTTGTAGGCACTGTTTTGTACACGATTACTACCAGAAGTCTGATTGGTATGGAAGTTTTCATCTTGGTCTACTATACTCAATAATCACATTACTTATTTCTTGCCAGACTGAGCCGAAGGGTCCTATATCGAGTCAGTATGTCTCAACGCAATCAATCCCGGACCATTCAAGTTGCAGTGAACATACCAAGTAAACCTGGTAAAACTGCATCTTCACACCCTCTCCAGCTTTCTCGGGAGCAAAAACTACCCGTCCAGCCCAGGGCACGTACACATCTTTCTCAGTATCAGCCTTGAGTCTGTAGTTCACGCCACCGTAAAGCATGATCTCGTTCTCGCCGCTGAAGAAGATGCGCGACGGCGTGTGTTTCCGAGATGCGACGTGTGCCCAGAGACCGTGGCGAAGGGGTAGGATTTCTAAACAGTATTAGCAGCCTCTCATTGACCTCGGAAGATGGATACTTTATAGGGGCCATAGTGAATCTCCGATATACTAGACTCGGACATGTTTCATCGCTGACCCCTTCAAGTTCTTATATCCGATAGAATTATATAGAAGAAAAGAACTCGAACATACCACTCGAACCCTTCGCCTCCTTCGGGCCCATAATCAGTGTAGCATCTTCCGTGAAGCTCTGAACATACTTCTCGTGCAGGGACTCGGTATCACTGGTGCGGTAGAAGTCCTCCATAAATGCGACGAGGGCTGCACCCCGCGATGGTGCGCGGGCCGTGTCGTAGGCGATGTTGTATGACATTATTGCTTTTGATGGGAAATTTCAAATAGAAGGTGATTAAGAGTGACGAGATGCTTTAGATGAATGGATGTATGGAGGTTCTAAAATGGTTATATGTTGCCGTTGTCTGCTCATTAATGTCCATTTCATCATTGAGGGGCCGTCGGTCCGAGGCGGTGGTGCCGCATCCGATCTTATCGTGCTCGATTTACCAGGACACCCACCACTCATTTGATGAGAGAATGTATTCGTGGATTAAGGTTTTATCCATTGCAGGCTTTGGCTATATTTCTCGAATATCCAAATGGTTGGCAGTGCTAATAAAGACTCGCTTGGTGAAGTTTAACCTGTTCAATCGGTCAATGTGAGCACAGAGACTGTGGTACCTATTTACTTCTCTTCCGACGGTGGCAGCCGATTACCCACTGGTATGTCCGGGTTTCAATACTCGGATGCTTATTTCGGAGTACAAGTGGGATATGCTCATTAAATGACGTCTTTAGAAACTTGATCATAATATGCAATCTATGTACAATGCACTACTGGTAGTTGCTTATCTTCTCTTCCCAATGGAAATGCAACAACGCTCAGCACTTCTTCATATCACCCTCACCCTCTCCATTTACCTTAAAGTCTTCCCAATTGGCCTTGTCAGAGCCATTGGGTCGGCTTGCCCGAACAAACTGATTATCCACACCCTCAACAATAGCAATAGGTTTCACAACTTCGATATCCGCATTATAAGCCTGCGCAAACCACTTCTCAGTCAAAGCCGGCCGCCCCGCTTCCGCCTCAGTGCCAGCCGGGGTATAAAGGTGCGGGAAACGCGTCTGCATGCCCTTGAGAACAGTAGATGAGATGCGGTCCACACTGTCGCAGTGGCGTAGCTTAAAGAAATCAGCTGGTTGGGCTGCGCGCAGTTGCTCCTGGACCTCAGCAGGGTACTGGCCCACCGCGAAAAGGAGAAGATCGTAATGCATCAGCGATGCCTTGCCGTGGTAGGAACCACCAGTCTTGGCGCGGTGATAGAGACCGGATAGTGCGGCGATGGCGCCCATGCAGCCTGTGCCGTAATCGGAGATGGGGAAGGGTGGGACGACGGGGTGGTTCAGGCCCATGAATTTTCCTTGTGCCCACGCGATACCGGTGACCTTTATAGAAAAAGTTAGCGGTGATGAACTAAATGCCCGTCAATTGTTTTGTCACGAGTCAACTTACGCAGTCAGCGATTTGTTGCCATCCAGCGCGTCCGGCCCATTCACCCTCATAGCCGAAGCAGTTCTCATTCACGTAAACAATACCCTTTCCACGCTTCTCGGCCAGCGCGGCCATAGCCTGTGGGCCGTATCCCAACTTCTCCAGTGCACCAGGACGATATCCATCGACGATGACGTCCACATCATCGAGAAGTTTCTCGAATTCCTTGCGTCCGGCTTCCGTCTTCAGATCCAGGTCTGCGGCATGTTTGCCCATGTTCCCGTCAACCTGGAAGAATGGCACATCGGACAGGTTGGGGCTGGTCACTTTCAGAACGTCTGCGCCGTACTCGGCCAGGATACGTGTGACTGTTGGACCGGCGATGATACGGCACATCTCCAAGACCTTGACACCCTCCAAGATCTTGGTGCTACCGGCACGGCGGGTAGGGAATGGAGTCGGGGCGATGTTTCCCGGAAGCTGAGTGACTTTCCAAGCGGGTTCTTCGACATTGAGTTCGCCCTTTTGGTGTGTTAGTATCCACCGGAAATAAGTGTTATAGATTTTAAATACGTACGTGTGGGGTCTTGATGAACTCCTCGTGCTTCAGAGCAGGCACACCAGCCTGTCGCCTCTCCCTGTTCATCTCCTCCAGCTCGGTCACAGAGTATTTCTGGACATGGCTCTCGATCTCCTTGATAACATCTTCATAATCGGTCAAATCAGGTCGGTGACCCTCGAGTCCGATCATGTTCAATGTGGTACTGGCTTCCAATGAACCGTGAATGTGGTAGAACTCGCCCGGGTTCTTAGTCTTGTACAAGTTAGCCGACATACGACGGTAACCATTTGATTGCGCAGCTAGCAAATCCGTATCTACATTTCATTAGCTCATGTTTTACTCCTCAAATTCGAGAGACCCACACATACCCTTGAGCTTAGATTTCACATTCGGATCCAATTTCGACAATCCATCCACCTTGGCCATGTACGCTTGGCATCCGAATGCCGTGGCACCCTCCAGGCTGACTCGGACTCCACGAGGCTGGGCGCCACTTCCAAATCGCAGATCGGCCAATGCAGCAGCCACAGAGCCCTCGATGCCCTTCAATGCCGCCAGGGTCTCGGTCTCCTTGAACGGAATGGGGAAGTATATCTCATTGTGGCTGGTGGAGAAGGAAACTCGGTCCTTGTTGGCCAGAACCTCTGATGGTAGACTCAAACGCTCTGATTGCTCGCACAAGCTGGAGAAAATCTGGCTGGTCTCGAGAACGGGCGAGTATGCCGCACCGTTAGAATGGCCGTTGCTTGCCATCTTTGATATTGTTTCGCTTTTGACTTCGATGTTAATGATGCTAGTTTGATAACCCAGACGAGTGCTTTAAGCCACTTGTCTGGTCAATTCGAAAATGTGACTTTGCGAATTGTTCAAATCTCGTCTTGAACAATCTGTGCTGAGAACGTTTAAGGTTGCGCGGAAAGTTTGAATAGATCGGCAGTGGCGAACCCGGAAAATACGAACTTCGATCAGAATCTCGTCCAAACCCGGGGGCGGGCGTGAGGACGAACTACCAGACTATATATGACGGCAATCATCGGGATCTCTCCGTCGGGTGGTAACCGCTCATCAGCCGACGGGTCGATATTTCAAGGCGGATGAGGGAATGCTTGAGGGACCCCGCAACTGCAGATCCGAAAAGAAGCGATCCGGCTCGGCAGCTTCGAGCCGTTGGTGATTTTCGGAAGCGATAAGATCGGATGTGCCATCACGTGGGTAGGGTCACTTTTACAATTACCAAGTAAATATTGTAGTAAAAGAGTATGAAATAAAATGAACTATATTTAGCGTTGATTGGTAGATTGTGACAGCTGCAAAGTTTAGCACCACTCATAGTATTCCCACTAGCATACTAGGTAGACTCATAGTATGTCAGAGGCAATTGCAGAGCCTTGCACTGCTCCCTTTCATCCAGATCCACCATTTTGGAAGGCCACTGTAGACGGTGCAGTCGATAATCTCCATGTCCAAATGGCATCCATTCCCCGCCAACTCAACCTGTCGGGTAGTATTGGCATATCCTCTCGCCTCAAGAAATCCCGAATCCGGAGTCGGCCGACCAGTACGAGCAAAGCTAGTCCAAAGATCCAGTACATACTGTTCAAATGGAAGATCGAACCCATCACGTAGGGGACGTCCCTGTCTCAAAAGGTTGCCAAAGACATAGTACAGCTCTCCCGAATGACACTTGAAGTATTCTTGATTTGGGTCGCCGTGGGGGTACTCGGATGTGATAGGTGCGTCGCATACTGGCGCGTTGGGGGACCAATCTAGCATCTGGTATGATCGATTAAATTCATAGAAGAAGACCTCTGGAAAGATTCCATTTTCGAAACCACTATATCCAGTCGCTTGGTCAATGCAGCGGAAGATGCCGTCCGTGGCGATGTGGGCCGTAGTGTTGAAGATGTCGAGCGTTTTGTTCAAAGTAGACGGAACTGGGAATAATTTCGAGTTGCTGAGAACGCTTGATGGCATTTCGGAACCATTCAAGAATGTCTGGATGGTCTCATTCGCCGTGGGGTATCCAATCATGGCAGCTCCGTCATCTCTCGTCGTTCCGATCATGAGAGGCACATTTGCCGTTTTCTCAGGGTATGTCAGATCTAATTGCGAAGTCTCAAGATACTTCCCATCCACAACGAGATATCTGGCTACCGCATCAAGTCCCGTAATTGTGGCAGCAGGAAGCGCTCTCAGACATTTAACCGGTGAACTAACGCCCGTGCAGTTCGTCAGGGTCAATATGTCCTTCCCCACAACTTCCATCTCCTCTGCGATTGTGTAGTACTTGGAATAGGTCGTCCCATACCCCAGCCCTCCAAGATTACTTTGCATAATCGCGCCGGCAAACTTGCCCCGGGCTTGAGGAGATGCGAGTAAAGCCCTGACGGAGCCTGCCCCGGCCGACTGGCCAAATATAGTGATTCGGTCAGGATCGCCTCCAAAATCTCGAATATTACGGCGAACCCAATTTAGAGCGGTAATTTGGTCTGCAATTCCATAGTTGCCGTTTGTTTCTCCGTCATCCAGAGCCAGAAACCCCAGTGTTCCCAGTCGGTAGTTGATAGTCACCACCACAACATCCCCTCTTGATGCAAGGTTACTTCCATCCATTAGGGTATCGCTACCTGATCCACTTGTGAAAGCACCACCATGTATCCAGAACATGACTGGTTTGAGTTTCCTCTTTGGAGAGTGCTGAGAACGGGGCAGATATGGTGTCCAAACGTTGAGGAAGAAGCAGTCTTCCGATTCGAGACATGTAGAGCCGTAGTTCAAAGCGGAGACCATGGTATTTGATCCTTTATGTAGTTGCGAGTACTTCCATCTTTCCGTGGGACCTGCGTATCGAATACCGAGGAAGCGGAAACTCAAGTGATCGCGAAATCTAAGTCTGTTAGCACTTCCCTGTGGTGTTTGAGGGCGAATATTCACATACCCAGTGATGTACTCGTTATTCGAGCGAACGGCAATCTGCCAAGACGAATTGATATCTTGAAAGGTAGGGGTAGAGTAGGGGGCAGTTTGGGTGCAGAGAACTGGTAAGTTCTCATCGGAGGAAGTTTTCTTCACTCTGCCGTTAACATCTATTGTTGACGGTGTGCTGTGTATAGAGGCAATCCAGTATCGCTGACGTTTATTTTTATCGCCCTGATAGACTAAATACTTTAGATCATTTTCAATATCAGAGAACCCTGCCTCGATTGACCAAAGTCTCTCTCCAAGACTCTGGCAGGTTTGTATCGCTCTTTTCAGCGGCATCGGGTCCAGAAGCAAGATGCCCGACCCGGCCCATGGGCTTACATTTTCTAGATGTAGAACTTAGTCATTGACAGTTTCAAGTTCACGCATGTAGTAGTTAAGTATCAACCTTGTAAGTCATTTTGAATAAGAATCGCAAGATCCGAATTCAGTGAACCTGGGCTAATCACCGCGCTAGCGATGGTCACCAGTAGATAAGTGAAAGAGAAGAACTTGAGTAACATTTCCAGCTACAACATCGAGATATCTCACAGGTCGGGTCCCAATCCCACCCTCATTTCTACTAGTACTTTCCCGTTTATGAAGTATCCCTGGGGACATTCTATCCGCCAATTTAGGCACGGCATCCCCGCGCCGGGAAAAATGATTCCATCTAAATAGCCAGACGATCCATTCACCCGGTCCAATAGAACGAAGTAGATTGAATTTCTTCAACGAAGCTTGATCATACTTTAATAATGAAAAGGCTTTCCGGGGCATATTTGCGTTGAGCCGGAGAGAAGAACGGGAGGAGGAGATAGGAGTGGCTGGGAGTGAGATGTGCCTGTAGCCTGTAGCCTGCCTGGGAGTGACTCAGACACAAGCATAGGGTTGTCAACAACCACAATCAGGCAAAATACAGTTCTTTCTCAAGGGCACCCGAATTATTCAGACTGTTTACGAGAATGGCATCGCAACCGAACAATTCCACGAAAAAATCTCCGCCTCCACCACCACCACCCCCGCCCCCAACTTCAAGCTCGAAGCTATTGTCCCTCACTTCGCGAATGCGAACAGTCCCACCAGAGACGTACTTTCCTTCTGATTTTGGAAGGGCTCGGATACCAGCACCGGAGGGGGTCTATTTCTTCTACGGATCTCTCCTCGACCCAAACATGCTAGTCGAAATTCTAGGACTAGATACCACGCCCGAGCTCCGTCCCGCATATCTCAAGGGCTATCGATGCAAGTTATGGGGACAATACCCCGCTTTACTACCCTCTCCCGAAGGCGAGAGAGTCGAGGGTGCTGCATACAGAGTGCGGAGACAGGGTGATGCGGAGAAATTGGCGACATATGAGACCCGTTCCTACCTGACCAGCCCTTGTGAAATCAAGTATATAGATTATAGATGGTCAATCTCCGGGGCGAGAGGAAGGGGTTGTTTTCGTTTTTGTGGGGAATGAAAGGGAGCTTATTGATGGTTCTTTTGATTTGCGGGGTTGGTTGAGGAGGGTTGGGAGGTTGGAGGCGTTGCATCAACTGGACGCTAGGAAGCAGAAGGGCGCTGTTGGGGTCGGGGTTGAGGGGGCTAGCTGCTAAAATAGTAAGCTGTGCTAGATGAGATGATTCGAACTAGATGGAACTATATCACGAAGCTTCCATGCGAGACTAGGCCTAGTTTCGGTCGGGTATCTTGCTTCAGGTACAAGTGACTTGCGATTGATGGAGACAGGCCCCTGCGTCTGCGTCCGGTATCGCAGCGGCCCTGTGACTGATTGCCCATGGCTGATGACAGTTGTCGATGATCAAGTCGAGAAGTATTCATGTAGTACCTTGTGCCCGGTTTATTGCACCGTGGTGGCGATTGTTGTGCACTGTCCCTATGCTCGATGTGTGATCACGGTCGATCAATCCCATCTTCGAGGTACCTACTCACTAATCATTAATTACAAATCTCCAATCTTGCACCTCTGATCTTAAACAGATCATTTCACTTCCTGTCTCATCTACAATGACATGAGCTCCCTCGTGTGGGGAGACCTATACCCCTCCTATTTCTCTCACAGTGCGTTGATGCGGGGCAAATCTACGCAACGCCATCCCCGAGGCCCGAACATGTCGGAAAGCCACAGCGTAACTCAGATTTCGCCCGAGACAACGTTGGCCATTCGCTTTGTGCCGCGAGAAATAGAAATAGATACTTGAATAACCAAGGCAGGACTAACCCCTCCCTGGGATTGTGGATATTGAAATATGGGCTAGGAATTGAAACCCTACGCTAACCCCACCTAAACGACAATTCATCGCCATCGATGCGGGCCAAGAGGCAGCGTCATCATCAAACATATCCCGAAAAACCCAGCTGGTTCTATTTGCAGGGAGCAAAATTACGAGTGGCTGCGCTGTCTTACTATGGAGTCGTGGGCAGTGGGTGCAATTGGGACACGAGACGAGGGGTTTCATATGCGACGGGGGGCCCAATAGTAGAAAATGGCGCGGTGGTAACCCGGCAGAGTATAACCCTCGAAAGTCAGTATTTGATCCACCGAGAAACATGCGGCAATTGAGGAGAGTAGAGGAGAGTGTAGTTTGTAGAGTGGGTATACGAAATATACACTCCAGAGAAGGCAACGCAAGACTGCGCGGCGCATTGCGCGGGGTGGCTGATCAACCTCAATGCGGCGAACCAGGCACGAAAGAAGGATGGAATTCGCAAGCGCATGGCGCGAGTAATAGGCTGTGTAGCCCCCGCGTGCATAGGCCTGTAGATGTACATGTACATCTACATGTAATCTGTACCGATACCCCCGGTGCGCGTGAACTGCAAGTACTCCCCATACGGAGTACCGAGTCGGAGTACCCTCGGGCCCTAAAGGCCCCCACCCCTGACTTGACGTCAGTGCGCGAGTCCAGAATCAATCGGGAGACCCACTCGAGAGTTGCGGCGAGCAGAGAGGGGCATTTTGGGGGTGCATTTTTTGGGAGATGAAATCATGAAGACTTCAGTGGGGTGGGGAATGAGAAGCGAAAAAGTTAGCGAATATTTGGTGAGTTCAATAGCGGAGGAAGAACTGGATGGATGGCTGAGTAAAGGAAGATCACAAGTATGCGATGGCGGCTCTTATTGGACAGGGTTGCACGTGCCGAAAGGACGTCTTATCAGTACTCTACAGTAAGAGTATTAGGGTACAGGGTACCACGGTTATAGGGTATCAGGGTATTAGGGTATCCTGTACTCCGTACCGTAGGTACCAGTACCTGCCTATCTACGCTGTTTAGGGCTGCGCCCTGTGCACCTGCACATCTTTGATCGCTGAGTGGAGCGCCCAGTGGGATTCCTGGGATTCCATTCCCTGTTCTTCCCTGATTCTCACAGGGATGTACTAGTAGATGTCCAAGTACGGAGTGCTTACTAGATAGTAAAGAGTACTATCTATTATTCTGTACTATACAATAGTATCTATACTCAACTATAGATATATATAAGTACATAATTAGTACTATAGCCAACTACGGGGTACTATAACTACAGAGTATAACTATAAGTATAACTATAGTAAGTATACCTAACTTATAAACTGGACCCGGAAGTGCCCGGCCCCAATCACCCGCCCGACTGCCCGCACGCCCGCACGAGCAAGGCCCACTGATTCTCACTGGCTTTGGCTTTAGCCCACGATGGAGTACAGCCCGTTGGACTGGGTACTTCACTACGGAGTACCACAATTAGGTACTCCCACACGTACGGGGTACCTGCTGTCATACTGAGTACCCCTCCTGCCTTCTTATTCCCAGCTTTTCCCTCTTCTCTTCTCTTCCTCTCTCTCTTATCTTCACTTCTCCAACTTCTCTGGCTACATCCTATCACATCGCTGATCTCCTCCCTGATCAGTCATCCTGCCCCTTGCGCGTCGCAATCTCCCCCCCGACCAAGTGTCGCGTATTCGTGTCAGTCGTGCGGTCGTCCTGCAACCTACACACACACACACACACAACCACAGACACACGCATACACTCTTCTTTGTCTCTTGGTTATAAAGAGGTAAGCCTCCCGGTCTCTCCTTTGTTATCACCCCCGGATCGGCTTGTCGCCACTCGCCCTTCCTCCAATCGCGTGGCGCGGCTTGGTCGCAAAGAGCATAATAGGAACACGTCTGACTCATATATGGCTTTGCCTTGCGCGCTTCACAGACATATTTCTTCTCTTCTTCACCACCCATCATGGCATCGCAGACCAACTCCAGCATCGCTATGGCTCTTGCTGGCAAGACCGCCTCTGTTGACATCCCCAAGCCCCGGTCGGGCGTCCCAAGCAAGGCCTCGTCGCGCCCTGGCCAACCGGCCATGCTTCCGACGCCACCCAACTCCATCTCACCCACTCTTCCCCCACATGCCTTCAAACATCGCGCCGCGCTGTCACCCGGCTCGCCTCTGTCGACGGTACCGCAGCTGGACTCGGATATCGACCTAGAGGACGCGGTCGAACATGCCATCAGTCAGAACCAGCCGCAGCCGGCCCATGAGCTCGACAGCGCCGGTGCCATCACCCCGGCCATGCTGGCGCGTTACCATCTTCCCGAGATCTTGCTATCGCAGGGTCCTCTGGCCATCCGTCATGTCATGGGCCACCTGACAACCTCTGTCCCGGGGTTCTCGGGGATCCCCCCTGCCAAAGCACGGCGTCTGGTTGTCGCGGCGCTCGAAGGCCGCGGAAATGGCGGCGAGGCTGGTGGAAAGAATGGCGATGTGATCTTTGAGAAAATCGGCTGGGGACGTTGGGATGCGCGTCGTCGTGGGGATTCTCCACGTGAACGCTCGTTCGACGTTTCCTCTCCCCTTCCAGTGTTGTAGGCTCTTTCCAGCAACGTGGATTGCAAATCGAAGGTCGTGATAACGATCGTCGGTATTCATATGCCACCGGCATGGACTCTGCCGCCTTCTCTTACACCGAGGACTACCTACCTGGAGACCTTGACATGCTTGAACACGAAGCCGATAAGATGTCTTTGGACGGCGAAGACGGACTGGAGTACTGCTCCTCCTCCGAAGTTCCAGATGAGATGCAAGAAGACGATGAAGGCACTGACACAGACGAGGAAGACTGGGCTCAGATCGGTGCGGATGCCCTGCGCGCCCGCTCGTTCAATGGGGGTGGCGGTAGCGGTCCTTTCGTTCGCAGCAATGTTGCTGCTCGAGCGAAGCCTCTTCCTGCTGGGTTCTTCGGCGCCGGACCCACTCCCGACGCGAAACCGCCCCGCACTTTTGACACTCAGGAACGCGCCGCGGTAGAGGCGCTACTCCGCTTGGGCTCCATGTAAAGCCTTTATACCAATATTCATGATCGGCGTTTTGGTTTTCCTTGTCCACGGAGTTTCTTGAGTTTTCTGGGATACACGTTTTTTTTGTCTTTTATACCTTTTGGTATAAATAATGAGGTCGTCAAGGCAGGTCCGGACCATTCTTGACGTACTTCTCCGTTTTTTGTTACGATTGTGTCTCTATCAGAAAAGACTTGCCGAACATGCCAGTCCACATTGACGCATGGCATGCTCTACGACATGACTCTTGGAGGGAACAACGACGTTGGGAATTATCATTCTGCGTTTCCCATAATTTTTTGCTTCCACCGCAGCCCTGCTGGCTACTGAACCCTGCTGCGACGTGAAAAGCACAAATACCCCTTCAACTCGACTATTCTTTTCTAATTCCGCAATCATTTTTCCGCATATGCAGGTCCGGGGCTTCAACCATACCCATCGGACCTCTCACGACCCTTTTCGATCCTACACCTTTTCTAATATTGTCCTCTTCGGATTCATACTTCTCATATTGTGTGTTCTGAGCACTCCACTCTACCCGGTCATGAACAGAATGTCTGTCAATCTCGGAAGAGAACGAGCTTGTTGGTCGTCTTCATTGCACCGCACTGACACACCCGTTCAATCTTTTCTGGTCTTTGTCTGGCTCTATCGTCTGTTTTTGGTTGGCTCTCGGTCATCTTAATTGATTCTACTGAGAGTTTTATCCTTGATACTTCGTTCTTGGTTCTTCTCGTCTGGGTTGTGTGTGCCCGGTATGTTTGGAACTGAGTCTGACGTTGTGGATAAGTACATATATGCGGTCACTACATTGTGCCTATCTTAGGTTAGGGGATAATCCAACTAGTGGATATCCATTTCGAATTTATAACCCTTATATCATTTGGGACCAATCTTCTTTCTCGGCCTTAGACTGATCTCAGGACCTTTAAGGTAGTAGTACCATTCAATTTGCAACACAGCCGGTTATCATGTTCGTCGAAAGTAGTCAACTTTGGAAGACTACTAAGTACCTACTAGGTAGTAACATTTTACATGCCCAGGTACTAATGTATTTAACTGACTAACTACCTAGGTAGGTACTAGTAGTATAAGCCTTCAATAAATAGGAGCTCAGTGGCCATAGATCTGCCACCTGGGCACTTCATATTCTGCATCAAACATAAAATAGTTAGTATAGCCAGAATCCTTCAAAATAGCATAGATCGTTGTGCTTTGTACTACTAGTTTCACCTAGTAGAGCTACCACATCAAACACAAGCTGTACTTGCCCTGGTGAGTAGAGAAGGCAAGGATGATACCAGGGGAAGCCCAAGTAAGGCAGAGCTCAATAATATCACTCGTTAGGACTTCGCAAAGACTGCATCATTTCATTTCATGATTCCGAGTTCTATACCATATTTCCAAGGTTCAGATACTAACATTCGATAAAATTTACTGGCCCTGACGAATATTTAAGCCAAAAAGCCAACGAACCAAGCCGAGACACATAACCATATCCAATTTCAAATGATACTTCCCAAGCCCAAGTGAGAGAAAAGCCCCGCCGCCGAAAAAAGCCCCTAAAACAAGAACGCCGGCTGGCCTCCTTCTAGCCCGATAAAGCAGCAGTAAAGGTAAAGTTCAAACCCATAAACAATCCGATCATACCTCTCAGGAAAAGAGAGACCCAGACCAACCCTAAACATAAAACATAACAAAATAATTCTTAACAAAGCGCAGAACTTCGACCCTCATCGGACCGAACTATTTCCCATGCGCGTCATTAATCCGCTTCCACACCTCCGCTTCGACCTCCGCCAACTTCGTCCCGGCACTCTGCATCCATGACCTAGCCGTCCCCATGAATCCCTCCTCCTCGTCGGGGAAGATATCACCCGCGCCACCGCCGCTGCTCCCACCCCCACCGCTATGCAGGGGCAGACCGGGCTGCGAACTGCCGGGTGGGGGGGTTATATAGATTTGCGTAGGGGGTGGAAGTTGAGTTTGGGGGGTGATGGGACTGTGGCGAGCGGTGGAAGGAGTAGGACTGTGTGAATGCGGCGGGCGGTGCGTGTGCCGGTGCTGTTGCTGTTGGATGGGTGGGTGGATGTTGGGGGGATGGCTTCACCTGCTTTTGGTGGAGGGGGAACGGGAGATTGTGCTTGTTGGTTTGGTGGTGATGCGGTTGGTACGGCGCCTGGTTGAGGGGGTGCTGGAGAGGACGATGTTGTTGGCAGGGTGGTTGTTGGAGTGCCGGTTAGGTTTGCTGTTGGGGCGGCATAGGCAGATGATGCTGTTGGCGTTGGGAGGCTGGGAGCGGCGCCTGGTTGGGCATTCTGCGCTGGTGCAGGGATCGGAGAGTATGATGGGGCTGTAGCTGTAGCTGTTTCCGAGGTATTTGGAAGGGAGTTTGTTGCTGATGTTGAAGCGTCGTTTGCGGTGGCGGGTTCGGCGTTTGAGGTGGTTGCCTGAGTTGGGGTTGGCTCCTCTTCCTTGTTGGAATTAAGGGGCGCTGAGGTGTAGGTCTGTACTCCGGACATTTTGCTTTGGAATCTTAAAGGGACAGGAGTTGAAGAGAAAGAAAAAAGCGAGAGTTTATAAAGAAGGGAGCTTCAAGGAGCTCGAGCCCCAGACGTCATGCGCCTGCCGCAGTGGGGCGGTCGCCGCTTTAGGGTGGATTTTTCGTGAAGCGCTGATGAACTGTTGTTGATGAAGACTGGAGAGCAATTTGGATTTAAACTTGTTGAATACTAGCAAGCTTCTTCTTTCAGTGAATACTGATGCCATTGGAAAATGCCGGTATTTCCCACCGTTACGTGATACCCAGATAAAGCCAGATCATCTCGAACAGGCACATCCGGGCCTCAGGCAGAAGGATAAACAGGATCAAGCCCTTAGGAATTGACGTTGGAAGGCAGAAAGTGAGATGTGTCCTCATAATAATTTCATGTTGGGGTTAAGTTCACGGATTACATGTTTGTCTACAGAGTACAAAGGCACTGGATCATATATAATCGAAGAAAAAGAAAAAGAGTTTGCAGGCAGTAAAGTACATCGGGTACGTAAAGGGAAGAATCACACCATTCTATGCTTCAAGATCCCCCCCAGACCCATTTCTTGACGCATCTATCTTTTGCAGGGCCAGCAAGCTCTGCTTCCCCATCACCCGGCTATACCGAGCAGGGTATCATCCCCATCCCCAGTATGACTACAGGTGTTTAGACAATTCGCTTTGAGGGCGAGTTATCTATTTGAACTTCTTTCCGAAGAGCAGGAGCTGGGCCTGGTCGTAGATGGACAGGACACCGGCACCGGCAACACCACGGAGGATGTTAGCACCGGCACCCTTGAACAGGGACTTGACACCCTCGTTGGCGATGATCTGGCGACCGGCATCGAGGGAAGACTTGTACTTGACGGCCTCACCGGAGGTCATCATCATGCGGCGACGGATGGTGTCAAGGGGGTAAGAGGCAACACCGGCAGCAGTGGTGACGGTCCAGCCGAGCAGGAAGGAGGCGAGGAAAGAACCCTCGAGAGAGCCAACCAGGAGAACGGGCTTGATGGAATCGTACATTCCGAAGTACAGACCACGGTAGACAACGATACCGAAGACGGAGGGACCGAAACCACGGTAGAGACCGGCAATACCGTCGGAGGCAAGGGTCTTGCGGTAGACATCCACGAGACCGTTGAACTGACGGTCACCGCCACCCTTGGTGGACTTGGCGTCGTTGGCCAGACGGGTACGGGCGTAGTCCAGGGAGTAGACGAAGAGGAGGGAAGTGGCACCGGCAGCACCACCGGAGGCAAGGTTACCCATCATCCACTTGGCGTATCCATCACGCTCCTTCTTGTAGGCGAACATGGACTTGTAGGTGTCGCGGAAAGCGAAGTTCAGGGCCTGGGTAGGGAAGTAACGGATGACGTTGGCGGTGTTACCACGCCACAGCGAAACCATACCCTCATCGGCGATGGTGCGCTTGAAGCAGTCACCGAGACCGGCGTACTTGTGGGACAGACGGCCAGCCTTGAGCATCTCATCCTGATAGAAGAAAGAATACCAATTAGTGACCGATCGACAAAAAGATTCCTGCCGAGCACGGACGCGGAAAAATTTCTTCAACCCTTGCTGAAGATCACAAGGAGGTGTATCACGCTGAGGTGAATAGACCAATGGTTGAATCACGACAGAGGGTTGAAGATATTTCATTGCAATGTCCAGTGCGGGTAGTGTTTCAACGGATTCAAGATTGACCAACCTGGTTCTGGATCAGGAGCTTGATACGCTCAATGGGGGCGGCAGCGGTCTTGGAGACAGCGGCGGAAACACCACCCACTGTAAATCAGTTAGTAGCTGGTCATGGAGTGCATTGATTGTTGGGAATCCAGTGTGGAAACTGAATGTGTAAAAGTGTTGTACGTACTCAGGAAGTCGACAACGAAGCCCTGTGAAAAATTTTCGTCAGCATGTTTGTTCTCTCAAATATCGATCAATTGCTCCCGTGAGCCACCGTCCGGTCGAGCAGAGCCCATTAATTCGAAGCATATTCCGATCGAGATGAAGATTGAAATCGGATTGATGATGCATTCGGATTGATGGAGTCGCAAAACGCTGGATCTGATGGCAGGGGCACAGGGTGAAAGAGGTAAAACTTACGGGCATGCCGAAAGCGGACTTATCGCCCTGGTTAACATCACCGGTAGCCATTGTGAAAGGTTGTGCAAAAGATGGATGCGACAACGAAAAAAAGAGAGGAGATGGGGAGTGTCAAGAAAGACGGGGATGAGGAAGAAAAAGAAGAAGAAGAAGGGCGCCGGGGCGGAAGGGGGCGACAAAAATACCAGCGGCAGAAGCGATGGGAGGCCACTAACACCCAATCAGGATGGCCCAGGGGCTTTTATTACCGTAATCTACCGTAATTTGCTGGTATTCCGTCTCTCCCCTTTCTGCCCGGCAGGCCGAATTCTCCCGATCGCTGCCATGCAAATTTTTTCAATCCGTGCGACGTGGCTTGTTTGGGGGTGTGAGGAATGTCGAGTAGGGAATTGGTATCAAATAGTCTTTATTGTATATATGTTCTACTTACTCGACTTTGATTCGAGTGTTTAACCCTCGTCCCATATCCTCAATTCTTCCAAAATCTCCTTCCCTTCCTGCTCGTCCTCTGGGAAAACCCTGCGTAGTCCGGAGCAACGGCGCCCAAGCGCGGCGAGTGGACACCATGTATGGGTACGTATTTTGCCCCCCCAGCCAATGCCGGGCCTCCACACGGGGCACCTCCTTTTTTTCCCTCCCCCGAGTATCCGAGTGCTGGCCAAATTCAGGTCCAGAAACTTGGTTCTTGTCCCGAGCCCGGCCTTGGGACACTCTGTACAAAGTATGGAGTACTCTATGTTCTGTACCGAGTAGATTTGTTCTAACCGGAATAATTTGATATCACCTGCTCGTGATTAGTGCAAAGGAAGCAATCTCAGCTGTCTAGGATAGCTCGGAGACTTGTTTCCAGCTATCAGCTGCAGTAGATACATATGCTAGTCGTGACCTACATGCTCCGTACATGCTAGCTACTCCGTACGGAGTACTGTCCTAGTAAATCGGTTCGATCGGCTTAGTCGGTATCTCCTGCATACTATTACCGTGGTAACCTTGCAGGCGATGTGATACCCTTTCGGGCAGATCAGTCTCCTCGGTACTCCGTTCTGCCTGTAGGGGCTTCGTATTGCCAATCGTGGTCCAGTATGAGACATTTTATGCTGCTATTTATGTTCCGGGTACAAGGTTTACAGTGGAGGGGAGCCGCATTTGCAATGTACCAGGGGTGGATCCACTTGCAGTCCACTATGGACTTGACTTGAGTATGTATACCTCACCTCTTGTATACTACTGGTAGAAATTCCAGGCATACATGGCAATTAATACCTATTAGGTGGTAAACTGGGATTGATACACCTTGAAGTGGTCGATACTGCGCGTCAACTCGAAGTAGTAGCCCTGAAGCACTGGTAGAGCCTGTCTTGTCGGTGCACGTGACTGGCTGGATTGAGTGCATGTTGAATATATATTGAAGCTCAACCTTGAAGGTGAAGGTGATACTACTATCCAATATTTAGTACCTACTAGTTCTAGTATTAGTACCTAGGTGCCTATCTAGGTAGGTAGTGCGGTTTGGCACCTGGGCAGGTGATAATGATGGTGACAGCTCCGAGTCTCCAGACCTCGGGGAGCTGAGATACAGCATTCCAAGGGTTGATACAGTCTTTACTGCACAGTCTAGAGAATACTACTACTAGTAGTAGTCCTCTCTAGTTTAGTGTTCAAGTTGCAGCACGGCACATGCCCTCGTGAAATATCATGGATTCAAATAGATACATAAACTTGAATAAACTCCAGTTACCCAATGACAAGTTATTGACAGTATGACAGCTTTTGGCGCCCGCGCTTAGTTCTTCTTCGAACGCTTTCTCTTCTTTCTCCGTCCATCACCCTCGCGAATGTCGAGTTTCGTCTCATCTTCATCCGCTTCCTCCTTCTCCTCGACTTTCTTGCCTGAGCCAAATTCAAAAGCAGGACCCTCCTCATTGCCGAATGTGTCCTTTCGCCATTGACGAACCCGGGCCCTCTTGCCCAGCTTCCGCTCATCCTTAGCCTTTGCTTCGGGCTCACGGAAGGCAGCGTATTTCTTCAAACCGGCGAATTGATTAAGTTGGTTGTCATCCGCCATGAGAATATCGCGCGCAGTCAGACCGAAACTCTGTGGCGAGGTCTCACGGTAGCGGAAGCGAGTGGCATTCTTCTTGGTGGCACCAGGGAGCAGGGTGATGTCGAGGTCAAGGTTGCGGTCAACTGCTTCCTCAATGCGAAGACGGTCCTTGCGGGCCTCGCGCTTCTGGTCACGCTTCTCTTGGGCTTTACTCTTTTTAGGCTCAGAGTCATCACCCTCGCCGTCCTCTTCATCATTGTCGGATTCAATGGTAGGCTTGGCGTTCTCATCGTCTTCCTTGTAGTCGGGAATAAGATCGGTGATGTCAATATCATCATCCCACTCGGGCTTCTTGGGGTGCTTCTTTCCAGAAGCGTCCTTGCCGGCGTAGTAACCTTCTCCGAATCGCTTTTGCATCTCCGATTCCCACTCCTCGCCATCCCAGGCGCCATCCAGGAACTTAGCCCAGTCTTCATCAGTAAACTGTTCGGCTTGCATACCGGCCACCTCCTTGATCTCGTTGATCCTCGTTTGAAGCTCCTCCGTCTTAAGTTTACGAAGACGGTTCTTCTCCGTTTCCCGTAGCTTCTTCTCCTCTTCCTTGCGCTGACGCTCAGCATCACGAATCTTCTTGCGTGCGCTCTTCTCATCACGACGGACGGAAAGGTCGTTTGTAGTGTCACGAGCGTGGGTGACAAGCACCTCGTTGAGCTTGTTTGGGTCCTCGAAACGGAAATTATAGGCCTCCTCCATAGCGTCTGCCCGCTTCATCTCGTCCTCGTCGTCCGAATCGAAGGGATTAAGCTCTCGCCCACCCTCAGGAATCCATGCGCGCGCAGACAAGAAGTTGGAAAGGAAGGTCTCGGGGTCCTTGTCGGCATTTTCGATATCGAGCTCAACCTTCTCCTCCGGGAGTTCCTCGGGACCAGACTTGCGGACAAGGAAGTCATCCGCATCATCCATTTCATCGTCCGAGCCCTGGTGCATGGCCTTGACAACCTCGTCCTTCAGGTCGGCCTGCTCTTGCGCGAAGGTTCTGGGAGTATCGTCCTCTTCCTCGGCGGGGTCAAGTCCCTTCAGCAGATTCTCGCGGTGGTAGTCGTGCAGAGTCATTGTCTTCTCTTTCTTTTCTTTGGGGGCGGCATCAGCGGCATCGGCGTTTTCGTCGAACTTGGTGTAGAAAGTCACATTGTTGTCGTACACGGCAGGATCCTTGGATCGGATCGCCTTGAGTGTAGCAAGGATCTCTGCATCAAGAGCCTTGGTAGCAAGCTCTCCATCTTCGTCCTCATCCTCGTCGGAGGACTCTTCATCGGAAGGCTCGTTGGCTGGGCCTTTGCCCATATTGGACTTGCCGTATTTCGCCTCCACTGTAAGATAAACCCATTAATCAGCATATTCCAATAGATAAGAAAATCGACACAAGTTAGAGTCCATTGGTAACCTTACGTTTCGCGACTTCTTCTCTCTTCTTGTTGTACTCGAACCGTTTGGCATATTCGGCGTTGACTTTGAAGCCTGCCTCAGGCGACTTTCCAAGAGAAACACCTCCGGCATCGTCGCCGGAGTCTGAGCTATCATCGTCCAAAAGCTTGCGCATCTTCTTCGAAGGAGGCTCCATTGTTTCAATGTGATGAACTGTTTGAACTGTCCTCCAATTCTGGGCAGACCTTGCGGGCCGGCAGAAAGGAAAAAAAAATCGTACACCGCCTTGCGGGACTGTTTGCCTGACTGCCTGAACTTCCTCATGTACCCGCCCTGACGTAGCCAATTAAATCACCAGTCCAAGTCCAGTTCAGTCTAGTCCAGGCTGGAGGGTCTCACTCCCACTGAACAGCACATGGGGAAGCTTTCTACAATCATCTTTTCTTTACCTTCACTTTCTTCGCCAACGAATAATCGATTGACACATCCCAAGTGTCTATTATTTCTTGTTCGCGTCTGAGTGTATGGTGGAGGCATGCACTAGATGTCGACTCAAGCAACCACCCCGTTACCCCCAGTCGGGAAGCTCGTGAGCGTGGTGTATGTCCAAACATCTCCGGATCGACGATCAATGCTAATACTATGTTTCTTATTCTAGGCCGGTTGGTCTTAAAGAAGCTGCCCTCGACTCCCCAACCTTCCGCGCGACCACCCACCACTTCTGCGATCAGATCGAGTTCGTCGAGAAATGGCTTGACGGATACGCCAAAGCTGCGACCAAACTCGCCTCCGAGCTGAACACTTTGGAAAGCGTAGTCGGTAGCTTCCTCTCATATTCCACACACCCGCTGGTGATCTCCGAGGCCGTTGTTGACCATGATTACACTCTGTTGGCGATGAGGAGATGTGGGGAAGGCGCAAAGGACCTGTGGAGTGGATTGACTGCGACGACAAAGAAGATGGAATCGATGATCGCCGAGCCGATCCGCGCCTTCATTCAAGAAGATTTGCGACAGTTCAAGGTAATTTCCGCTGGCGACCGAGACGATCAGGTGGCTTTGGGGCCGTGTTTTGATGCGGATCTGACATCGATATAGGAGAACCGCCGAGCCCTCGAACACGCGCAAAAGTCGTACGATTATCTGCAAGCCCGATATGCTGCCCAGTCCAAGTCGAAGGAAACCTCCGCCTGCGAGAGGAAGCTTTCCAGCTTCATGAAGCCCGCAAGATCTACCTGAAGACATCACTCGACTTCTCGGTTCAGGCCCCTCAGACTCGTAATGCACTGGACCGGCTCCTAGTTCGCATTTCTTTCGACCAATGGCGCGAATTCCGTTCCTTTCATAATAATAATAGCGCGACCTTCTCGAAGTGGTCGAACGAGATGGATCGTGTGAAGGGTTGGGTCCACGAAATGGAGGCCAGTGACAGATCTTCCAAGCGGGAACTTTTTGCAACCAGAAAACAGATCGAAGAAGCTGCGGAGGTGGCGGCTCGGCCCTCCCGTGAACTCGAGGATTACTCCATTTCCACAGTTCCTTACCTCGGATCTCGTCCACTGTCAACGCTGAACATGGGTAAGGATGCTAGGCCGGAAAAACAAGGCTGGGTCAATTTGCGCACCCAATACGGAAAACCAACTCGCACAGTATGGGTGAGACGATGGGCTTTTTTGAAATATGGTATCATCGGATGTCTTGTGCAGGGCTCTCGGACTGGCGGTGTCGAAGAGAGCGAGCGGATCGGCGTGTTGCTGTGCAGCGTCCGTCCCGCTTTCCAAGAAGAACGTCGGTTCTGTTTCCAGGTCAAAACCAAGAACAGCACCATAGTCCTACAAGCGGAAACACAAAAGGAACTGATGGAGTGGATTGGTGCCATTGAGGCTGCTAAGCAGAAGGCCTTGGAGAATCCATCCAGCACTGACATGTCAATTTCTGGCAAAGTGACTGTTCAAGATCCCGCATTTTCAATCTCTCAGCCTCCTGCGCCGGAATTCACAGCAGACCCAACTGATTCGTTGACGCCCCACACGGCCGACGAGCCAAGTAGCACCGAGCGCAGCTCAACCTTGCCTGTTCCTGATCACGAGGCATTCAGAAAGAGCTCTGATGTGGGAGGCCGCAGACTCACTGGCCTGGACCATGAGGGATCGACCAGAGATCACGCCCGGGAACACACGAATCGAATCATTCAGAAGCTGGACCTTCATCGCAAGTCTAATAATGCGGCGCCTACGTCCCCTTCCATCCCCGGCCCGGCAAGTGGAATAGCAAGTCTTATTTCGGCTAGCCACAACGTTCTTCCCTACGCGGGCGCTGCTCCAGTCAATCTGGCCGAGAATGGCCAACATAGAGGCCGCAGCCTGAGTAATCTTGAGGAACCCGGGGCAAACCTGGCGCCTGGTACCCTTGCAAATCCGCCTGCTCCAACAAGTATGAGCAAAGCCGCCGTGGTCGTGAGTAATGAAAGGGGCATAGGGCTAGGGCACGTTGACAGCACGGGTGGAATGCCTAGTGGTATGATGGCCAATCTATGGGGTAGCTCGAATTGGGGTTTCATCAATAAGCTCCAACGAGAGAATCCCGATGGGGACCATGAATCGGTATCAGATCGACCTTCGTCGGTGAAGAGCGATTCCTCACAAAAGACCTTTGCTGTGCACCCAGATAAACCTACTGTTTCCTCCACCCCGGGCAGCCGAGCGGACCACGACACAGACAGACAGTGAGCCTGGATGGAAATGCATCCAAGATCCAGCGGGCTGCTGTGGAGGCGGCTGTAGAGGCTGCTGTGGGTGTTTCTCCACAAGAGTACCCTGCTAACTACCCTCAGCAACTGAAAATTCAGGATTCTCAGTTCCGATTGCTGTTCCCCGATGTCAAAAGAGAGGAATCCTTGGTGTTGGTATTCAGGGCAACTTGGAGTCCAAACGATCAGCAAGAGTTCCCTGGCAGAGCTTACGTCACAACTCAGAACATCTACTTCTACAGCCATCACTTTGGACTGGTGTTAACAACCAGTGTATCATTGGAGAGCATCAAAGAAGTGACAGCTGCCCCCGGAAGAGACTGTGATTTCCTTTTCCTGCATACCATTCCTCCCATGGGAAGTGATACACCTGGCAGGGTCGCAGTCAAGACTTTCCTAGAGCCTCTTCGACTGCTGCAGAAACGTCTGAATTATCTGATACAAGGATCGATTGCGGTTGAGCGTATGAGTTTGGACAATGTGATTAGGGATCTGATAAAGTTGGACAGTGGACCTACGAAGAGGTCTTCAAGCGCAGATAGCTGGGAAGACTTTTCTGGCCCTGGAGAGTCTAAGAGCGACAGCAATCTTATTGCCCACGGACACGGAAAGGACCTACGTCTTCCGATCTACATCGACAAGGATCTTGACCTTGATGGTGGTAAAGGTCGTGGGCACAACCTTCCGAGATTTAGACTCCCTACTCAACCTGTCGAATATGTTCCCCAGGGCGATCTTAAATTAGCAGTCGAGAAGGTTTTGGATATCAGTCCCAAGGCCCTCTTCCACATTCTCTTTGGTGATAAGAGTGCTGTATGGCAGCTTCTACTTCATGAGCGAGAAGCTCGAGGTAAGATGAATTGTTCCAACTATGCGGTCTATCAATACTAACCTACTCTGCAGATATCAAACAAGGGCCTTGGGCGAGCAATGAATCTCGGCATCTCAGGCGAGACATCAGCTACACGATTGAAACGACGAACGCCTTAGGTGAGACCGTCCAATGAACAAGACGGGAATTTTGCTGATCAAGATTGTTCAACTAGGCCAATGCAATGACAATGAAATATTGGATTACCAAATCATTGATGTCTTGAATGATCACCTGTGCTACGTGATCACTGACAAACGCACGCCATGGCATCTACCCTTCCGAAGATCCTTCCGGCTGGTGAGCAAGGTTGTGATCACATTCGTTTCCAAGTCCAAGAGCAAGCTTGCTATCTACACCAATGTCGAGTGGCTTAAGTCTCCACTCGGATTAAAGAGTAAGTGCATATTCTGCTCACATGCATTCAAACATTTCCTAATATTTTCTTGTTTTTAGATATGATCAGCAGGAAGGCGAGCGATGATCTCGAACAAGATGCTTTAGATCTCGTCGACCTTGTGAACGACCAGGTTCGCCGCCTTGGCGCACACAGTCGCACCAAGAAGGCCATCACTATATTCGGCCATGTTGGACGTCAGAATAGCGTTTCCCACTTTGCAGGAATTGGGGCCAATTTGAAATTGGAACCTCGCAAGCGGCGAACCCAACGAACTATGCACCAGCTGCTATTGGAAACGTTCCTATCCTTCATGGAAAGCACCATCTCCTTCTTGATGTTGACCTCGTTTGACATCTTGCGCTGGTCTTGGAAGACCGTGAGCGCCCACAAAGTCATCCTAGTCTTGTTGATATCAAGTGCGCTCATGAATGGATTCTACTCGTCTCGCGATTCCTGGGATTGGTGGCATGAGAGACACGCGAGCAATTTCATGGCTCGAATCGGAGTCCAGCCGAACCTGGTCATGAGCAAAGCGATTTACATCCAAGATATCGACGAGGCAATTGCCAACACGACCATTTGGCCTAGCAACGGAAACGCCAGCACGTGCTTCAGTACGTTCCACGAGAACTCCATGCGCTATTCAGAATTGCCCCTCTCGCTCAGCACCTCCGGGCCCCGTGACGCAGTGGCCAAGAGCGCCACGAAGCGCTTCCAACAAACGCGTGAACGTCTCGGCACATACCGATACAATCTTCTCGTTGCTCTGCGCGTGGTGAACAGCATCGAGAAAGAAGTCATTCAGAACGAATGGGAACGTTGGCTCCGCGAAGAGCTACGACGCTGTCGCCAGGTCGAACTTCTCCTGAGTGGCAATAGCGAAGAGGGCGAAGCAGGCGCACAAGCCCAAGCGGAGCGAATTTTCGCTGAAAATGCCGGCAGCGTGACAGAGTGGTACGATAAGTATTGCACAAGCTGTCGTTCGGAGCAAGAGCAGGCCCAGCAGAATGGAGCTGAAAACCCGCTCGTTTGAGTCCCCCACCCTTTTGCTACCCCGAATCCCCACCGCATATGAACATTCCTTTGCGGCTCTTTGTCCTTTGCATATAATACCCGGCGGCCACGCCATGATGCGTGTTTCGTGGATTTATTGTCGGTGTACATACTGGTACCGACCCTTCGCTTCCTAGCAAATATGTCCGAGAGCAACAATCAAAAATAACACTCATGCTCTTTCCAATTCACATAGTAATCGCACAATGTAGCGAGACAGAGTGGGGGTCGCGAGTTGTAGTCATTTCCTCGACTTTAGTTCTGTCGAGGTTTGACCTCACCCTCTTGCACAATATAATAAACCACCGTACCATCACCACCCATCCCCTTATTCGACATACCCAGGAGCACACGCTTTGAGCCCCACTCCAGTGTAGCATTGGCCGTCTCTCTGCGCTGGTAATACTCTTCCAGCTTCTGTGCCTTTTCATCCTGAGGCGGCCGCTTCTCTAGGTCCGCCTCATCATCCGCGGCAACTGTAATCTCATCAAGCGAATCGAAAACTGCAGCCATACGGCGAAGAGACCAATCCTGGCCCTGCGCAGTGGGGATCACAAATAGTCTTTCTGGGCGGAGATCATCCTCGCGAAGACCCTGCTCTAACATGTAGAGTTGTTCGTCTGGGTGGGTGTATACGCGGTTTGGGGGGATACCAGAGATCAAGGGTGGGCGGGATTCTTGGGGCACTGAGCTTGTGCTGTTGGAGGGGGATGCGTGGATTTGGAGGGATGTCCAGAGGTGTTGATGTTGGAGGTTGTGCAGGACTTGAAGGGTTGTTGCTGCTTGGGGATTTGTGGAGGCGGAGGTTGAGTCTATTAGCTCACTGAGCTGCGAGAGCTCGGGCATAGGGTTCTCAATGCGTTTTGTGGCCATTTTGAGTCGTTGGAGGTGGTTTTTGGGAGGGTCTTGATGGTTGATTGCTGCTTCCTGAGTCTATTCCTACAGAAGTTTGTGGGATGTCCGGCAGTTTAGGAGTCACCGCCTTTATTATACAGTAGTTCATATGCACCGCCTTCCTGTATAGGCTGTATGTTAATGTTATGTCGATGTAGAGTTTGGGCATGACTCATTTCTGAGACTGAATTTTGAATAATTCGATAAGTATGGCCTAGAATCAAAAACCGAGATACTCCGACTCTTCAGTGAATATTCGAGGCTGGAGGAGACCATTCCATTAGGACCACCCAGTTCTGCAGGGCGCGGTGGAGTGGGGCCGAAGTGATCTGCGCGTCGATAAGATGGAACTAAGAACACATGGCATCATCTTTTTTTTTATCTCCAAGGGTCCAAGGTAAAAACTTCTCGTTTACCCCCTTCTCTGCTTCTCGCCTCGCATATTTCCATTTCCTGCATATCTGATTGATTTCACGCGCCTTGTACCCATATCATTCTACCCTTAATCTCTGTCTCCGTCTCAAATCTATTCACAATGGGCCGCCAAAAGCAAACAACACCGCTTCAGCGAGTCCCCTCGTCCTCGTCCTCGCCCATGCATATGCCCTCCAATGAGCCCGAACTGAACGAGAAGAACGCAAATGGAAGCACAAAAGATTCACACGCTAACGGCAGCGCGTCTGTCAAGGAAGCAGTTGTGTTGGAACCAGAGGTCGATACCCCCGGCTTGACACAGCTTCTCATTTGCGTTCTTGGTATCTACGCTGCATTGTAAGTGCTTCGTCCGAATTAGGTATACTACCGGCGACTAATAGACCAAAGCCTCTCCTGGGGTGTCTTGCAAGAGGCGATCACTACTACCTCATACCCCATTCGCCCCGCAACGGCCGCCGAACCAGAACCCCCCTACTGAGCGATTCACCTACTCCCTGGTGTTGAACACTGTTCAGTCATCGTTCGCTGCCATCACCGGCTTCATCTACCTCTTCTTCTCCACGCCGAAGGGTCAGAAAACACCCTCTCCCTTCCCGACCCGACGCATCCTCTTCCCCCTGCTCCTCGTCAGCATTTCCTCGTCTCTCGCATCTCCATTTGGCTATGCCAGTCTTGCTCATATCGACTACCTCACCTTCATTCTCGCGAAGTCATGCAAACTCCTACCGGTCATGCTTCTCCACCTGACAATCTTCCGCAAGAAATACCCGCTGTACAAGTACGGTGTCGTTCTTCTCGTGACGCTGGGCGTGGCAACCTTCACCCTGCACCACCCTGGTACGAGTAAGAAAGTCGCTGCTTCAGCCTCCAAGCAGTCCGGTTCCTCGGCATGGGGAATCTTCTTGCTGTCCATTAATCTTCTCCTCGATGGCCTGACCAACACAACACAAGACCATGTCTTTACCTCCCCGAAGCTGTACACCCGCTTCACGGGACCCCAGATGATGGTAGCCCAGAACGTGCTCTCCACCATCTTGACGACCGCGTATCTTCTCATCATGCCGCATATCTCGCAGAGCGGTATCCTGCACAGTCTCCTCCCGTTCCCGATCCCTCCCTCCACCGAGGCGGAGCTGTACTCTTCCATCTCTTTCCTCGCGCGCCACCCCGAAGCCTTGAAACATGTTCTTGGATTCGCGGCGTGTGGAGCTGTCGGACAGCTTTTCATCTTTTATACGCTGTCACGCTTTTCGTCTCTTCTTTTGGTAACTGTGACCGTTACACGCAAGATGTTGACTATGCTTCTGAGCGTCTTCTGGTTCGGTCATGCTCTGTCCGCTGGTCAGTGGTTGGGAATTGGTCTGGTGTTCGGTGGCATCGGGGCTGAGGCTGTTGTCCAGAAACAGGAGAAAAAGGCAAAGGAGCTGGCTAAGAAGGAGGCTGCTAAAAAGGAGCTGTAAATTAGAGTCTTTCGTATTATTCTCTTAATCTTCTTAATTTTCTGCTCTATGTCGGAGTTACGGATGTAGCATCCTCGCCACATGCTGACTGTCTGGTTACAATCAACATATTTCCAATTGATGTTTCTTCCAATCCCGGTTCGTTTAGTTATCTTCTTTTAAAACCCTTCCAAACTAGCAACACACAGCTTGACTTGATATATCCACTCGGATTTGAGTATTTGCGAAGCGGTGATGCGACGTGAAGGATTTGGATCCAGGATAGCGTAGATCACATTGCGACAGGGGGTCTAGAGAGTAAAAGGGGTTGCCGTTAGTCAAATATCGCATAAACTTCAATATTAAACTGATCGAGCCAGCTACTTACCTGATGTAGTGTCTCTATTGGCGGATACCCCTCCGAGTATCTGCGGTTCTTCGTATACTGCCTAAAAAGTCGATCATCTTGACCAGAAACCTTCCACAGAGACTGACCAGTGCGCATGGCCATATAAATCAGTCCCGTTGCCCATATGTCCGCAGCTGAAGATGAAAATTCTTTTTCGGTGTACTCCTCAGGAGCGATGTACGGGCCAGAGCCACAGAGACCGGAACTCAGGCGGACTTCTTCCCCGTTGGAAACTCTGAAGGATTCGCTGCTACCAAAACTGGCGATTTTCAGTGTACCTTCGGTAGTTAAGAGAAGATTCTCGGGATTGAGATCACGGTGAGCCACGCCCATTTCGTGAATGTACCTGAGGCCACAAACCAGTTGCTTGAAGAAGCAGTCAGATTCTCCAGACTCGAGCTCGCCCGTCGTGGATATCAAAGTGTGCAAGTTACCAGCTGCACAGTATTTTGTGACCATAGAGTAAACGCCCCTGGAATCCTGTAACAGATCAAGAGATCGTAAAACGTTTGGGTGATTCAGAGCAGAAGAAATACGGAACTCCGAGGTTAAGCGCTTCTGGTACCTTTTGCGCGTTTCTCGCGAATTATCCCAGCCCTGCTTTACAACATATAATATTTCGACTCCAAAGCCACATGGATCAATCTTGTGTGCAATGCGGACACATCTCGTTTTGTTGTGGGTTATGAATTCATTTAACTCGCCGTACTTCTCAAATAGAGGGTCTCCGGAGGCAGCCTTGCCTAAAGAGTCTGAGACGGCTAGAATATCATCCTCAATCCTGGCAAAGCTTGGAATGAGCTGCTCAAGGTCATAATTGGACTTCTTATTGCCACCACTGGTTGTTTTAGGGAGGAGAGGGGGAAGCAGTTCCTGTCGTCTTATTTCCCGAAGGCAATGTCGATGAATGCCTTCACCAAGAGCCTCAAAGCGTTTTGTTTGCCAACGGAAGCTGTCTTCTTTCTGAATCCTTTCTAAATAATCATCTTTCAATGGTCGAAGCCCCTGTGGGGTATCTTTGGAGAAGAAGCCGTTGTCTCCCGCTCGTCTGGCCGCCGTATCTAAGGTACGTACCAAAAAGCCTGGTGAATCCCGAGGCATGGCTTTCTTCTCTTTTCCCTTGCTGGATAATATGTTAGAGATGCGAGAACCTGTGTCACTCTTCTTGGATTTGGAACCTGGGGATGGAATGTCGGGTGGGATGTCACTGCTATGCTCTCTTTCGGTTTCGTCATTGGTATCAGGATCTGACAGTTGATGTATTGCTGCCGAGTTCACCAAATCTTTCGCCTGCATATGGTGATTTTCTTCGATTTTTGGAGGTGTGGCAATTGTGAGTTTCTCCATACTAGCCCCAAAAGGATTTCCAGCTCGATTTTGCTCCGCGTGGAATTTACTTTCGCTTGTTGCCGTCCACGGTTCCGGTTGGAACGGATTGTAACCGTCACTTGGTGTAATGAGCCGAGAATTCCCCAAAAATTTCTCTCTTGATTCGGAAGACATCAGAGCTCGTCTTTCCATCGAGCCAGCATCATAAGGAAACTGGGTGGCGGGTAGTGGACTGCCCAATAGACCAGGGGACATTGTCAATATATTCTGAGATAAGAGGTGGGATGGAATGTTGGCGTGCGACAGATTATTTTGAGGAGGATGGACGATGGAAATCGGCGCTTTGGGTTCCTCTTCTGGAGCAGGCTGCTTGTCACTTATTGATTCGGCGAACATGGAGATTCTTTTGAGATTCCACCGAGTGACCGGTAAGTTTTCTTTGATTTTTCGAAGAGATACTTCATCGTAGAGCAGCGGTCTTTTTTCACGCATACCACGTTCTCTGAGCATTGAATTCAAATCCCGTGAACTGCGATGAATTGCCCACTGGTAAAGTGGTATATCAAACGTCCTGGAAGTTTCTGTATAGTATTAGTTAAACACTTCGTCTTTCTGAAGTTCTCGGTATTCAAATTCGAATTCTCACTTTGTATGGCAAGATCTGTCTTAGCTCCAAGCATTTTCGAGAAGACCGGCATTGACTGCCAGAGAGCAGATATTTGGCTTGCTGAATCTATGTGGAGTAGGCAACTGTCAATCTCCGACGACAATGAAGCTTTTCTAGAAAGACATGTTGCAACTGTCGGCAAATCGCAAAGTGGTAGGGTATAACATAGGTCACATGTGCGAATGAAGCCTGTAAAGTCTCCTTGAGTATGCAATTGAATGTCGAGAAAGGTCTTCAAGTCATATGAGATATATGGGTTGGAAGAAATTGTGAGGCGATCAAATAGAAGCCGTAGCTGGGATATGATATAGCATTGCATGTCTTGCCGGAGCAAATCCTGAGAGAAGTGTTGAAGGCCCACAGTGAGAGATTTCGACGGAGGTTTCTTGTGAAAGACCTTTGAAGCTTGCTCGAACACCATTCTCTGAATCGTATATCTAGCGTGACCTAGGCCGAGTGGACCGTCACCAAATATGATTTCAACCAAGTCACCCGCAAGCAAGTGGTGTGAAAGTGCAATTCCGTAAAACATTCCAGATATTTCGTCGTTTTCATCATAATCGTCGCGATCCCTATCTATTCCTAGGGCAAGATCAAGGAGTGCCTGTGCTCGATTGAAGCTAATGGTGAATATGAGCAAGTTTTCTGTTTCACTTCGTTCAACCAAGCGTTTTGACTTCCGCACATCGTCAAAGCATTGTGCTCTGAACAAGATCGCAACGTCCTGGACTTCTAACGATGGAAGTAGCTTTAGAAGGATAACAAGGATATTGGAAGCATTCCATAGTTGACCATTTTCCAATAGCAGTGCATACCACTGGACAAATCCGCAACGGCCACGGGAATCACGAGTCCATGGGCATTGCATGTCATTGATCCCAACCCAGTTAGAGGTAGTCATAGCAAAGACAAAAATTTTGATGTAAACCTCGAAGATGTGAATCTGCTGGTGTCAGTATACTAGCATAGAAATTTCTCCCAAGAAGCTCAATAATATGGAAAATAACTAGATCCTACCTCCACATCGCTGGGAAGTGTACCAGGAGGCACCTTGGATCTCTGTCGGCGGAGAAAATTCCAAGTATCTCTAGCTTGTTCGAGAGCTGGGCGCAAAGCCCCTATAGTATAAATTCCGACGAGGGATCTCATGATGCGTAATAATTCCACTTCTTGCTCTTCCAGCATCGACTCCATGTATTGAAGTTGGATATCCAGAAATTCAGATAGAGTTCGAAATTTGCCTTGTTCTAGAAGTAAATCTGCGTACTCGGCAATGACCGGAAATAAGGCGAGGTGACTGGAGAGACTTTGCTGGAAAAGCTCCTGTGCCTGCAAGTATTCGCCTCGTCGCTTGAACCGCACGAAGTTCTCGATTTCTTGCTCGATATCTTCTTCCACCTCCATAGTCAAGGAGAATGGAGTCGTGTCTTGAGCCACGGACTCGGGTGATTTCCCCATACTTCTGATTCATGTGGAGATGAACTTCTGCCCGGGCGTTCAAGGAGGTGAGGGGTTATTTTAGTCTACCTTACGTGTTAATCACAAAACTTGAGAGCCCATTGGTAGATCGTGCTTACGTGCGGGGTTTGGCGATAAAAAGCACATCAAATACCTCATCCAAAATACATCCCCTGCGACCAGGACATACTAGACAATATTCCCGAAAGAGCAATAGAAATGAGCCCGAAAACGCTATGTGGAGCCGCTATGTACTGAAGCACCGCGTCGACAAGTACCAACAGGATACACGATGCCTGCTGGAACAACACCGCCAGAGCTTGGCCTATATGGAGGTCCGAAAGGTCAAAATTGACTGTTCATTCTTACCTGATTCAAGATGGGGTATTATCGGACAGGACCCGGCTTCACCTGCCTGGCTTCTCTATCTGGATGTCAAGATCAGCCAGCCGAAGGACTGTTACCTTGCCAATGCAAAGGTCGAAGTGACGTTTCAGCCGCTGAATCTGGATAATCGAAGCAACACAACTCGCAGCCGGTTAGGCCCTGTTATTACTGATTACTTTGGACCCCAAAGAATTGGAGATAAAGTTGTCGCTCAAAGTTTCGGGAGTTTTGTTGAGCATGGTTTATCATACTCTTTTCATGGTAGTCCCATGACCTCCACGAGTGGCTTCATACCGGGAAGAAGCTCAAGGTCATGTACCGAACCTGGCTGGTCACTAAGAGGATTCTCATGGCCTTTAGCAGGAGACTCAAGTGGTCTTCCCCGGCGAATAGAGTGGCTGGTGGAAGATGCGGTATCTTGTGGTGGGCTGCGTCTTGCACTCATCCTCCAGCACGAGATGGAGCCATTCTCAGTAGCGGTTCAGATCGACGGCAAGCTTAAAGGGACAAAAAACAGAAGCTTCCGTTTCGCTCGCTCGATCGAACAGGGCCACGTGAATAGTTTATCTCGCATAGTCACTCCATCTGGTACTTCCACTTTTCACTTGGACGATATTGCATCGAGACTGGATGATGAGATGACGACATTGAACATCAGAAACAACCAAAACCCAATCGACACGATACAGCGCACCGTTGGTCAATCTGACACTGGCCGACAGCTGAGCCCAAATATCGAACATACCCACGATGACTACACCGTTGCTTGGATATGCGCTTTGCCGATAGAAATGGCAGCAGCGAAAGCGATGCTTGAAGAAGTTCATCCAGATCTACCAGTCCATCCAAGTGATACAAATCAGTATATCCTAGGACAGATCGGTCCCCATAAAATTGTATTGGCGTGTTTGCCACACAACGTATACGGCACTACCTCAGCCGCCGTGGTGGCCACCCATATACTCTATGCGTTTAGGCGAATTCGAATTGGTTTAATGGTTGGAATAGGCGGAGGTGTGCCTTCGGAGAAGAACGATATTCGGCTAGGGGATGTAGTTGTCAGCAGTCCTACTGGTCATTTCGGAGGGGTCATACAGCATGATCTTGGTAGGAATATCGGAAACAGAATCCAAACGACAGGAAGCTTGAATAAACCACCACCGGCCCTTCTTGCAGCAATAGCGAGGTTACGGACAGATCATTTAATCACCGATAACAAGATAACGCAACACATTGATAAGATGCTGGAGAAGAATCCATCGATGAGGTCGGCTTATGCTTGTTTGGATCCGGGGCAGGATCAGCTTTTCGAGGCTGAGTACGATCATTTTGGATCAGCGGCAACATGCGGGCCGTGTGACCCGAGCAGAAGGATAGAACGGAATCCTCGGTTGACAGGCTGTCCCAAGATACATTATGGGCTTATCGCTTCGGGAAACCAGGTCGTTCGGCATGGCATGACGCGGGATCGACTAGCGGAGGAGTTTGGCGTTCTGTGCTTTGAAATGGAAGCAGCAGGACTCATGGATAACTTTCCTTGCTTGGTCATACGAGGTATCTGTGACTATGCAGATTCACACAAGAACAAAGATTGGCAAGGATACGCCGCAGCAACTGCAACTGGCTATGCAAAGGATCTGTTGTCGGTGGTTTCCGTTGCCCAGGTGTATTCTACTACTCCCATTGCAGCTACGTCTGCAACTTGAGACTGAAACTAAGAAGAGCAGTATTTTGGAGAAGCGTACTAGTATAAGAAATTCATCCCTCACATGGGAAGTCCCTGTAGTATGCAATATTGAAATTTGGCAGCCAACAAGTTTCGTACGACCAACTACCTCATTTCCGCCCTTCTACCATGATGATATGGTAACCATGCCCAGTCTTCACCTCCGCGTACTTCGGATTTCCGGTCGTACTGGGCTCCAGATCATAGGCAATCTTTTCAAACTCTCCATGCAAACTCCCTCTCACTTTCCAACCGAGAGCGCCGCCTGCAAACACAGAAAAAGCGTGAGCACTTGAAATCTGTCGAGGAAAGGTTTTCGGTTGAAAGTAACATACCTTGTCGAGCCTTGTCTTCTGAAAATTCACGGGCTACCTCGTCAAATTTCGTGCCATTGCGCAGCTTTTCAAGCGCTTCTTCTTTCTTGGAATGTTTCTCGCACTGTATAAAAGGTGAGATGTTGTCTGGTGCAGCCTGATATACCCATGGCCCTGGGGTTTTGCGCGCACGGAAACCCTAATAAGACAGACTCAAGTTTAGAAAATACATACCAGAATGTGTCGCGCGTTGATAGAAGTAGCTGCCTTCAATCCACCCTTTCCTTTAGCCTTGTCGTCGGTTGCGTCTTTGCCTTTGGCTTTACCAGCGGCCTTGTTGTTCTTGGGGGCCATGACACCAAAGTTTTGTAGGACAAGTGCTATATTTGGGATCCGAAATCCTCGATCTTCGCTGGTGAGATATAGCTCTGTCGTTTGCAAGCTCAGGGAAGCTGTTGAAGTGTTCAAAGTGTTTGCGCGGGTGGAAGGTGGGGTGGCCGCCTCAGGCAGAAACGTGACGTGGGATTCGCTGCGGGCGGTTTTGTACTTCTGCCTCTACTTCTTTCGCCTCTAGACTTTCAAGTTGTTTCGGAGAATGGGGTGCTGAGGAGATTTTCCTATTCTGAGGTTGATACGATCAGGTTGGATCTATGGCATGCGATCTTGAAGCGGCTCGGATTACCTCATTACCAGGGGAGGCTTTCTACATCGCGGATTTCATCTCGGAGGATGAAGAGGAGTGCTTACTGCAGAAGGTGTGTCTTTTTATGACCTTGGCATTCCGTATATCCACAAGTTTTGCACATCTTCATTTGAAGTTCTATTTTGGGTGGCTATCTACACACCAGTTGACATTCGACCGCAGGTGGCATCGGCACCACTGCCACGTTGGACTCATCTATCACACCGCCGCCTTCAAACCTGGCCATCGGCCCTCACAAAATCAAATACCCTACTTGAATCAGACCTGCCATCGTGGCTGATATCTCCCATCATCGAGCCAAGATTCAACGCGCTGGGCATCTTCAAGGGTGCGCCGCACGGTACACCAAACCACGTACTCATCAATGAATACCATCCAGGGCAAGGCATCATGCCACACGAAGACGGGGCGGCTTATCACCCACTCGTCGCAACAGTGAGTCTGGGGGCGCCGATCGTGCTCGATATCTACGAGAAGAACTCGAAGCACCCTGCGGAGCAAGGTGGAGAACGTGACCACCCGCATATCAGAAAGCCACAGTTCCGCATCCTACAGGAAAGACGAAGTTTACTAATCACGAGAGGTCTGCTGTACACAGAGTTCTTGCATGGTATTGCAGAAACGTGCAGGGATGAGGACCTGGGGCCTCAGTCGGTTTGTAATTGGCATCTCCTGCGGGAGAAGGATGCGTTTCTTGTTGGTGGGTATGATCGGCAGACGAGGACTAGTCTCACATATCGGGATGTATTGAAGGTTGCGAAGATGGGTAATACGTTGAAGTTTCTGAGTGGCAAATGATATGGTGTGTTGGATGCTCTGTATGCAGCCAGATTAATCGTGGTTGATTCCTTCTAATGATATTATGATCGGTCTATTTTTCTTTCTTCCATAATGGTCGTTAGTAGATATATGGTATCATGAGCCATCGACTCTTGATTTGCTCGAGGTCATCCTTATCCCCGCCAAACTTTTCCAGATACCATTGTTTGGTTGTTCGGGCGGTGAGACCAAGATTGACGGCCACAAACGCCGAGCATGCCAACAAGGTCTTGTTCACGGACTGGCCACGCGGAGCTCCAAGAAATGCTAGCGACAGATAGATCACGCATTCGGCTCCGTAGTGCGGACATACGACGGCGCGGAAGATCGGGTGGTCTGGGAGGGTATATTTTTTCAGGGAGAATAAGAAGTGATGGCAATCGTGCTGCATTCCGGATGCCATTAGGAAAAGCGGGACGCATAGAAATGTTCGGATGGATGGGGCTCTGGTGATTTTGATGTAGTCGAGGGTGATATTGAAGTTCATTAGTGCCTCTGTAGTCAGTGGTTAGCAGGGTCAATTGACCTTGACGAATGTTTTGATTCTTTCCATACCTGATCCTTCAATCCAAATCGCAACTCCAGCAGCCAGATAGAATCCCAATCCCAATATCCAGTGTACGAACCACATTTTAGATGTGGAGGGTTTGGCGAAGGAAGATGACTCCCACAGTCGTCGTGAACCCTGCATGGCCAGCAGAATCCAGCAGACGAGCACCTGGGACAGAGACATGGTTTGTACTCGATGCTCTTCGCCCACCCGCGAGGCGATGGCTTCAAATAAGCTACCACGGCATAGCAGTTGGACAGCCCAAAACACCGAGGAGACCACCGAGGCGATGTAGAACTGGGTGAAGTAACTGTGCGGTACTTGCCAAGTCGCAAGATAGTCTAGTGTGCCGGAGATTGAGGCACCCCCCTTGACGGTCGGGATTGGGACTTAGAGTCGGTTGAGGTCGCACGCGGTCCGTAGACGAGGAAACGGGAGCGTAAGGAGGAGGGGATGCTGACCGAGACAGTCTTTCAAGACCCGTTAGCTACCGGTTGTGCCCATAAGAGCTCTGGGGAGGGGGGGCCACGCATCGCAGCTGGAGCAGATTTTCATCACATACCGTAGCGGCGGCGAGGAGAAAGAAGGCGCGCAAAGCATCTACGGCATCCATACCGGTGGCCTCGAGGGCGGCATCAATGCCTTGAGCGAGGAAGGAGGCCATGACAGATGGATGGAGAAAAAGTTGTGTCATGGCCAAGCTGCAGTGCTCAGTTCTCAGCTGGAAGGTGGAGAAGAGAGCGGCGCCCCCCGCCGATCCTGGTCCCATGGGCCAAAAAAGGGCAGCTGGCATGGGAGCACTAGACCGTGGCCACGATAAATCGTCAGGCTCCAACCAAAAAAAGGAGCCAGGCAGGTTTCAGGCTGAATCGAATCGAGTAGTCTCCCCCCCCCCAAGCCTGCATCTCCTTCGATTGCACGAGTGAAAGCTGAGTGGCCGCATTGAGGGATCGCCACTGCAGTGGAGCCCACTGCTTTCGTCCGGAATGGGCGTCGAATAGAAGGCCCGTGTGTTAGTGCAGTGCACGCAGACGGGTCGAAAATAGGGGAGAAGGACTTGGTACTCCCTAGTGCAAGCAGGATTGGGGGCGTTGAAGGCAGCTAATTTGGTAGCGTGGTATCGGGGGGGTGCAGAGGGTACAGAGAGTGCAGAGAGAGAGGGAGAGAGGGAGGTAAGAGAAGTAGCAAGTAGAGAGTGGCCCAGAGGTGGATGATTCACTTGTGGCCACTTGCTGTGGCTCTCCCCCGTCCAATCTTCCCTCTTTCTCTTCTTCTTCCTCTTCCTTTCTATCTTCCTTTCTCCCCTACTCTCCTACTCTCCCACCCTTTCTCTCACCAATATCTTCCACCTCTTCCCACCTTTCCTTTTCTGATTCTTTAGAGTTTCCCTCTCCTTCGCCCTTATAATATTATATCTCCACCTCCAACCACTTATCCTCACTGCTATCATTCGTGCCCGCCGCACGGTTCTGCTCTTTTCTACCACCTTCACGCCGCCGTGATCAGCGTCTGCGCATCATTGCTGGCGTTGCCGACCACGGTCGTCTTGGCCTGTCGCGTCCTCCCAAAATGACGATCGGAATTCTTACACATCGAGTGCTATCGCTATGAGTGATGTTGAGGCGGTTTCCCTACCCGCTGCTCTGGACGTCGACCAGAATCCCCTCGCTGCGGTGAAGACGGATGCTCCAGGACCTTCGTACCCTAGGAAGTCTGATTTCGCTCCAGCTTCACCCTCACACCTGACGAGTAATGGAAGTAATGGCTTGGAACCGGTGGATTCGGAGATGGCAGAGCAGGACGATGAGCTAGAGGGTCCCCCAAGCCCCAAGGCTGATTCTGAGGCAGAAACGATCATCCAGTCAGGACGAGAATCCCTATCACCAGAGAAGAAGAGAAAGCACATCCGACACGACCCTATTCGTCAGGTTGTCGATGGTATCGATGGAGGTCTGCGCAAGAGGCCGCGCATCAATGCCGACCGTGGAAACCGGCTCTCTAGGGATTCTCGAGGATCCCGTTCACCCAGCCCGTCCCATCGACCTTCTTCGCCCCCTTCAGTTGTGAAAGTTGAAAGATCGGATGATCCTCCCTCTGTGACGAAGGAGGTGTTGACGGAGAGTAATGCCAATGATGTGGACAGGCCTCGGCCGTATCGAAAACGAAGTTTCAGCGACAGCGTGGATGAGAAACGAGAGCGCAGGCGCGACTCCCACGCCAGCTCAACCATCCGCGAACTGAAAAATAATGACAGTCTCTTTCCTCGCCCTCGACCTTCCTCCAATGCTCGTTCCGTTTCTCCGACTCGCTCCTCCCATCAACGATCGGCCTCTGGATCGCAGCTTCCCTCCAAGAGGAAGGTACCTACCCCGTTGACCGGTTTCCAACGTCAAAGCTCCGAGGATCGGCAATCAACATCCTCCTCTGCTAGTGGTTCTCCCATGCCAAGTACTCATCTCCGTCGACTCGGTTCTGGAGTGGGCGCGTCCGCTTCACCTGCAAAACACATGGGTCCTAAGAAGTTACGCGACAAAAGTGGCCGAACGCCTTTGGCTAGGGCATGTGCCGATCGAAAGTATGACCAGGTGGTCATGCGCCATGGCGAACGTCCCGAGGATTTGAACATTCCCGACAACGCTGGCAACACCCCTCTCCAAATCGCATCCTTGAATGGAGAAGGCTCGATCGTGAAGTTTTTACTGGGTGCTGGCTGCGAAATTGACACTAAGAACATCGACAAAGATACCCCTCTCATTGATGCAGTCGAGAATGGAAATGTCGAAGTGGTGAGACTGCTACTTGAAGCTGGAGCAAACCCCCGCACAGTGAACGCTTCTGGCGATGAACCCTACGAATTAGTTCCAACAGATCTGGACAAGGACGAGTACGATGAGATCCGAAAAGCACTTGCCGACGCGAAGGCAAACCTACGGCCCAGTCGACGATCCGAGGAGCAGATCGGCCCAGACACCAAGATTTCATCAAGACGAGCGTCGGTTGCAAGCCCCTCGCGAAGCCCCCCACCACTGGGGGGTGCTTCGAATCGCCGGAAGACTGGACGGAGTGAGGTTACAAGAAATGATTTGTTGTGGACCCAAGCGACATCCGAAAACCTGCGAGACTTCGCTGCCAAGGGTGACGAAGTCGGAGTTGTTAGTATCCTGAACATCCTGCAAAAGGCCGACAATGCATCTTTGATTGCTGCTGCGAAGGGGGGTCATCATGATGTTCTTTCCCTCATGTACGCCATGGGAGATGCCGATGCCGACCCTGATCCCCTGCGCGGCCACAAGCCAGGCTATAACACTCCCATGCTCGCGGCTATCGGAAGAGGCAAGTCTGATGTCGTCAGTCTCATTCTTTCCCAACCTGGTTTCAATCCCACCCGTCGACTTTTCGAAGACCGATCTTACCATGAGCTTTCCCGAGCCCGACAAGGTGAAGACTGGGAGGAAGAATACGACCTTCTGAAGGCAGCTTATGTGAAGGCTGGAGGCTCTGACAAAGACCGCAAGGATTTGCATTCACCACGACGAGCGCGTCCTAAAGAGAAGGACGACAAAAGGTCATCGCGGCGTCAGTCATCTTCTCCTGTGGCTCGACAGAAAAAACCTGTCGAAAGTCCAAATACCAACCGCCCACGATCTGCCAAGGAGGTGCAAATGATGAAGGAAAAAAGACGAGAAAAAGAGAAGGCGCGCGAGATGGGCCGACCGAAGTCGTCTGCTCGTGATGGTAGTGATGCTCTCGCCAGTTCTGACCATGATTCGGCACGTACCGACTCTGTCAAGCCTAAAACTGGTATCTCTGCTCGGAGAGGTAGCGAGTCTAGTGGCGTGGCTCGAAGTGAAGAAGTGAAGAAGAGACGCCTCATCGCAGGGCGACGCCCCCAGGATCATGACCGCAGGCCGAGTCTGTTTTCGTCCGATTCTCTTTCTGGTCGCGAGGAGGCACCAAAATCACGCAACGATACCATTCCCGATACCAACTCCTCACTCAAGCGCATCCGTGCCGATGACGCCTCCCCTCCCCGAGCTCGCTCTCGCGACACAGAAAGTGATCGACTGTCACCCGAACGAAAAAAGAAACGACGTGTTGTTTCCGAAGAGAAATCCGCAAATATGCCCAACGGTGGCTCTAAGAAACATGAAGATACAGGCGCGAGTGAGAAGACTCAACCTCGTCGACCCCCCGATGATACCCCGCGTGGTGATGGTCCGGGACGTAACCTTGGTCCTCCCTCGAAGAAACCAGACACCCCTTCACAAGCATCGGACAACGCACCACCAGAAGAGTATGGTGCAATCAAGACAGAGCCCCAGGAACCCGTTACAAACTCAGTTGCTGAGGTACCCACCAATACAAAGCGTGAAGACCAAGAAGCAGAGAAGCGTCGAGAGGCGGAGGCAAAGAAAGCCGATGAGGAACGCGTGGCCGAAGCAAAACGTCGCCAAGAAGAAGAAGCGGAACGGGAGGCCAAACGCAAGGCCAAACGCGAGGCTGAACGGGAAGCTGAACGGGAAGCTGAACGGGAGGCTGAACGAGAAGCTGAACGAGAAGTCGAACGTCAGGCAGAACGTGCTCGTCTTGCCAAGGAAGAAGCCGATCGAGCTGCCCAAGCTGCCCGTGCTAAGGTCGAAGAAGATGAACGCAAGCGCAAGGAAGCCGAGCAGCGACGCGTGAAACAAGCCGAAGACGAGCGCCAAAAGCGCATGGAACAAGAACGGGCTCGCCTTCTGAAAATCCGTCGCGACCAAGAGGCCCTTGAACAACGACGTCGGGATGCTCTGCCAGGTCGCCTTCGCATATCTGCCAATTTCGTGGGATCTAATGATCCCCGTGCTCGAAGCCATTCCTGGCTTACGAACTTCATGCCTCTCGTCACGGCGACCACCCGACAACTCGACCCCGAATGTGTTGGAGAAATGGCGAATGACAAATGGATTCCGAATTACTTGGTTGCACCCTTGCTGGCGACCAATGACCTCCAACTCTCTCAGTGTGAGTGTCGTCTTTCCGCTTCCCCCAATGGTGATGAGTTAACTAACATTTTCCCATAGATGCCAGCTGGGAGAAACGCAATGCAACTGAAACCCAGCGCATGAATCTCTGGCGATGCACCCGCCGGATGCTGGTGTACACCGATGACCCAAAATACCGCAACGCATCGTTTGGAGAGATCATGCAGCTGGATTGCGACACACGGCCCAAATACTTCGAAATGGAGCATATCTTCTGGATCCGACTCTCTGATTTCACGGATCTCGTTCCACACATCCCGCATCTCAATGGCCTCGACCTGACTTTCCTCAGCATGCATATCGACCCCGAGCCATCAGATGCCCCGATTGTGGCGGAGAACGCCCAAGTCAATGGGCACTCCTCGGGCATACTCGCGGCCGAGACAAACGGCTCCACAGGACTGAATGGCCATAGCTTGCCTCGGCCTGGTACATACTTCTAGTTTCCTTCCCAGTCTTCGCTATTCAGGCCATGGCTTGTTTGAATTTTAGCGGGCGAGGTTTGAAGGCGGATTCTGATTGTACGATTATGATACCTCTTGCGTTCTTGTAACGAATCTTATTTTGTTCGGTAGCTTTAGCCTGAAGCGAGCAAACAATTACTTTTAACTTCATCTGTTTCTCCTCCATCTAGACTTAGACTCTCACAGTACATATCGCGAATCTCATTATATGCGTAGTCACCTGATATCTCTCACGTGAGGCCAAACATGCCTCATTGCGGGATGCACCACGTGACATGTATGACTAATATAGGGCACACACACAACCGAAGTGGAAAGTCGAAACCCACCGAAATTTTCCTAGCGCCTCTCCAATCAATCTCCATCACCTAAAACACCTCTTCGAGGATTATCCGACTTTGAACATACCCGCTACCAAAAACCAACAGTAGCAATCAAAATGGTACGCCCCTCCATCGCACTCGTGTGCCATTGAAGCGAAGACCAGTCGAAGGACTCGCATGGACTCGATTCGGAAAAGCAATTGTGCTCCGCTCAAGCTCGCTGTCGCAATCCAAGCGGCCATTGAATGCTAGCTGAGCATGAGTATGAGCACAATTGAAGATTTTCAGAGTCAAGTTTCACGCAAAGAACCTCGATGGCCGAAGCTCCAACACCACGCACAACGTCATCTCGAACCAGAGCAAATAGGCTAACCGCTAGTGATTTTATAGTCGGACGGAGAAGAGATCCCCCCCTGTTGTTGCCGCCGCCGATGAGGTCGAGGTTTCCGCTGACGCTGGCTCCGGCCAGATGTCCGTCCTCGACGCTCTGAAGGGTGTCCTCCGCATCTCCCTGATCCACGACGGTCTTGCCCGTGGTCTGCGTGAGGCTGCCAAGGCCCTCGACCGCCGTGAGGCCCACATGTGTGTCCTCAACGAGGGCTGCGAGGAGGAGGCTTACAAGAAGCTCGTCGTCGCTCTGTGCTCCGAGCACAAGATCCCCCTCATCAAGGTTCCTGATGGAAAGATGCTGGGCGAGTGGGTCGGTCTCTGTACGTTTTACCCCTCTTCCCCGCGCTGTCACGGTCGAAAGAGATTCGATCGAGTGCTGTTGGACATTCGAATAATTTACTAATGCTTGTTTTCTCTACAGGCACCCTTGACCGTGAGGGTAACGCCCGCAAGGTCGTCAACTGCTCTTGCGTCGTTGTCAAGGACTGGGGTGAGGAGTCCCAGGAGCGCTCTGTCCTGCTCAACTACTTCCAGACCGAGCAGTAGATTAGTCCCTAATGGATTAGTTCTGCAAATGGTCTAGGAGGGATCGGCGGCTTCTTTGGATGTTCGCTCTATGGGTGGGAGCTATTCAATACTGGAGGGGGAGATATCAGGAAGAGACAATAGAGCATTTTGGGGCTTGACTGGTGTGAACCGGTTGGCATGGAATCTTTAGACATTTTTTCCGGATCTTCAACTTGTCCCACCCTGCGCTGTGACCCGTTAACTCGGGAGAGCGGTGCTGCGGCATCTATTCTAGGCTTCTGTCTGCCTTGGCATGCAATCAAAACAAAAATAAACACGATGATGTGATGACAACTTATCTTGAACCTGTAGAAGTAACTCTATTGTTGCGACTGTACCTCGTACATTGCGATTATGTAAAACTTAGCAGGATAAAATCAGGCGCATGAACGAGGTTGAGAAGCTCAAAGCTGCCAGTGCCCAGGTGGTCCGAGTCATGTTTAAGTACTATGCATGAAATGGAAATCGAAGAAAGGTGTCATGCTACTACCTACTTAGACACTTCGATCAAATGGATTTATAGCTATTCTGACGAAGACCCAGAGCCCGCTTCCAGAATACCTACGTGCTATCTACAAGTGTTCGCTCGAAATTACTTTTATTCTCTCGGGTTAATATTGGATTTCTAGTCCTCCACTCTGCCGAGTCATATTTTTTTAAAAAAAAACCCTCATAATCAAGGCCTGGTAGATCTACTAAAATCTACCTGCCTATAGATATCTCAATTAGGCTCGGTTCGCCTTTCAAATCCTTCAAAATCCAGATTGACTTATGAGGGCCCAGAGTCTGGCTTTATGATGCCAATACCAGGATAAGCGCCTTGACTCGGAGAGACACGCGCACTCTGACTTCCACTTTCCGAACGAGCCGCATTTGCACCTGGCTTCACGAAATTCATCGTGGGACAATTGAAGAGACCATCATTCGTGACTAGAGGTGCAAAAATGTTTCTTAAACTCACATACAAGGCTGGTATTGGTTCGGAGTGAAGATTGTCATTTACATTTTGCGTTGAAAGTAGAACCATGTCTATGAGTCGCTCCCGTATAGTTCAAGTTGCTAATAGCTGCTAGGCCCGAAAACCGGACCCTGAGTGCATGATCAGACTTTCTCACCAGATGGCTTCTTCTTCCGAATGTCTTTCCATCCCATTCCAAACGAAAAAGCCACACAGACAACACTGAGAGCAGCCGCCATGTAGAAAACTCGGTCTACACTCCCCGCATAAGCCTTCAAAACGCCCGGAAGATCATCGGCTGAAACCACATCACGCATACCAGTCGCGCCTGCGGCAATAATAGCAGCCACGTTGGCGTTTGGTGCATCTTGAGGGATCAGTGTTTTGAGACTTGAGGAGAAGATCACATCCGCAAATGTAAGAAACACTGCCCCGGAAAGTGTTTGGATGAACATGAGAATTGCCATGCCAACAGATATTTGACTAGGCGAAAGGCTGTTTTGTATAGCGATGAGTGGCTGTGTTATATGGGTATTAGTATTGATCAATTCGTGACAGTGAGAAGGCTCTTACAATTTGAAACCCGGCTCCCCGACCTGCCCCTATGAGAATCTGATAACCGACCCATTTTCCGGTTGAGGTATTTGGGGAAAGTGTTGTTAAGAGGCCGTTGCCGATCGCAGTGGCCACTCCGCAAAAGATGGCCCAAGGAAGATAGTATCCTAGCTTGCCGACTGCAAATACTGTTAGCATTGCATATAGCGATATTCAAGTTTCTTGAATCACTGACTGAGAAGGCCTGACATCACAGCAAAGGCTAGCTGTGATAAAACACTAGGAAGGATATACACTCCACTCATTGTGGGCGACTCATTCTTGATCGACTGGAAGTAAATTGGTAGATAGTATGAAGCAGTGAGGACCATCGCGAAGATAGTTAGCATGACCAAGCAACTAGACCACATCACTCTTTGTCTTAGCATGGCTAGAGGTATCATGGCCTTGTCACCTTGATGATGCTCCCAAGCTAAAAAGACGAGAAAAGTGCAACCCAAACCACAGAAGAGACCTATGACGGTTGCGCTCTTCCACCCAAATTCATTCTGCCCATATTCAAGGGCAAGAAGGAGCTGTATAGCGGCTGGGGCAAAAAGCACAAAGCCAGTGAGGTCAAGTTTCCGCGTGATTGTCTCAAACGATGAATTGATTGATGGCTTGGCGATCTGATCAGGAATTTCGATAAAGAGGAGCATCAGCGCAACCACGCCGCCAATGGGAAGATTGATATAGAAGCCTTTATAAAACTCAGGGTTAGATGACCAAGAGAGCTCTCGAAGAAGTAGAAGGACCTACACCATCTCCACGTAGTGTATTGAGTAAAAGCACCTCCAATTAGTGGACCGAAGGCGACACCTAGTTGGCAAACTACAATAAAACGTCAAAAAAAGCCTGAAAAGTCGACCCAGTTCCTGTCACTTACCACCCATCATCATGCCGAAAAGAGCTTTCAAGATTGTTAATCAAATATCTAAACTTGCATATGAGTACGCTTACCTGGAACCTTGTGCATTGGTGCGGATGCTGAGATGATAGTCAATGCTCCATTCATGAGTCCAGAAGAGCCTATTCCAGCAACCGCTCGGGCGACAATTAACATCTTCGATGATGTAGCAAGGCCACAGAGGAGAGACCCCTAGCTCAAAAATGAAAAAGAAAACCAAGAAAGTCCACTAGTAGCGTCGTGTCAACGCGCATTGAAAATGAAAACAGATTGATTACACAGGTACAGAAGTAATACGTACCTTGGATGTAAAATTTGTGTAGATTCTACCCGTAAGAGGCTGCAGACAAGCACTAGCTTACTCTTAATAATCTTGCAGAAGATGAGGACTTTTTGAAGAAGCGGAAATAAATACCTACCTCGCAATCTGATAAGAGCTACCATACCAACCCAAATCTTGGAGTGAATGAAACTTTGTCGTGATTACCGGAATAGCCTAGCATGGTACAGGTATCAGCATTCTTCTGGTAAGAGGGTTGGAATAAAGACATGCCGTGACGATGATGGCAGTGTCTAGTAATACTAAGAAGCAAACCAAAGTGACTGCACCGGCGACCAAAAAGAGTTTCACTCCTGTCAAGTATTTTTGCTCATCTGCGCTAGATGCGTTCGTAATTTCTGGGATCCCATCTATGGACAGACGAGAAGAAGAGCTTGACTCGAATTCCTTGGATGTTTTTTGTTGGACAGGTACTAAATCATGGCTAAAGGACTTGACAGGGGCCAAGTCGTTGGCTCCCATGTTGAAAAGCTTAAGTCAAATAGAATCAATTAATCCTAATGTTGTATAAAATAAAAAGGCCATAGAAATTTGTTTGCGACCGGGCCTTTTAAATTAAGAGGTGAACAATACTGCGAGATTGCGAGAGTTCTGGGAGTAATAGCTTATAGCAACCCTTTTTCTAAAATAGCCCCAAAATAAAGCTCTTTTGGTATCAAAAGTAGTCGAAGGATTCTGAACTACAGGGGAAGGTGATTGTTGATTGGAACGTTGGCTACAGTGGGACGGGGTTGAATGAATCCTAATCCCGAACTCCGATATACTAGTAGTAGGTGAGACGGACAAACGGCCGAAAATCTTTTACGAGTGGATTAGAAATCACCGAAGATTCGTCCATATTTTGTGATGGATTTTGGGAGCCAGTTGTCCAGATAAGACTAGAGAGATCAATCAACAAATGCAAAGCTTGCATTTACGCATCTATGCGCATTTGACTGGGCTCAACTGATCGCAAAGAACTACTATGAGAGTAGGTACAATATAAAAAGATTAGTCATAAACTTTCCAGCCGCAGAATCGGACGGATTTGGATTCGAATCTTCCCAATCCCGCCGTTCCTTCAGGATGACTCGTTGGGTGTTGGGGGGATTTTCCCTTTATTCTTTTCGCTACAGCCTATACGCGTGACTGAATATCTAGCGTTTGAAGGTGGCTCAAAACCTCACAAATATTTTCTCTGTCCATCTACTGTGTTACCCTGAATCCCGAAATCCAACGGTCGGAGTTCGGGATGGACGTCAACCACAACCCGAGTGGAACCCCGGCACCGTATGGCCGGGCTTGTATCAACTGTTCTCGCGCTAAAAGCAAATGCATTCTTTTAGAAAGAGGCCATGGCTGTGAAAGGTAAGTCGAGAGATCTCACAATTGCTGTCAGATGGACTAATGCTTTCGTAGATGTCAGCGTTTGAAAAAGGACTGCCGGCCATCGCCAACGGTGCGAAAACGAAATGGCCGATCTTCGGCTTCTAGGACTGCACAGCTTGAAGCTAAGCTAGACAATATCGTATCATTACTCCAAACTACTGGCGGCACATCTGCAATACCCACAGATTGGGACAACGCCACTTCGATTGCCATGCCTGCACAAAATGCGCCACCTTATTCGTCTAAGACGGACCACCCCATCATCACTCCAGCTGGGATTCCATCGCCTGTCCCGTCATCATCAAGTGATTGTTCAATGGCCGATGTTTGCAACTCGCTTCAACTTACTCCAGAGGAGTCCGAGAAAAGACTGGGAAGCTTTCGCACTTCCAACATGACATTTATTCCCTTTATCCACATACCCTCCCATATAACTTCCCAACAGCTTCGCGTGGAGAGGCCATTTGTCTGGCTTACTATCATGGCGGTCTTAACTCCTGCAATTGACAAAAGGGATACTGTCTTTACTCAGATCACGACTCTTATCCACCAAAAGCTTCTCGTCGAGGTTGCCCCAAGCATGGATATGCTGCTTGGGCTTATGATATTCATAACTTGGTGAGTTAACATCCAGATTATCGGGAAATAAACACCTGGCCAGTACATACTCACAATAGTCTCAGGACTACATATACCCGGCGACCATTTCTTAATTTCTATTCGCACGTGGTCATGGGACTTGTCTGTGACCTCGGAATCAACCAGGCAATTCCCAAAGAGCCATCAACCATGCAGGCTTTCAAATGTGCTGTCGGCTGGAAACAGCCAATGTCAACTACAAGGACGATTGAGGAACGAAGAGCTGCGCTTGGCTGTTTCTTGATGACATCTTGGTATGTCCGTACTCCCAGGATGAATGTGGACCCAAGTTAACATTCGGTTGCAGCGTTGCTTTGACAATGTTTAGAATCGACGCGCTACGATGGACACCTCACATGGAAGAAAGTCTACAGGTTCTCCTAGATGCCCAAGAGTGCCCAGAAGACGAAATTCTGGTCACCCTTGTCAAGATTCAACTGGTGATGGACAAAGTGCATCACCATAGACGGGATGCGGACGGCCAGTTGCCCTCTTTACTTTATACAAAATCCTTTCAGGCACAGTTGGATTCCGTGCGAGCAGAAATCCCGCAGCATCTCAAACAGTTAAGTATGTTTATTCAGCCATGACTGCCAGTGACAAACTTGAAGCTTACTATCCTATACTACTAGATACGGTATTGCTATATATCAGTACTGCCGAGTTTATTATTCATGAATCTGCTCTCAAGGATGTGTCATCTCCAAGTTCTCCAGAGCTACATCGACTCGAAAGTCTCTGTACATGCCTCCACGCAGCCAAGTCTTGGTTTGATGTTTGGATCACCATTCCTGGTGGGGATTATCTGGGTATGCCATTTACCATGTACTTCCAGTTCTCAAGGGCTCTGGTCACTCTTTACAAATTATCGACTCTAGAGGACCCGGCTTGGGATAAAACCATGGTCCGAAACACCGCCAACATACTTGAAATCCTCGATCGTATCGCCTATGGAATGAAGACATGCGCAGAATCACTCAATGTGAACGATGAGGAATGGAATATCTTCGAAAAAGGAATGAGGATGACCCAATCAATCAAACAAGGCTGGGAGCCAAAACTTATGGAAATTTGGTACCCGAACGTACCGGCAAATGATTTGGGAGGAGACTTTGTGACGCCGACCTCCGCTCTCGAGCCCTTACCAACGAATGGGTTCGATGATATGTGGATGATGGAGATTTTTGGATCGATGGGATAGGCTCCATTTTCACTTATTTTTAGGCTCTGGCGTTTCTTTTTCTAAAGAAATCATTGGCATCGACTTAATTCTTAGACCAACTCGCCTCAATGTATCCATATTACTCTCCAATACATGAAATTTCCCACAAATATATTATATGTGGCTTCTTTAAAAGATGTAAGAATAATGAAGGCAGAGGAAAAGGAAAAAAACTTCCTTAGAGACCACATGAACCATCATGAACCAATCATCAGGGGGTAAATTTCAATAATAGTGGTGCTCTATGCCAAAGAGTCAGCATGGAAAAGCAAACCGGGGCTGTAAAACGACTAATAGCATTCGTATTTTGCACCATCGCCCGTTTGGCCTCCACTAAAAGATCTGCGTTGATCGACCATGCCTACGCACTTGGCATTTCATTTATTCTAGAATATTTCTCGCATTTTTGACACAGGTTGATCTAAGATTTCGAAAATAATTTATTACACAACCAGGCTATGAGCACCGTGACGCTGGGGTCAATTTAAAAGAGTGGTAAGTAGGAATTAGAGCCCGACAGAGCCAAGGGACTTGATCCTCTGCAGTGCATCCTTCCGGATGCCTTGCACGATGGTCTCGGCGGCTGGAACACCGTGAATCAATCCGACCGAGGCACCGGCATAAGTTGCGAGCCTTCCCTCAGGCCCCCAGCCCGCATCACCCAGCTTCGAAGCTTCATCGTGACGCTCTTTCAACTTTTCAAATGGGGTGCCGCCTTGATGTTCAACGAAAGATTTGTTAATGATGGTCCTGGGGCTGTACCCCGCTGGCCATCCAAAAGTGCCTCTGAGATGATTGTAGAGCAAAGTTCTTTTCGTTGTTGACGCGCCGTCTGTCGCACGCACAATCTCATCCTGATATCCTTTGCTAATCCGGGCCTCTTTAGAAGCTAGGAACCGAGAGCCCATCGCAACCCCCGATGCGCCTAAGCATAGTGCCGCGGAAACTCCACGGCCATCAGCGATACCACCAGCTGCTAGAAGTGGAATCTGGCTGGTTTCCATGGCATCCGCAACTTCAGGAAACAGGGACATGATGCCCATCCCATCTTCCGAGCGGCCATGGCCGCCTGATTCTGCTCCTTGGACAACAATGACATCCGGTTTCTCGGAAATCAGAAGTAATTGTTTTGCTTCTTTCAAGGTGCCGATTTGTATCCATATTTGTGTTTGCGGAGAGGCCTCGCGGATCCTGCGGGACCAAGTATCGTATTCCTCTGGACCGTCGCGGGGCGCGAATAACCAGGCGGCGCATGGCTTAAACTTCTGGATAGCCGCGGTCGCAATTTCAATATCGTCACCCCACAGTTGAAAACCGACGCCAACCGGGAGGAGAGAGGATGATGTGTGTGAGTTCAAGCTGGAAGGTTGTATTTGTTGTTTGCGGATTAGGGTTAGTGTTTCTTCAAGGTCCACGTGTGTGTTTTGAGTCTGAATGCCGGGTCCAATGAATCCCAGACCGCCTGCACCGGAGACAGCCAGGGCAAGGGCTGGTCCGGACATGACACGCATTGGCGCAGCGACGATAAACGGGCTGGTGGTCCATGGGTAGCAGGAGAGGAGTTTGGTCGCCATACTGGCAGGAGTTGGAGAACAGTGTTTGATGGATATTTGAACAGAACGATTAGAGAGTATTGATAAGTCTACCCGGTGTGAGTTTCATAAATATGCGAAGGAGGGAATCAAGGATAAATATGAATTGAGGTTGAGGAAGTGAAGACTGGAGAAGCCGAGGGATGAAGTCATGTCATTGCCTCTTTCTCTCTCTATTTCCGCTAGAGCCGCCTTTACCGCCCAACTTCCGCACGATCCGATGATCCTCTTTCTTTCCCACTCCCTCCCACCCCCACACAAACATGGAGGCCCAACCCCAAGCTCCAAAACGAAAACGAGCACGCCTGGCTTGCAAGCCATGTCGGGAACGCAAGAGAAAGTGCAATGGTGGTGACCCATGTACGACCTGTACCGAGTGGGGTTACCAGTGCTACTATGAGGCTCGGCGGAGGAAGTCTCACAATGTCCACGATCTATCACCCGATCCTTCTGCATCTCCCCCAGTTCACAATCCTCCGGGACCTATTGCCACTGAGCCGGATTCCAGTGGTCTGGTCCGTCGCTTGGAAGCTAATTCAGGCGCCGCCTTTGTCCGAAAGCTGGGGCTGAAGATCGATTCGGCCAAAGCCCCGAAGCTCAACTTATTTGGATGGAATATCGGATCAAGGCAGTTATCTGCCCAGCCCCTTGCATCTTCGGTGTTTCCTATCGTGGAGATTACATCCCTGGACCATATACAAGCGCTAGCTCAAATTTACTTCCAGAAGATTGATCCATGTTATGGTTTTCTTCACCAAAAACTCTTCTTCGACCGGCTCAACCAAAGATGGCAATCACCTCTTCTACCAGATATATTCGACAGTGTCATAGCTGGCGTGGGCGCTCTTGGCTGTCTGTTCTCGCAGCGCAATGCCACCATCACTGAAGTTCATCTGGTTCGCACAGCGCGCTCCACATTAGATACGCACCACCTATCGGGCCCTCCATCAATCGATCTTTTGAATGGATGGGCACTCAGATCAATTTATCTTCGGATGACCGACTCGCCACACTCTACTTGGATGGCGAGCTCGACACTAATGCATCTCCTGGAAGCCTCAGGTCTCCACCCCGAGTCACATTCAGTCCTTCCACCCCGCGTTCAGATTGATCCAGATCTTCAAAGACGCCTCGTCGGCGTTGCCCATCATTTGAATGTATGGACGTCCTTCGACCTGGGACTTTCCCGGGTTTCATTCCAGAAGGACGATCTACCTCTGCCACCTTCGCCCAAAGCTGGTGATTATACCGCCGAGGTTTTGGGTCTGCTCCCGGTGTCTCTTAGTCTCGACCCAGGTAGATCCAAGGATGAGACGGATCTTGCGACTACACTGGGCAAACTACTAGACGGGACTCACACCCAGCCACCATCTGTCATGGCGCAATGCAATCTTGTTCTTTGCATTCTTCGTCGGATTCATACCCAGAATCTGGATATATCGCCTGGTCTTGCAGATCGAGTGCTAAAACTACTCAAGAAAGGCCTTGGTTGCGCACAAAGCATGGTCATGGACTGCACTCCCTGGCATCAAGTCGCCAATGTTCCATTTCATATAATCTGCGTTCTCTTGGTAATAGACACGCGTCCATCGCTTTCAATGCTCCCAGAAGCAATGCAAACCCTCGGGCTGGTTGCATCTACCTATGATACCGAAACCATGAGGGAGGCATATAGCGCGGCCTGCTTGTTGGTCTTGCTACACCAACAGCGTAGGAAGGATGATATAGCTATCCTGGGAGAGGCACTAAGTACCCAACAGGCGACTCAATTAGAGATATTTTCTCAGCCGACCCCTAGCGCAGAAGAGTTCAATTGGCTGGGTGCTCTAGTTGCAGATTTACCTGGGCTACAAAGGGTCGACCTGGACCAGTTTTTGAATGCAGATATGATTGATGTTCCACCTTTTATGGGCGAATCTGCCTGATTCATGATTTACTGCATGGGTTTGAGACTCTATCCGCATGGGAAAATCGATCAGGCGAATTCAATCACAAAATAGTTGCAGCTGTGTCTATCATCCTGCTATCGCCGCTCTTGTATAATTTCAACTGATTATGTCATTGAATTCGAAGATTATTATAGGGCCATTGGTTCCTAACAAACCACAATTAAACACATGCAGGCAAAGCAGAAACGGGTACGTAGTCCTTTGGTGGGGCTCAAACGCGAAGCCGTAGTCCCGCTAATACCGCGGTCCCGCAATATCCGCAGAGCAGGCAACCCCGGCCATGTTTCTCCCGAGTCATGATGGCTGCCATTGTTTAATCTTGCCATGAAAACCAAGGCTATTCCCATAGCACAAGATATGCCGAAAAACCTTCCAACTTGCCCACGAGACTGAACCCGTGTGTGACGTGCATAACCATTAGATCAAGGTGATATACAACAACACTGGTTCATTGTTAAAGATCACAGCTAATACGACAGGACCATAATGCAGCAGCGAGGAATTCGGTGTGAAAGAATCCATGGATCTAAAAATATCCATGGGACGGGGCAGACCGTTGCCAGGCCCTCTTCCTGACCTCGAAGATTACGTTGTTGATTTTGACGGAGTCGAAGATCCATCGCATCCTTACAACTGGCCATTTCCCACCAAGTACGCAAACTTCATACTCAGAATGACGAGAGAGCTGCTAATACTATCCATTTGATTAGACTCTTTACTGCCGTGCTGGTATGCTCGGGTACTTTCATAACCTCTTTGTCCAGCGCGGTCTTCGCCCCAGGGTCCGATAGCGCGAGCAACGAATTCGGCGTTGGAGCAGAAGTCGGAAAATTGGGTACAACGCTCTTTGTTCTAGGATTTGCATCGGGACCGGTGATATGGGCTCCAGCATCTGAACTTTATGGCAGGAAATGGCCCTTGACCATCGCCCTGCTCGCCGGTGGAATATTCACCATAGGTACCGCTGTCGCCAAAGATATCCAAACACTCCTCATCTGTCGCTTCTTTGCAGGAATGTGTGGCGCGAGCCAGCTTACAGTCGTCCCGGGAGTACTGGCAGATATATACGACAACACCCAACGCGGTATCGCCATCTCACTCTATGCTTTGACCGTCTTTGTCGGCCCGTTTGCTGCACCTTTCATCGGTGGATTTCTTGCGACGAGTTACCTGGGATGGCGCTGGACTCTCTACATTCCAGCTATCATCGGTCTCGTTACAGGCGCAGTGTCGGTTGTGTTTCTGCGTGAAACATTCGCACCGGTGCTACTTATAACGAAGGCCACGGAAATGCGGCGTCGAACGAAGATCTGGGGCATCCATGCGAAACAGGAAAGAATGGAAGTGGATTTCGGAGAAATGGCTACGAAATACTTCACTCGTCCACTGAAGATGCTTTTGACTGAGCCGATCATTTTACTCGTTTCGCTCTATATGTCTTTTATCTATGGGCTTATTTATGCACTCCTAGAGGCATATCCATATGTCTTTGAGAATACGTATGGGATGAAGGCCGGAATCAGTGGATTGCCTTTTATAGGCCTGATTATCGGAGTCGCCCTGGCACTAACATTTATCTTGCTGGAACATGGCAGCTATGCAAAGAAGTTGATAGCTAACAAAGGCATACCTGTGGCTGAATGGCGTCTGGTTCCTCCGCTTTTTGGGGCACCCGTGTTTACCATCGGAATATTTTGGTGAGCTTGGGCAGAATTTATCAATTTTCCAGATGGCGACATAAGTCCAGGCATGCTAATTCTATCACAGGCTTGGTTGGACTGGTTACGATCCAAAAATACACTGGGTGGTACCTACTGTCGCTGGGATCTTTGTTGGGTTCGGCGTTCTTTGCGTATTTCTTCCTTGTTTCAACTACCTGATTGATGCTTATCTACCTTTGTAAGTTTCTCTGTTATTTGAGTTCTAAAGTTATACAATTGCTGACTATCTGTAATAGCGCTGCCTCCACAGTCGCTGCCAATATCATTCTCCGCTCTACGGTGGCCGCAGGTTTTCCGCTTTTCACAACTCAGATGTTCGAAAATATGGGTATTCAATGGGCATGTACGTTACTTGGGTGTCTAGCTGCCTTGATGATACCGATACCGATGGTTTTCAGAGCCTATGGCCCTCTACTTCGAAGCAAAAGCAAGCTTTTCAAATGAAAACAAAAGCAAAGATCGAAAAACTCTCCTATCTAGTTTGAGTGTCGAATATCGTTAGGAGTGTTTAAAAGCTTGTTAGATTGATATATAATTCAGTCAATGCAGATAGAATACTAGTATTGTTACATTATTGGATACCACCAATTAATGACTTACTTGTGCTCTGGCCCTCAACCTCGCACCGTAATACCAGAGAATCAAAGGAGCCGGCAATCCGACTATCAGGCCTATAAATGCAATTGTAGTGTTTCCCCATCCATACCCGAGCACCTTGTACATTGTCGGTGCAAATAAAGGGAACAGGAATGCCGTCAGACTACGTGGAAACTGGGAGGCAGCCCCGGCACTGCTTGTATGCTCTGGATAGGCCTCCATGATGTATGCCTGTAGTGGCATTCCTGTGATTTGCATGCCAAGCATCGTAATGAAAGCACCAAGATCGACAATAGCCCAATGGAGGCGATAATGAGCCGCCCAGCCATAGACGAACAGACCAAGTGGCCCGATAAAAGCACCTGGAAAAACAGAAGGCGTTCGAAGCTCAGGAGTATGTTCACCATTGGCTCGAGCCTTGAGGCGATGGTAGAGGGAGTCCATGAGCATTCCACATAGCTGGGCTCCCACAATCTCGCCTAATGCAACTGAAATGTAGTGTAAACCGCTAATTTCGACCGACTGTTGATACTGATAAATCCATAGGTCTGAAAACGTAGACAGAACAATGTACAGAATTCCGTAGTAGAACGCTGACACGAGTGAAGAGATTTGAATAATAGGATGTGAAACAAGGAGTCGGACAGGTCTGATAAGTGCGCGACCGAGAATCCTCAGCGCGGACTTGTTTGCATGGAGTCGTTCATGAACAGTGTAATATCGTGTGTCGCCAGTCTGCTCGCGAATTCGCTCTGCACGACGGCGCAGGATTAATGGCTCATATGTCTCTTGGAAGGCCGTGAAAGATACTAGAATCATCACAGCCTGGAAGATGGATGTTGCCCAAAACATCCAGCGCCAGGTCGTACGATCTGCCATGAAGCCACCGATGATCGGACCAACAGCGGCTCCTAGCAAGGGGATCAGCATGTACACTCCAAGAGAGCGTCCGCGCTGTTCCGGCCGCCATACATCGCCGAGAACACCATTCGCTAAAGCGTATATTGCACTAGCACCAAAACCGGCGAGGAACCGACATGCGATCAACGTTTCTTTATTTCTAGCGAAGCCACAGGCAATATTCCAGATTAGGAACCAGACATTCGAAGCGTGGAGGATTGGCTTGCGACCATAGACCTCGGACAAAGGGCCGATAAAGAGTGGACCAAACGCTGTTGCGAGAAGATAAATGGAGAGGGCCATAGCTGACTCTGCGGAATTCATGTCGAACTCTGCAGAGATTGTGGACAGGGCTGGGGCAATGATTGTTGATACCATTATTCGATTGAAGCCGGTCGCAGAGAGCACATCGGTTACGGCCCATTTACGACCAGTTCGCCAATCCTTTGGATTTTCAGCATCAAAAGGCTCGGCAAATGCGACCAGGAATGGATCATCCTGTTTGCTGTGATTGGTGATGGGGGCTAATTCGACATCGGTCGGCGAGATTGCCGTGACAACGTCAGGGCCCTCACTATGACTATTATTGGTATTCATCGTATCTCAGAGTCGACGAAGCGCATGGTATCAAAAGAAGAAGAGAGACCCCGGAGAGAGGATGGCGATGGGAGCTAAATAATCGATCTTCCCCAGATGAGGAAGTGCGGGGATCAGATAAGGAGGTCGGATCCGGCCGATGGAATGCCACGCCACCAACCTTTGGGATAACAGCAGATTAAGCAGCTAATATCAAAAGGCAATCTTGTACTTTTGTAGCGGGTCACTCGGAATCAGCATGGACTTGCTGGAGATACTGTGATTACAGGGGCAAGTAAAACTTACTAGAATTCTCCGAAAAAAAAAGAATTAGAAAACATTGTGCACACATTCAAGTTCTAATCGAAGCCCATGTCAATGAAGTGGAGTTTGGATTGATATTGCTATTAAGATATCTCGGAGAGGGATAATATCTAAGCAAAGGTAGCCTCGCCAAACACATTCCGAATTTCGTCGAACTCCTTGCCCTCTGCTAGCAATAATCCAAGTAGAACGCGCGCCTGCTGGGGGTTGTACAGGCCGCTAGCAATGCGAGTCTTCGCAGTATCACCCGTGATATCAGCGGTGGGAACCTCGCCATTTACAGTGCGATGACTCAGGATAACAGGGACATTAGTCCGCGACACGACGTCGTCGATGGCATCACCAAAGTCGGTCGAGATGCCTCCTGCACCCTCGCCGGCAATCTAATTTCATTAGCACCCGATCTCAGCTAGTAGGGGTCGTTCAGAGAACATACCACAATACCCTTGGCACCGTTCTTGATAGCACTGTGAAGTGAGTCGCTGTGCATATCCTCATACGCGTACAGGATATCCACACGGGGAATTGAGTCCACATCCTCCATATCTGCGAGATGCTTTGCGTTCGGTTGCACGGCCGGGTAGAAGAAATATGGAGTGTTTGAAACAATCATGCCGAGACTACCCTGCTCGTAGGCTTTGAATGTATCCATGGTGTTGGCATTTGTTTTGGTAGCAAAGAAGGCCGAAACGATGCGGTCGTTCAGAACAACAAGTGCACCACGATCCTTGGCCTGTTTGTCTGCGGCCACAGTAACACCTTGGAGGAGGTTCATGGGACCATCGGCGGAAATGGCAGTAGATGGGCGCATCGAACCGACGAAAACGATTGGCTTGCCGCAGTTCACTGTCGCATCGATGAAGAAGGCCGATTCCTCTAAAGTGTCAGTACCGTGGGTGATGACAGCACCAGATATGGTGGGATCGTCGCAAACGGTCTTCTGTAGCGTGTGCGTCAGGTTCAAGAGAAGAGACGAAGATATATCGCCGCTGTTAACATTGTCAAATTGAACGGCGTTGACGTTGGCAATGTCGTAGACCTCGGGAATCTTGGAGAGAATCTGATTGATTCCTAAAGCTCCAGACTTGTAACCTGCTGTGGCCGTCTTGTCGTCACTTGTCCCAGCAATGGTGCCACCTGGTATATGTTTGTTAGAGTATTGATGAGCACCAAAAAAACAGTGCCTGCTTACCCGTTGCTAGTAAAGTAACATTAGGCAAAGATGCATCGAAGTGGTTGAACTTGAGGCCGTTGGAGTTGGTATATGATGTGTTCGAGGCTCGGGCATGAATGAGCGGAGAGGCATAGCTCGTGGCAGCCAGTGCGGAGATCGCGAGGGTATTAAATATCAGACCCATTCTTGGTATGTTCTCGTGATGCTTGTGTCAAGAAGGTCTTGATATTTTAGCCCGAGAGGGTCTTTCGAGGACTATATAGCTTACTACTAGAACAGATATCGGTAGTTGCGTCATCCGGTTTTCGTCTTTCCGAGACTCTAGGCATCTGTAAAATCATGAATCAAATTACTTGGCAGTCCTTGTCGCAATAAGGTTTCGTCCAAATATGAGGAAGTATCTCGTTGCGGGGCAGGCATAGAAAGTGGGTTGAGGTGGATCGAGGCGGAGACGTATAGTTGGAGTAAGCAGAATGTCGTTATGTACAAGATTCTCAACTCTTTCTGTTCTCCGATTGGTATCAACACCCGAAGATAGAAAGCAAATTATGGAATTGGGCCTTGGTATCGGATCGTGAGTGGTATAGCATATGGCTGGGCAACAATTAAACTTTTTCGACGGGCATTTCGAATAGTTGGTATCGTGCCAAGTCGAAAATGCATTTGTTTCTATTGTTCCACTGCGAAGTACAAACTTATTGTGAAGATAATGGGCCCTCTCAGCGGGTCGATCCCGAGAGCAAGTTTATTTTTATGAGATGATTTATCCATATTTGATGATGAAGCTCGTAAATTCGGTTGAAAGGACGAATAGGACTCTCGGCTCACGACCCATACCGATTCTTCCGAACATAAGCCGATCGTCTCCAACCGTACTTGGCTCCCCTTGGCATCGAGAGGCTGTGCAGGATTTAGGCTCTCGCCAAGCATAGCAGAATTAACGTTAGTCACTGAATGAGGCTTTTTTGCTCCATCACTTCAAATCGAGACCTCGACGGAGATCTGCAATGTCTCGGTACAATATCGGTTTAACTCGATCGCAGCCCATGGCGAAGAATGTCAACACCGAGTGTAGTATATTCATCCAAGAAGCATGCCTTTTGTCTTGAGGTTGATTCTCAAACGTGGTAGGCACTTTACAATCTCAGAAGTTGCTAATTTCTGGCGCCTAGTTCAAAAAGCGCCACCGCATCCGGTCCCTGACGATCAGCGGGGAGCTCATGGATTCCTGAATAGTCCGAATTTGCTATACCCTGTGTGTCTCTTTGGCGGTATTGCACTTCCCAGGAGCCGGGTAGCTGGTATTCATTGCAGATATCTTCCACGACATGTTGCTGTGTTTCGCTATTCGCCAATGCCCTCTCTTCGTGGCAGATTGAGGGTCGCATAGTCAGTTGTCCTGTGCGGTCCCGGGGTTTCCATGTCGCTCGTATGTGTTTTCGTTCTCAAGGTGAACACCCGAATCTTGTTTTGCTCGACGGGAGTCGACTTCACATCATGAATAATTTCCCATTGGGCACTCGTTGCCGAGGAGGCGTAGCGGGGCCCCTGTGTTGATTTCCGGTTACTTGTCGGTGTCATTTGGGGCGATGAGGTTTGCCGTTCCATGGGGATTGAAACATTGCCATATTGTGGAAATGGTGTATTCGATCGGTCTCAGCAAGAGAGTAACTGACTCTTCGATTTCTGATTGTGTTGTTTATGTTTTCTCGGAGTCCAGGAGTTGTCCTAAACTATTGGCCATGATGAGTCAGCATTTATTGTCTCTCACTTCACTTCTTTGCACTCGTCAACAACGCACATATCACTTAGCAGACCAGCTCTACCTCATACCCTTTCAGTATTTGGGGCAGCTTCGAAGCAGTCGTTTGAAATGTGTTCCCCTGCCGAGTCTAGAGACTAGCGGCAGCAGGAAGATAGCTATCCTTGATGCAGGAATCATCTCCGAGTACACCTGTCTAGACTCGGATCAGACTGTACCCTCTTTCATCTCTTCTCGCGAGATCTGAACCTGCGGAACAACATATTTTATTTCGCATAGGGGCTGTGGGATTGGGGAAAAATTTCGATCCGGCTAAAATGTGCGCCTATGCATTTTAGCCCCCAAACGCCGTAATATTTTAGTAGTTTTCGTGTCGAAGGTGGACGGACAGTCGGAACGCCACTACTCTGCCGCAACATAAGCATACTCTTGAGCTACCTAATCCTGCTTCCTAACTATATCAGGCAATTTAGATGCTTGTCGAATGAGGAGTGCTTTCATGAGAGTCCCATACCACGTTTCGTCGAATAAGAACTGATCAAGTGGGGACATAATTGACAGCTATGACAATAACCTGCATGGCCCCCACGACACGGGATGAAGCTTTTTCTTTCCTCCTTTTCCTTCCTCCTTTTTTTTATTTCTAAGTTAAGTTTTTACCTTTCTACACATCATCAATAAGCTATAAACTCCTACCAGTTGCTTCAGAGTAGCTTGGCAGACGGAGTACGAAGGACATGGTTGACCTCTTAACCATTGACAGGGGCTTTGGCCCAGGCAAGTGGGGTGATGGTGACTGGAATACTGTTGTGGATCCGAGTTTGGCATCAACTCGCAAGGACAGGAGCCTTGTCGCTGTTAAGGCTGCCTTTGCATTCCTTCTGCTCGTGGGCATGCTTGTTCTCTCAATCTTTATTTTTATATTGAAAAAGTCAAGAACAGATGCCCTCAAGCCTATGCCACTGATGGCCACCTTGGCAGCCATGTTCTCAATGGTGATGTAAGTCCCGACTCTGGTTCGAATTGAGCGATGAATGAATCACTTACCACCCTAGCAGCTCTATGGCCAATGTGTTTGCTTATAACATTTACGGGCTCGAAGTTTCCAAGACCAAGGAGTGGTATTTGATCACTTCACTGCTTTCGGAACTTTTCGAGACACTCTCATATTGTATAATGTTTTATGTCTTTTATACTGTCGTCCACGTGGTAAAAGATCGTATCACGAATATGAGCACCAAGGTATCTACGACCATCAAGTACGTGCATTTGGTGGTCGTGGGCCTCTTTGCAGCACTCGTCATTATCGAGTGGAGCTACATGGTACTCTATATCAACTCCGTCGTCCATAATGAATACATCTTCATCGAACAGGCCAGTGTTGAGTCAAAGATTGACACCGCCCGATGCATTCTATTTTGGCTGGCCGCATGGGAGATTGTTGGCTGGACTTTCTACCTGGGCCTCATGACATCGCGGGGCTCATCGAAGGTCAATATAAAGGTATGTTGTCTATTAGGCTTGAGAAGTCAGGGCCACTGGATTATTGTGCAACATCTGACACCACTTGAACAGATGTCAGCATATTTCTTGATCGCCGCCTCGGGATTTTTCCTCGGCGAGAATTTTTATTATTTCCTATGGGATGTGATTTACAAGCTGAGAACCGGAAACACAGATGTGGGCTCCGCCACCGATATCATCCAGGAAATCGTTCGGTTTGTCTTTGTTCAAGGATCATTTTTCGGGCTTATTTTATGTTATTGGCGATTTCCGGCCCCGGAAGCTCGCTTCGACGAGATTTCCAGTGAAGAGAACCGGGAGGCTAGAATTAGCTCGGATTTTGTTGACCGTAATGGCTTGGCTGCGCGAGAGGTCGAAGGAAGCACCCCTTTAGATGGAATTACCGACAAGAAAGCGGGCATGTTTGAGGCGGACACTTCACGAGCTATACTGGAGGCCGATGGCTCCGATTACTCCCCAGATAAGAAAGCTGGCATTTCTGAGGTAGATGGCTCAAAGGGAATCCTGGAGGCCGATTCAAAACTGGTTCATGAAGCAGCCAGCTAGGCTCCTTTGGCAGTCTTCGCTGAAAACTTTGTCCGTTTTGTGCCTTCCTCTCAAAAGAAAAGGCCTAGATATGACCGAGCAATTCTAGAAATAATTAATGCAAAAATCCAGATTGCTTCAGGGTATTCGAGGATTGTAGATGCTTCAAATAATTTTAGGAATGATCGAGTCGAATGAACATAACAGAAACAAGAATGCGGGGAACTTTGTTCGAAGCTTCACAGGAGGACCCAGGAGCCAGGAATCACGCGAGATCACTGATTTTTAATCTTTTGCTGCCCAACTGCTTCAAAATCTGTGGGTCATTGTGACTTGATTCTCCAGAACGACGAAAATACTCACAATACGCGCTGAATCGGGCGACGGGATCACTTTATTTTAAATCTCAGCTCTACATTCCTTCAGGCTCTACGATTATCAAATAGTGACCATCGCTCGCAACACGTGTTCTTCCTCGCATGGTGTAGTATTATATTCCAATCCGCGATCTCATAAGTCTAGCTTCACTTGGCCATCTGATCGCTCTTTTTGTCGCAATAATGTACATTCCTCAGGCTCTGAGCAATCGCACTGTACTTCTTGTCGCCTTCTTGCATACAAGGCTGCTCCTCGAGCAGCTGCGAAAGTCAGATCCATAGGTTTCTCTATGGGGTTTTCTCCTTGGGCAGATCCCATCAAGGCGAAAGGGACTATCTTGGATTCGATATGAGGTTCCGACAGCCCGGCCAAGGCGTCTTTCAAATTAGTCAGAAAAAGAGGGTCTGTTGTGCTCTCGCCGGCTAAAAGAAAACCGGTGATTCGAAACTCGGAGGACAGAGAAAACCTTTTGATCTGCTCACGGAGACGAGCCCATAATAAGTCAGGATTGTCTGCTTCAAGAATTCGATCTAGCCCTAGTTCGAAGTCAAGAAATTTCATGTCATCGTATGCGAAGCGCAATAGGGCTTCACCCCCAATAGGTGTGGTAATGCTGGTGTATAGCAGTTGGCGGGTGAATGAAACAAAAAGAATTGTAGGAGAACTGGCCCATTCAAACTCATCTGTACACTGCCACAGATCATGATAATTTTTGCATAGACCATGTCCACTAGCAGCATAAACAGCATCTGCCTCTACCAGACGTCTGGGATACCATGGACAATCACCCGTCCAGGGTTGTAAATCTAGCTCCTGAAGAGCACTGTTGATCATCTCCGAATTCAAGGTTTGAATATCAGGGGTTGTGATAGCAACTCTATTTAGACCCTGGAGTATTTGCTTCTCTGTGGTAAGCTGAAGATCCCTAAGCATTTCACTGATGATTGTTATGTCGTCCACTTCCACCGGTCGCTTGAGCATTTCATTCAACCAGCGCCACCCAGCCCGCGCTGGGAAAGGGAAACCCAAGAAAGAATCCAAAAGAGAGAATAGCTTAAAGTAGGAACTTTGAAAAATCCCTTGGTCTTCAATTAATACCGGCTTGCCTCCTTTTGCAAGGCGTGTCATAAGCTCAAGATACTCAGGTTTGCCAGGGATTTGGATAACGTCGACGACGGTTCCATTAGAATAATGTACAGCGGATGTTCTGTTAAAAGTAAGGTTAAATTAATTTCGTCAAGTCTTCAAGATAGCCACAGACTCACCCGTAGGAAGGAGTTAGATCGAACCCGACTCCCGGGGCGTCATAAGTATTGGCTGGAAGGCATGTTTCACACCTGGCACGGGGGCAGTCATAAAAGGCATAACAAGGGACTATCGAAAAAGCAGCAAGAGCGAAAATCCGAGTTAACCACATTTGGAAGAAAGGGTGGTAAATAGACTGGCAAGCTGCGGTTTCTGGGTGATGGCGGCGGTGGTGGTTTTAAGCCTTGTGAGCGCCAACTGAGTGTGACAGACGAAGAGTCTTGTCGGAAATCTGAGTTTCGGGTGGTGCTCAGGGTTACAAGGGGCCTTCGACGGGGTGGACCCCACGCCGCTAACACCGATCCTGTCTATTTAGGAAAGGTGGTGTATGTGTATTACCACGGGGCTCAGTCCTATTCAAAATATTGCAGTTATTCATACACACTTACAATTGGCGAGAGGGTACCTAGGTATATAATAATGTAGAAATAGCTGGTATGGTAGCTTCTGCTAGTAGGACCATCGGATACCCACCTATTCTGGTACTGAGATAGTACTGGTACATACTCACTTACCTACCTGGGGATGAGAAAGTAGAATCCTGGCCTCCTACCGTAGCTCGTGGTAATACACATACAGCAGCTTTTCTAAATAAACAGGACAGGGTGTTCAGATAGCTAAAGGGGGCGTCTATTGAGTAGTAGTAGTGCCTAGTAATACTGGAGTAAATAAATCCGATGTGGCTGCGCCATACTGGGCGCTGCCTGCCGCTCCGATTGCTCCAGAGTATTCAAGAATCGTAAATGCTTCAAATAATTTTAGGAATGATCGACTCGGAGTCTAACGAGCATCCACTGTGGATACTAATAGTAGTAGCAGCCATCGCTCAAAATATGTGTTCTTCCTGGCATGGTGGACTACTAGTAGTAGTACTAGTATTTTTCAACTTACGACCTCATCTTATAAATCTAGTTTCACTTGGGCACCTGATCGCTCTTTTTGTCATGATAATTTACACTCCTCAGGCTCTGAGCAATCGCACTGTACTTCTTGTCGCCTCCTTGCATACAAGGCTGCTCCTCGAGCAGCTGCGAAAGTCACATCCATGGGTTTCTCTCCTTGGATATATCCCATCAATGCGAAAGGGACTATCTTGGGTTCGATATGAAGTTCCGACAGCCCGGGAAAGACGTTTTTCAAAAAGATCATGGTACGTACAATACCATCATCATCAACACGATAGAATAAAAACTCTGTGTAATCCGTCAAGAGGCCATACCTTTCCACGACGCTTTCTCTCGGAGTGAACCATCGCTATAGAAATGTTAGCAGAAGTATAAATTCCCTACAATCCACCTATGAAGTTTTCACCCATGTTCAAGTTACCTATGACCTGTACGTCACAACACGGCCATAGACTCAATCTTCGGCAAACTTCAAACCCCCATTTTTCTGATTCAAAGACCACGAGTCGAACAGCAGCTAATTCATGTCCGTCATACCAGAGACTGCTAGTATGGTCTGGAACCCTCAACATAGTAAACTTCCTTCCCTGCCCAGGTAGTATTGGGCAGTGTTGTCCGCAGATAGAGCTCATTACCCCGGGATTTGATTTTGAGACGGTCGGAATATCCCCGGCACTTGTTGAAATGCTTTTAGTGCAGAATTTGAAAGGCACCCCCCCCCGAGGGGGGGATATAGATTGGCCCATCACACAAGCATAACACACAACTCATCAAATCAATTTCGTGCCACTCCCGGCAGTTGACCATGCTAATAATGCTTTGCCCTGGCCATTTGTCCATGGGTCGATTCCAGACGTATTCCTATGATGAGGTTAGCTCTATGCAGGTATGTATCATGGTACCTTGTAGAATAGGGACGACGTGAAGATGTGGAATCCTACTGACCAGAAACGTATAGTAGGATCATCAGCAAGTGGAACTTGCCACGACATCCTCTGCCATTGCCCGGTCTTCTGGTTTCCAATCTTTCCACATTGATACCCGGCACAAGACGCCCCCAGGGCAAATTTCCCCCAATCTGCAACTTGGCCCGCGTATGCATTGCGTATCGGAGCTCTACCTTGTCCATATTTTGGATCTTCACGGGTTTCTTGTTCTTTTGAATCTTGGAAGAATCAAAAAGCATGAGGTCCACGGTCTGCGCTCGAGCTGCAGGTGAAATATTCATAGCCAGGATGGATGGATGGATGGATAGATTGTTGAGGGACAGGATGGCGATACTGGCAATGGCAGAGAGAAGATGGTGGTGGCATGAAGAAGCTATGGAAGAAGCTATCTACATGACAGGCACGGTGGGCACGGGCTGACTCCGCAGACATGGAGCCTGAGCCCTCAGGCCTCAGCATGTGGTAACTAGTATTCAGGGATAGTATGGAAGAGGGATGGAGGTGAATGAAGGAGCCAGAGAGGTCACAGGTGGCTGCTGAGGACAACAAGAGCGAAATCGGAAAGTCCAAGTTAACCACATGTGGAAGAAAGGGTGGTAAGCAGACTGGCCTGATGTTATTCTACACAGTCCTGGACCAAGTATACCCGATGTGGCTGTGCCGCACTGGGCGCTGCCTGCTGCTCAGACCTCTCCCCCCACCGTCCTTCGTTTCTGTCACTCTTTTACATGGATTCTATCCTCTTTGCCTAGCGTTGTCCTCTTTCGACTAACTGAACTATCAAAAATGGATCCTTTCTCTCTAGCCGTTGGACTCGGGGAAATTCTACCACTGATCGCCCGTGCCATCACCACCGCCAAGGAGTACATCGACACCGTCAAGTCAGCAAGAAAGTCAATCGCCGCACTGATCAACGAACTTGAAGTTCTGCAAGCTAATGTCAAAAACCTCCATTCTCTACTCAAGGACGACGCCTTTACAGAAAGATCTGTACGATTCGATGAGAATTCGGTTCTCCTGACATGCTCTGCCGCCTGCGAGGCAAAGCTGCTGTCGCTGTGTAAAACGCTCAAACAAGAAGCGAAGGGGAAGATGAATCGTCTTCTGTGGCCCTTTACTGAGAAGGAATACCGTAAGGCGATACAGGACTTGCGTGATTTTACCAAATGGATGCAGTTCGCGTTATCCATCGATGGTTGCCGTGTTTTATCGCAGACATCGGAGGACGTCTTGAAGTTAATGGGTCAGCAGTTAGAGGGTTTCAAGGCGATCCAGGCACTGAAAATGGACACACTTCAGATAATTGAAATTCTCAAAGACCAGAAGCTCACTGACCAAGCCAAGACCGAACAGGAGGCTAGAAAGTGTACTCTAAACTGGATAGCGACCTCGAAATACTATCAGAAACACCAGCTGATCCAAGCATCGAGGACACAAGAGACCGGGTTTTGGATTATGAAGAAGGAGAAGTTCATACAGTGGAGATATGATAGCTCTGCGTCGAATATTCTCGTGTGTCCCGGCATCCAAGGCTCGGGCAAGACAAACATTGCGTAACGCTATCCGTCACTAATTTGGGAGCATCGGCTGATGTTCTACTAGTTCGACAATTATCGATAATCTTCTCAAATCGAATGCTAACAAAGATTCCCCGGTCGCATACTTCTATTTCGATCACCAGGATCAATCTACTCAAAAGACTCCAGCAGTTCTATGTTCTATCCTAAGACAGCTCCTCGACCAATTACCGGATATCCCGAGTGCCGTGACCGAGCTGTTTGAGAAGAGCGACCGCCAGACCCAAATACCGCTCCACGAGTGTGAAAGATTTCTCATCGATCTTGCATGCGACCTTAAGTACGCATATTTAGTGTTTGATGGACTTGATGAATCGGAACACCGGAGATCTTTCCTACAGAGTATACAGAATGTGGCCGGGAATCGCCAATTTCGTATTCTGATTACAAGTCGACCTCATATCCGGGATATTTTAGATATGTTCCAGAATTACCCTAACCTACCTATCCAGGCAGATAGGGAAGACCTCAAAATCTACCTCTATAAGGAACTCGACCAAGGAGGGATTTATGACATTGCGGATCAAGAATTCGTGAGGGGATTGGTTCGTAGACTAGTAGACGGGGCGGAAGGAATGTACGTATCTCTATCTTTCCCGATGCCACTGTTCACATCCAGCCTGTTCGATATGACTATCAGTTACTAACAAATGTATTACAACACAGGTTCCTGCTCCCAGTTCTACAGCTCCGGACTATTCTAAAAGAGCCTACTCTAGGCGAAATGGAGGACAGAATAGCAGATCTGTCAGGGAGTCTTGGCGAGGCATTTGCGGATACCATTTTGCGCATCCAGCGACTGCCAACAAGTCGCAGCCGAGTCGGCATGAGCACGCTTATGTGGCTTTGCCACACCACCCGAGCAATGACAGAAGCTGAAGTCAGTGATGTTTTGGCTATCCGCAGCGCAGAAAACGAAGTCAACGTCAAGTATCGTCCAACAACCAAGACAATTCTCGAGTGTTGCCAAGGACTTGCAACCGTAGATGGCGAGGGTCGCATACGACTTGCACATTATGCAGTCCAAGAGTACTTGCAAGATCATTCGCTGCATTTCTTTCCCCGAGCCGAAGCCACAATCGCGGTGACTTGTCTTCGTTACCTCGCCTTCAAGAACTTTCAGGATGGGCCTTGGTCGACTTGGTTCGAAATCGAATCTAAAATGAAAATGTTTCCCTTTCTCTCCTGGGCTGCCATGTACTGGGGTCGATTCACACGGCAGACCGAAAGCGACCCGGAAGTTTGGTCTACGTTGTTCACCTTCTTCTCGTCCCCTGCTGCCACGGCCATCTCAAACCAGGTGCGGCAGTACTCGATGCCCCGCAACAGTAACTATTGGGATGCAGGCGAGTGTCGCAGCTTCACGGCGCTTCACCATGCCTCGCGCCACGGGCTCGAGCGGGCGCTGAATAGGCTCATTGACAGCGGCGCATATGGAGTGAACGAATTGACGCAGATGGGCTCTACACCCATCATCCATGCGGCTGCCGGCGGTCATGTGTTGACGACTCGAGGCCTGTTGGCCCACGGCGCTGATCCCTACCTGATTAACTGGTACGGCAACGCTCTACATTGCGCTGCAGAAGCAAACAAGGCTGCCACGGTGCGCGAATTGGTTCGCTCGGGAATGGATCCTAATACTGAAAACAACGGCAGTCCCTATCTCGTGTCTGCTCTAGACAATGATGCAGCTGGGGCGTTTGCAGCCCTCGTTGAGCTCGGTGCTGACATTGAATCTCAGAGTGCGTCCTGGGGCCAAGGTCATATCTTCTTCGGCGCAGCGTTCATGGACTGTGATGATATCGTCGCACTCATGCTGGAGCGGAATTGGGCCGAAATCGAGATGAGAGATCCGAGTGGGTATACAGCCCTCCACTGTGCCACTTTAGGGGGGGGGCGGTCATGACGGTGAGGAGGTTGGTAGAGGCTGGGGCCAATATTGACGCCATGGACTACGCCGGCCTCACGGCCCTGGAGCTCGCGGAGCTTGAGGGGAATAGGACCATCGCCAAATTGTTGCGAGATTATGAATCCCAGTCACCACGGCTGAGTTGAGTCTATTGAAATATAGAGTACAGATCTCACATATCTCGCGGCCCAACGCCAATGAGACGGGCTGAGCCGCACCAAGATGCATGCCTCTGAAGCTGATGGCGTTCGGGTAGAAGCTAAGAGCAAACTTGAACTAGCTTCGCCCATACTACAGCAATAGGACTCCATGTGGTAACCAGGTACCTGATATAAATTCGTAATTTGGCTAAGAAACCTTATTGATTATTGACTGAGGCTTTAACTACCTTCAACGTTGCATTCTCTAATACTCAAGCTGAACTTTTAATGACAAATATAGCCCCTTACAGCAGGTGAGCATAGATCAGCCTTGCAACCTTGTCATCAAGCCCAGGCGATGTTCAAAAGAAATAACAGAAAACGGAAGCTTAAAACTATTGGAAATAGCAAAGTATCCAGTAGCAGACCATGACCTCAAACAGAATCATGCAAGCATCAAAAGCTCTGAAGCCTTGTATACTAGTAGTAGTATAGTTCAAAAATAATATTCCAAGGCACTATAGTGTAATCCGAACCAGTTACGGGCAAATACAACACATACAACACCGTGATTGAAACCTTGGAAGGAATAACGTTATTTGTTTATAGTACTCCTGGGCTTACACATGGGATAGGCAACTTGAACGCTATCCTATACTACCACTAGCAGTATTATAATGTCATTTTAGTGAATTAGGCACTTGCCTACTAAATTCGGTCATGGCGGGAGCAGGAGAGCTCATAACCTGTGTGTAAGCTAGTTGAGAGAGGATGCAGAGAGAGTGAAAGTATTGAGTGAAGCGACGGTGAGCTATGTAGGAGAAGGAGCCATGTAGATCAGACGATGGATATCAAGTGACCTGTATCGGACAGTGATACTAGCAGTGGAGTTTCCAAGCATTCGCGAGAGAAATCACAGTAGCCCGACCTAGGCCGAACATAATATTGCGGCGTTGCTCCGGTGGTTTGACCTGGCGTGGACCGTAACGGAGACCTCAGAATCATCCATGATAATCTGAAATTGCATTCCTATCAGGCGTCGCGCTTTTTGATAATTTATGTGAGCCCCGAGAGCCTTGGGAGTCCAACTTGGAGGTGAGAGATCGGACGAACTTGAAAGATGCGGATGGGGTTTGGTAAACAGCGATTTCAATCACTGCCACGTGTGCTTATGCGATCATGTCTTGAAAAAATGGGAAAGTTGACAAGTTTGCATCTGCCGGTGGGAGTTTTGATTTCCTTGGCTGGCGTCGAAGTCCAGGATTGAAGCTTAACAGCCAAATATTACAGCAATTTTAGAATCAAAGGACATTTTTCCATGGTATAAATGGACTTTAACAGTTCGATGGCACAATGATACCGTTCTGGTGGCACTGCTATCTTCTAATCAAGTCGGGTAGGTATGGGAATCGGGGTATTCTCTCTTCGGGTTCGACTTAGGGTCTTTTGGTTTGGTTGAATTCCTTGTTCGCAGGTTCTCCCAGCTTGATGGAGACTGAAAACAATCGAATTATGATGGTTGGAAAAGGAGTTTCTTTTCTTTCAATGATAATGATCCTGCTCCACGCCAGGTAGGGAGCAGGTCTGAAGCCATGGTCAGCAAAGGACGAAATCGAAGGGCACCCACTCTCCAGAGTACTCTTCTTGGACCATGCTCATGATGATTATGCTTCATTCACAGTGGGAACACAAATCTCCAATGGCGGTCAAGACAACATCAGTTCCACGCATGCTATCTCCCTCCCTCACTCACTCAGCAGCGAAACCCGATCTGCAATCATGGTCAGGACCCGTCGAAATCACTTCCTCTTTCTAGAGCACCCACATGAGACAGTCATAGCTGGTGAATGGGCACCCTCCTTTTCCCCCACCATCAACCCTTTTTTTTGTGTTTTGCTTTCCTTATTCAAGCAAATTTTCTTCTTGTAGGCCCACCACTAGTTCCCTACGAGGGTACCTACCGTCAGCAAACCAACCGCGACCGGTAGGCTTCTATCCCTCCACCACAGTGCCGAAAACAGTTTTTGAAGAAAATCATATTTTAGAAAAATTGAATAAGATAATGGTGTTGTGGTATGTGTGCTTTATAATAGATTGGTCGTATAAAGTGTGCGTCTTAAGAGTTGCAAAGAGAGAAACGATCCGTCGGGGAGGTCGAATCTTTTGATCTCGAGGTTCGACGTTCTACATGTGAAAGGTGCTCTGTCTCTACACACGGCAGATGCAATCCAGCTTCAAGCTCATATTATGCTACAACTACATCTACAACTACACTTGACTTGTCCTATCCTCGACTGATTACATTTCAATGGCCAGCAGTACCTCAGCCACGGAGTCCGTGCAGATTGATATGACCCACATTATCTGTGCCAGTGGAAATTGCATGCGGGGGTTTAGGTTCCTAATCCTAATACTCAGGCACGCAATGCCCCACTTGCCGCAGCCGCAATCCAGGATGAGGACATCCCCATTGTGCATTGAATACTCTGGGACAAGGTCTAAATACAGACACCTAATCATATGCTTGAAATGCATCATTCGAGTACGCTTTGCTTCTCTCGTAGTCAATCCCATGCGTTCTTGGTACAGAACGGCCGTGACCAAGTGTAGCTTAGTGGCCATTGCCTACGCGTAGCTACTAGGTAGTAGTTAGTTAGTTAGTTAGTTGCTAACTGGTAGCTACCTAGGTACTCCCTAGTAGCATATAAAAAGTAGCACTTACCTAGTTAGTAGCTATCGACCAATATTCTGCATGCAAAGGGTAGGACCAGGATTCTGCCCACAGAATAATTTCGCCCCCCCCCCCCCTGGCCGCTAGTTGTCGGCTGCCATACAAATAAATACTTCAGAACTTCGCAACGAACCTCTTCCACTGATTTCTATTTTCAAAACTAAGTTTTTTTTATAAAAAGCTGTTTGAACGGCGTTTTTTTTCGGTCAGGTTCTACATCTTTTTGAAGGAAATATAGCATTTATGCTCCTGGTCAAAGTTAGCGAAGTGACTATAGCCCTACAGAAACCCTTGAACATACTGCAACCTTACTATACTTCGCGTCAGAAAGTACCTCAAATCGACTAGTCGCACCCGGGGATATGCCATTGAAATTTGGTTTCAAGGATGTCGAGTATTTCCTATATAAAGCCGTTGCCAGGGTCGTCATCTCCGCCATCGCAAGACTATCCGCAAACCGAACATTAGATTCCGCGACTAAGGCCCCCCTGATTCAAAGACTACTTACTGCATTCCAATACACATTCTTGCTCCGCTTGAAAAGGCCCAGAACCATCTGTTCATCTCGGCAAGATCTTCTTCCTTGCCCAACCATCGATCAGGGTTAAACATTGTTGGTTCGTCAAATACTTGCTCATTACGATGAATGCAATAAGGCGACATGCTAACGGTGGTACGAGCCGGTACGGTATACCCATCAATTGTGGATTCGGCAGGGAAGCTCCGAGGTTCAGATGCTGGCAAAGGCGCATAAAGTCGCAATGTCTCTTTAATGACGGCGTCGAGATACAGCAACTTGTCGCATGTTTCGGCGGAAGCAATTCCATCAGCGTTGAACAAATCTGCGGGCAGAGATCGGATTTCTTCCTGAAGTTTACGCTGGAACTTCAGATTCTCGGGTCGTGAAAGGGCCCAGATCATAAACATCAAAGTATCCGATGTCGTATCAATACCAGCAAGCAAATGGTCCGCACATTCCGAAGCAATCTCCATATCGTCGAGACCATTATCCTTCTGACTCTGATGGGTTTTCCATAAATTGCCAAGGATTGTATTTTGCTGCGCTTCTTTGATATCGTTTGAGCAGTCTTTGAAACGATACCAGGCATCCAAGGCGTAAGCACGAATCCCTGTGTATGTTGTCGGTTTATTCATCGGATAGAGCTTCCGTAAAAGCGGTTCCATCACACCAGTCGAGGAATAGAGCCATTTCGTAAAAGATGGCAAGTGCACAATGAACCATGACAGTTTTTGGCGGTCGGTATCCATTATGTCATCTAGCAAGTCACGATTGATGCCTTTCAAACACTGTGTCCTGCCCAAGTTTCCATAAAGAAAATCCGTGATGGAATCCAATGAAAAATAATGCAAACTCGAAAAAAGTTCCTCTGCACTGTCGGGGTCCTGCTCAATCAGATTTAGATAGCCGAGAACTTTCTCTTCAATCATATTCGAGGATCGCTTAGTGATTGCTGACTTGGAATAGGCATGAGCAATGAGTCTTTTCCGTTGTGAGTGCTCCCGAACGGACGCAAAAGTGAAGAGATTTTTCTTGGTGTATACGTCGAACATGCTATAGAACGATGTTCTTTCAAATCCACTGCCAGCGCCATATATAGTTCGCAATGCCGAAAGGCTGTTGAAAGCGACCTCGTTTGGGCCTATCCGCACAACAGGACCGTATTTCTTGTGAAGCTCATAGATCCGGCGGGTGCGTGTCCCTTTCCAATCTTCTAGCGCGAGTCTCCACTTGGTAAGGGCATATAGTTTCGGTCCTGGAATTCTCGCAAGCGAATCATTCAGAAGAGGAGATATGATCGAATGAAGGAAAAAGATAATCGCGAGTCCGATTACTCCCGTCGCTAACGGTGTTGATATCATGGCGAAGCAGGGCAGTCTAAAGAATATCAGACTGCCGTCGATTACAAATTTTAAGTCAATTCTCAAACAACACCTTGTGTGAGGATTGCATTTCTTGCCTTATAGCTTTTGTTATCGGTGTTTTTGTCCCTCGCAAATTGTGTCCGTAGTAATAGTCGGATAGCCCGAAAGTACAAAACTGGCTGCGAAAAAGGGGCGTGCGTAGTTCGCACTTCACAAATATATGCTATTTGGCTTATCGATGATCTCAACAAGCCACACCTCAAAGGTGGGGTGGTTTCAACCTGTTGGGTGTATATGAGTGCGGGGTACGGAGTATATGGGGACATTGCCTTTCGTATTCAATCGGACCAGCCGATGTTCACAATTCCCGTGTTCGGCTGGCTTCAATTTGGCCGATTCCAAGACAATTTGTGTGGGCATTCCAGCTCATAACCACGTTATCCTTTGATCAGAGCTACATTTCGACCCTACTCTTTTAATCAAATCTATTTGAAATTATTTCAAATCATAAAGTGAGTAGTGTAATATGCACTGCGCTATTTCCGATACATGCCCTGATGACTACTAGTAGCGGGCATAATTTTAAGATATCACTCCTTTTCGAGATAAGCAGACCCCATGGCGATCACGTATAGTACTAGTATTTTAGCACTGATCAATTCACCTCCTATGTACATATCCCGTCTCCACTCCTTCATATATTAATGTACAGTAATCATTTCTGCCAGCCCCAGCCATCCGGATAAAGGAGCGGTGAACCCCACTAGCGCAAGAATTCTCTGAGCAATAAATTCGGCCCGGCGACTTTCCCCTTTCTCTTTTCCTTTTTCTTCTCCATCTACAGTTTACATTACGATGTAAATCAAATTGGGGCTCCACATTGTGGCTTGCTGAAAGATTTCCGAAATGCTTCGGCCTTCGTGGTTATCTTTCCGTTCCCGGCCCTGGAGAGTGAAGACGCTTCTCTTTCCAAAACACTCTCTACGCTTTGGTGTTTCCCCCTCCGGGAAGCCATAGGGTGTTGTCGGGGAGAGGGCGTCACATAATGTTTAAATGAATCAATCAATTTAATTTTTAATGAAATCTTTCTATGAAATTCTTTTGCCCTAGTCCAAAAAAAAAGACCAATCCTGTTGCCATTGTGTGGTTTGAAACAAACAAATTTCCGTAGGTCGTCTACTCGGCATGCCATAAGAGACCTTGGAATTCGAATCACTCGCCGAGTTGAACGTGTCATTGTCGACATGAGAAACTCCGATTGTTATGAGTTACCAATCTTGTTATCTAGGGTGATGATTGTTGTCCCAGGTTGACAAGTTAACCCTTTTCTACAACTCCGTATAACTGCTTACATTCATTCTCTCAGCTCCCATCAAAGCAAGTCATCAACTTGAACATTCATTTTGAATCTTCATATATCACTAAATCTATTCACTGAAATTTACACACCATCTAGCTAATCGGTATTGCTATCATAAAAGCTATTGGCCGTCCACCCATTAACAGCACTATAATCCGCTAGCGGCGAAGTACCATGAAGCACCTCATAATGGCGACGCTGACCACACTCCTTCAACTTCTTCGACTCAGGATGAACACACCGACCCTTCATAATAGCCGCAATATTCGTCCCCGCATCCCGGCCCTCGAACCAAGCACCGTGCAAGAAACCAAAGTAGGTGGGACTAGTCGCCTCACCCGCAAACCAGAGACGATCCGCATTGGCGCGTAGATTTTGGTGCATCTCCAGCGTTGTAGATGGGGGCCAGTTGGAGTAGCTACCGCGGGACCAGGGCTCTTGGCTCCAGCGTGGGTAGAGGAAGGAGGTTGGTTCGGGGATATTCTTATCAGGCCACATTTTACGGAGAACGGCCATAATTTCGCTCTTGGTTTGCTCGTCGGATTGTCTCTCTGCGCGCCACGCTAGTTCGTTGGTGATGGTTACGAAGAGGATGTTCGATCCTGGTAGGAACTCGGGCATTGAGAGCGATTGGAAGACTGGGTACCAGCCGCGCATGACGGGGTCCGCGTACAGGAAGTATTGGGTGTCGGTTGGCCAGAAGGTCTCGTTGAACTGCATGAAGATCTTGGTGTAGGTTCCCATGGTGAATTTCTGGATCGCGGTTTGCTTCCACTCTGGCAGGGCCGGGGTGAACTTCACGGCGTCGCTTTGCAAGACGCCGAGGGAGAATGTGCAAATTGCGTATGCGGCTGTGATGCAGCTACCATCCTTGTTGCGGATGGTCACGCCGTCCTTGTGATATTCGATCTCGGTGATTTCGGTGTTAAGGTGAAGGCGGGGGTCATTGTCCCCTTTCAGGAAATCGGAGGCCATCCCCTTGATGATCGTGTTGAAACCACGCTGATCAGTGACAAAGTTGTCATGATCGCTGAAGACATTGGAAGTGAGATTGTCTCCCGCGCAGCCATAGACCAGGGAGCTTTCCAATGGGGTGAAATTGTCCTCGAAATCTGGGAGGGATTGGTTAGTATTGAAGCTGGCGATAACTCTATGTCAAAGTAGAAGCTGAACATACCCCATTTCCACCAGTCGACAGCCTGGGCCTCCATATCATGTTTCTTGGGGTTCCAACCAGCCAGAGCCATACCAGACTGGGCAGTTTGATCTTGCAGATTTTGAGTCAGTATTTCTCCTGCCTTTTGATTGGCGATCTCATAGGCATTATCATAATCCTCGAGGAGCCTGCTATAGTCGGAGTAACCATGCTCGTTATAGGTTGAGATATTATCATAGTTGGAGTAATGGGTCTTCAAGTTATACTTCTGGGCCTTTAGAAATACTAATCTTAGTCCCGGACGATACTGTGGGTGATATTCCAAGGCTTTGAAGAAGGAAGACATACCAGAGTCCAGATAGGATTTTGTGGGCCGCCAGGGTTTCCGAGACCTTGAACCTGTTCCCAATTTGTTAGTTTAAAATCATCTCCATTACTTCACTTAAGGTACATACCCAGTTTGCACCCATCTCAATAGTATATGGCTTTCCATCGGGACCTTTGCCAAAGGGCTTGTGCCATGCACGACCACCAATGGTGTCACGGTACTCGATAATCGCAAAGTCATGAACCGACGCATTGGTCAAAGCTTGCTATAACTCGTGAGTAAAACTATCCGCAATGCACACAAGCATCAGTAGGCCAAGCTTACAGCAGCCGAAATGCCAGCAATTCCACCGCCCCTAGGAATTGATGTCAGTATAAGTCCAGGGACAGCTTTATCCCAGCGAACGTCAATTCGTGCATGTCTTACAGAATCGCGACAGTAGTTTGCTTGCACTGTGCCTGGTCTTGGTCCCTAGGAGAATGCGGCACGGCCAAAGCTGACTGGATCGACCAGCCAGCCAAGACCGCCAAGAAAGGAAGATGGTGAAGCTGCATTGCGCTTGGAGGAGTCAAGCGGGGAGTAATTGGCAATTTCGACTGCGAAAGACGCGGGGAAAAGATCAATAAGTAGTCTTCTGAGACCTTACATCCTTGATCTGCTTAACAGCACTCATGTTGCAGGAAGTTATGACGAAAACAGTAAAGCGTGATGCCTGGTGATCGACAGGGTCATGTAACACTGCACGATCCGAGGTCATCGCAGGATCGGGTAGGTCCACGCGGTCGATACTGTCGCTAATCGTGTGGCTGAAATTAATAGAATGCGACTACTATTACCTTTGGGTGTCATTCTTGGCATTTCGAGTGAGTTTCGGTGTGGACTGAAGAAGCCCTGGAGAACAACGCCCCGCATCCCCGGATTGAATGGACTGGGGAAACGGGGTATGGGTTGAGTGTGGTTCTCATTACGTGAAGGTTCGGAATTAGGCTGGTCAGCATAAGTAACTACAAGCGAGGGTAAACAAATGGCGCAGCGCAATGTGAAGATAATGGGGCTACTCTGGGGAAGTGGATATTGCTGTGGACACGGAAATAACGAAGTGAAATCAGGCTTTCTCATAGATAAGACAGTTGAAGTGGCTTGACGTAAACAAATGTGCCAGAAAGGAAGCAGAATCCCCACTCAAAAATGTACAATAGATGACCCGCCTGACGAGGACAAATAAGATATCAAAGAAAAAATCATATGCAACGCCACCCAGCTATGCAGATAACCAATTGTCATGTGAAATGCCATAGTGCAAATATGTTCACCATCGAATTGAGGCCCGGTTGAAAACCCCGCCGCCGATGGATCGGCTTTTCTCGCCGCTAGAATTGGAAGGCAGAAACGAGCAGACCCGAAGTCCGGAGCAAGCTCATCTAGCGGAAGGTATAAGATGGACGGACCATTTTTGGAGTCTCTGGTTTCAGAGAGAGTTGTTGATAAGGGGAACTGCCAGGGTCGTAATACAGCCCTTCAATTTGTCCATCCTCACGACGAAGAGAAATGTAGTAGAAACCAGAAATGGTGAGGCCTTGACGCGAGTCGGTGGGGGTAATAAAACACCGCTCTGGTCGGAATATTAGTATACTTCGTCACGTAGTGTTTGGTGGGGGAAAGGAGGTAGAGGGCTTCGGCTCACCTTTCCATCGCATCAGGATCCACCCCTTGGCCAATTGCTCGGTGATCCACTTCCTGCTAACCAAGTTCTTAGCAATTTCGGAATCCGTGAGGTCCTTGAACGGCTGCAGTTCTCGCCAATATGTGCTGTCGATATCGGCATCCGCCTTGAAGTTCTTCGTTTCTAGTGTATGTTGGTTGAAATCTATGATTTCACCTTCCAGGAAGGTGACAATGTGTGCATCATGAGTAGGTGAAGTTTTGTCGGGGATGTTGTATGCTTCCATGGTGCCAGACAGAGTCATCTCCGCATAGTTGATGTTGTGGATTGTGACCTTGACAGGCCAGTTTTCTTCCCGATTATTTGCAAGATATCGTCGTCCATTGGTGGTGTGAACGTTGATGCGAGGCTCCTCGCCACCGTTGACAATGACCGGTTCGCCAGGGCCCCGAGAATTTGACACGCGCTGCGAAAGGATGGAGCCTGTGTTCGCGGCACGCTGGCAGCCCGAGAAAACAACGCCAGGCCGGAGCCAAGAGCATGTGGCCGGTGGAGCAATTGTGTTTGTGTCCAGGATGAAGTCACTGTCTTTCCAATGAAAGTTCTCGAAGAGAAACCCCGTGGCAGCAGCGGAGCTAATGCTCTCCTCGAAAGAGCTTGAATATCGCAGACGGTCCAAGTAGGTTATTGTATTCTTCAATAGTGTGTCACCGGAGCCAACCGAGTGTAGCTGCCGATGCGCAGATGCGCGAGCGCGCAGATCGGTATGTGAAAGTGGCCTGGTATTATCGCCACGGTTGGAAGGTCGGTATCGGTAGGCTCGCGATGAGGAGGTTGAGGACGACGCGGCTGCGCGATCGGTCTCATCGGAGTCTTCGTGTGACCGGCTTGCATATCGATCCAACAGGTAGTTCTCCAGTGTCCGAGTTCGCGACAGCCTCGGTTGTCGTCTAGCCGACTGGAGCAAGGCCTCCATCGTCGCAAGTGGCGGGGTTCTTAGTCGACTGCTTCCTTCGCCATACTCGTCTCCGGGTCTGATAGGTGGGGTGCGACCGGTCGCTTCGCGCCTTCGGGGACGGCTAGATAATGCGACGCGGTCAGAGATGGCGTGGAGAAATGGTTGGATTTGGTCATCATCGGACTCCTCGCCATGTTGTCGATCTTCTTCATCGTCGGAGCCCGGTGCCCAACCATAGAGCGAGCGAGGATCTGGTCTGTGTGTTTCATAGTTCGGCATGTTGTTATTGGTATGATCTTCCCGTTGACGGCGGATGATGGGGATGCGACGGTTGATTTCGACTGAAAGGCGCAAGTTGCCGTTGTGATCGGGGTTGTCGACGTCCATGCGATCTGTTTCGTCGGCTGGCCGAGGGTGGGATGTTGGGTCTCGACGGCGACGAGGTTGACTGAGGGAGGCTTCGGGTGGGTGGTATGTACTGTAGAGGAGGAAACGCGAGCGGAGGAAGTTCACATTCTCGTCGTGAATGTTGTCGTCGTCGGTAGGGACCGGGGAATCCGTGTGGGACGATCGCGATGACGATCCTCTTTGGGGAGAGGACTCAGACTCGGCGTGGGACGTTGGGGCAGTTCGCGGCAGATGGTGCTAATGAAGAGTTTGGTTTAGATGAGCTCATCAGGGGGAATCTTTTGAAAATCAAATCAGGAGTCATACCAATGCCGAGTTGGGAGGCGGCATCCTCAGAATTCGCGCAGGAAGGGGAATGGCCAGACACAGGGGGTAGTGGTAGCGCAGGTGGTAACTAGTGGGAGTAGTAATGGTAATAGCAGTCCCAGTCAGTGTATATGGCTTCCCCAAGGCCCTTGAATGATGCGTAGAAAGTGGAGTGGAGATGGAGATGATGGATTTTCCCCGGAGAAGAGTAAAGGTTGACTTGCGCGATGAGGTGGGCCCAATGACGTCCAACGGCTTCCCTTCCGCCGGGGAAGTATAGCCACTACACAGCAGAAGAGGTCAACTGAGGCTAGTATGAGTTTATTTTCTGTTGAATTGAATATACTTCCCATATAGCATGCATTTCTGATTCCAGCAGCCTTGAATGCATACTAGTACACCATTCACCCATGGAATGTCGACATTTCAAGGCTGTTTGCTGTATACTTTGGAGCATGTTTTAGTACTAGTAGTAATAAAACCTCGCACATAGCAGAGCTGTATTATAGGTAGCGAGTTAACTATCCATATACGAAAGCTTAGCATAAACGAGGACAAATCTTCGGGTTCCAGGAGGAATCGTGTAGAAGCATGTGTTATCAAATTAATATCGCTTCGCAACTAATGCTGAGGTTTTCGGGTAAACGGAATGTAGCGAAGAAGCCTGATTCTAGTAGCAAAGTGTTTGCCCTCTGTTCCAAGGTTTGTAATTTATCCATGGATCATGGTTGGAAAAATCGCCCTTTCTCATAGAGCTGATTGTGTATATCTTCCAATTCAAGATTGAGAAGGGTTATTGATTGGTGCTGTTACGTGGCTCACAGCAATATGAAATATAGTAGCAATTGATGAAATGATGAAATTGAAAGAGCACGAAGAAGAACTCGAGCAAAGAATAGGACGACTAGTAATATACACGTAAGCTTATGACTTGGTTCGTCACGGGCAGTCGGGTTGTTCCAAGGTTGGCGCGACTGCAAGCTGTACTACTAGTACTAGTAGGACTGGAGTAATCTGTTACTAGTATCATCAACAGCCTTGGAAATTAATATATTAGACGTTATTAACACCCATGATTCGGATAATCCACAGTTTTTCCTGGTCGGGTCAACACTTCAAGTTGGCTCCCTCGGATATAGTTGGAGTATAGCCGGAAAGACCATACTACTAGGCTACTAGCAGTATACTACATATCCTGGAGGATATCCCTACTACACTTCTCTCTGGACCCTAGCTTGGTACTAGTATACTAGTACTAGTAGGCACTGAGTATCAATTTCGTGACTATGCTTGATCATAGAATTAATCCAAACCTTGGAATGCTACCCCCTTGAACGAATTGAGGTAACTAGACTCCGGGGTCGGGGCCCACTCCGAGACCCTGAATTTTGCGGGGGCCGTGACATTCGAAGCCGACCTGAGGGAGCCACTTGCTTCGGCAGGGCATCGACATTTCCGGAGCAACTCCGACTAAAATTCCAGCTTTTATGCCCCTCTTCAAGCTGCTGTGTTTTTCTTTTCTTACTTCACACCCCATTTACCTACTGCAAATCTACATCGGCCACCCAACTCTCTACAATCCTTCCAACACAATGGTCAAGATCAAGTCTATTGAATACTTCCGAGTCTTACCTCGATGGCTATTTGTCAAGGTCACCGATGAGGAGGGTCAATATGGTTGGGGTGAAAGCACCCTTGAAGGCCACACCGAGGCTGTGGAGGGCACTCTTAATGCCTTGTGCAAACGCTTCGTGGGTTACGAGGCGGAGTAAGTCTCACTTCCATACATCCTTCCGCAAAAGAAAACAAACCTAATCGATGTCTATTCTTTCAGCGATATTGAACATATCTGGCAGATGGCGTGGCGTCTAGGATTCTACCGCGGTGGTCCCGTTTTCATGTCCGCGATCTCTGGAATCGACATTGCTCTCTGGGACCTGAAGGGCCGCCGACTTGGCGTTCCCGTCTATCAGCTACTCGGAGGGAAGGTTCGCAACAAGCTGTCTGTATATGCCTGGATTGGCGGTGATCGTCCTTCGGATGTGACAGCTGCCGGAAAAGCTCGCCTTGCGCAGGGCTTCAAAGCAATCAAGATGAATGCCACTGAGGATGTCAATTGGCTTGATTCTCCAAGCGTTCTTGACTCCAGTGTCGAGCGTCTGAAAGCAATCAAGGCTATTGGCTTAGACGCGGCACTAGATTTCCATGGCCGTCTTCACAAGCCCATGGCTAAGCAGCTAGCCAAGGCACTGGAGCCACATCGTCCTCTTTTCTTGGAAGAGCCTCTTCTCTCAGAACACCCAGAGGCAATTAAGCAGTTGTCTGATCAGGTGTCCTGTCCGATTGCGCTCGGGGAGCGACTCTTCAGTCGGTGGGACGTAAAACGGTTCTTGGAGGATGGCAGTGTCGATATTCTGCAGCCCGATATTAGCCATTGTGGTGGTATTTCGGAGCTTCGACGCATCGCTTCTATGGCAGAGACCTATGATGTTGCGATTGCGCCTCATTGTCCTCTGGGACCCATTGCTCTGGCTGCTTGTATGCAGGTCGACCTTTCGATTCCCAATTTCGTTATTCAGGAGATGAGCGTCGGTATTCACTACAACACAGAGGCTGGTGAGTATGACATCTCGAGCTATGTGAAGGATCCCAAGGTCTTTGATGTGAAGGATGGCTATGTCGATGCGTTGACCGCTCCCGGCATTGGTATTGAGATTGATGAGGAGGTTGTGCGAAAGGTGGCCCAGAATACAGAGCCCTGGCAGCCTAAAGAGTTCTTTGGGCCTGATGGGTCTATTCGGGAGTGGTAGACATTGAGACTGTCAATGGTTCATGAAACGCAAATTGCATACTAGCGAGATAGAAAGGATACAGCCCGAATCCAATTACTTCATTGTATACAATTCCTGAAAGCGACAAACATTTAAGTTTTTATCAAATTTGGACTGTATCAAGTTCTTGGATTGGAAAATAGTCTAAATACTATCTAGTTCTAGATGAGATGGCTTCTAAATATCAAGACAAACCAACTACAACCTGGAAAAAGCACTTCATGACTGCCGTGCGGTATTGCAGTCATCTGCCAGCTGTACACATTGGAGGATCATTTGCCAAAACGCATCAAGATCAACACCTCTTGGAATGGCAACTCCGGATCCAGTCAAGGCAGGCGTGGCAATAGATCGCCCCAATTGTCCAGTCACAGACACATCCTTGCCATGCTCACCATCTGTGACGATCTTAATGTCGAATCGCTCACCCCTCCTGTCATCAAACCTGAGTACCTGATCGGGGTGGCTCGTGGCAAAGGCAGGGTTCAAGTTCGACAGAATAAAAGCGACTGCGAGGGGGGTCATGAAGCGGAGGTCCCGTGGCCAGACCGAAGACCTTTTCGTACGTCGAAGCAAAGAAGAGAAGTAGATCATGAAATATCTGTCTAATGACGGTCGGGGGCTTCGAGTCACTGGACCCATGCAAAATGCGCATTTGTACTTCATGCGAAGCCAAGACCTGGTGTGTCAAGTCCAGGCTGGCAATTGATGTCTTTGAGGCAACGATGGGGTTGCTGAAAATTGATTCGGCAGACTCAGGGTCGCACTAGATAGCGCAGGTGTGTTAGGTAGAAATGCTTCATTTTTGCTAAAGACTGTACTCACGTATATATTGAACTCGGCCCACGGGGTCACATTCCCGATGCGAGACTTTTCCCCTGGCAATTTACTCATGGGGGCTTCTGTGAATCCTTCGCCAATAGCACCACCCATGATGCTAAGACCTTGTATATGTTCTGCCACTTCGGGGAATGTTGCTAACAATAAAGCCACGTTGGTCAGAGTTCCCGTTGCAACAACCCACGGAGTACCTTTGGGTTGGGCAAGAAGCGCATTTCGCATTGCCAGAATTGGATTCTGATCGATGATTGGTGGTTGTGATGGCTTTGGCAAAAGATCCGTCCCATCGAGACCGGACTCTCCTGTTGACGAGGCTTGATCAGCATCATAATAAGTACCATCTGCCTCCAAGGCTTGTGCTGGCAGAACTTCTTAAAAAGAAATCCGTCTTACCGTGAATATCAGGAGCATGTAGGGCAGGTCGAGAAAATGGCTTGCGGCATCCAGGATAGACCGGGATCTCCGGCCGTCCAATTGCTTCCAATATACTTCCTGCATTGTAGGTGGTGTTTTCTAGTGACGCATTTCCATGGATGGTAGTAATGCCTAGAAGATTCAATGAAGGATGGTGCGCAGCAAGTAATATCGCAAAGGCATCCTATTCCAGTCAGTCAAGGCGCAGGGATCAAGGGGATTAAAATGTTTACATCGTGTCCTTCCATGAGTCAGTCTCCGTTCCTGGTCTAGTCATCCCATCTGGAATACAGCGAATATAGAATATAGCCTACCGGGATCGCAGTCCAGCCACACTGGAGTTCGCATATCTGCGCCAGAATCGATTGTCATATTGAATCTCCAAATGACTTGAAAGAGTAGAGGGAGTATCTTCGGTGTTTCATTGTCCAAGCGGCGCATCCGTCAGCGGCGGAGCAATCCCCGCACTGCGATAAGGACCTTATCTTTTGGACCCTAAGCCCTAACTCCCCGATCGGGCAGCCAGCTCATCCTCTCCAACTTCGCGGTGACAACAACGCCGACACATCGGTGCTTTCCAAAAGGGTTGACGCCCTTGCACGTTGTCTTCTCATCTGAAAGGAACTGGTTCCAAGAGAGACACGGTGCCCTGAAATGATATGGCAGACTATCCGCGCCTTGGTCTGCAGCCAGTTTCCCATCTTAAGGCTGGTCCGACCACTTCCAGCTCCAGATCGACTGCGTTGCCCTTGACAAGCCAGCCCCCCCTCGCAAGACCCTCATCTCGACTGCGAACACAAAAGTCTTCTGCTAGAGATGATCCGGTTGATGCGACCAGCGAAAAAGCTACTCTTGCCTTGATTCGACGCGTGCTATGCCCGCAGACGAGCAACCACGGCGCATCCTCTCCACCGCCTCCAGAAGACCTACTACCTCCCCTCACGAGCTCCAATGACGTTGACCGTCAGCTATACGCCATAATCGCTATTATAATAAGAGAGTTTCTGTACTCATGGTACTCAAAGATCACCCCTGACCAGGCACTTGTCAATGAGGTCTTACAGGTTGTGGCACACTGTACCCGCGCCCTGGAACAGAGAATACGCCAGATCGATGTTGCACAGCTAGTTTTGGATGACATCCCGGTGCTAGTGGAAGCACATATACGTTGTGAGACACCCGTGTTTTGAATATCTTGAAATGTTTCTATTCTGGAAGTTTCTACTACTAGCTGGGATGAACACAAATGCTAACCTGTGGGATGATATCTAGCTTACAGACAGGCAAGGCAACAGTCGCATCTTTCGGGGCTTTCAACGTCACATCGTCTCCTCTACCATCAATTGAATCCTCATCCTGGTCTGTCTCCAGTCCCGGACCCGACAGACCCAGATACCCTAGGCGAGCAAAACGAGAATGAATGTATCTACCGGCGGCTCTTAGCCAACGGCATACTGGCAGTACTATTGCCTACAGAGGACCTCGAGAATAGCAGCCTCCGCACCCTAGTGGGCGATGTGCTGGCCGATCTTATATTGGGAAAGGAAGTCGCTGGTCGTATCTGCGAAGGAATATTTATCTGGGAAACGACCACCAAATTGCTCACTATAGCTCAGCACCGCGGGAACGGACAGGATTCCAGTTCATCGGGAAAAACTACGAGTAGTCGACTGGAGCAGTTTGGCCTACTCCATGAAGATTCAGGGGCGTCCCAACCTCCCACCCAGTCGCCAATTACATCCTGGATATGGAACATCCTTCAGGGCATATACCTTGGTTACGTTGCCTTGCGTTTCATTGCGACGGGTCTCTTCCGCGTCGCATCCTCTCCCGGACCGGGGGCCTCGCACGGAGCCAGTGTTTCAGTTCCCGCTGCAACGCCAGAGGCCCAGAAGGAGGGGATCGAGTCGTCGTCAGACGGCGTGGCGGATAAGCGCCCAGTTCTCGACTACCGAATGTCTTCCATGGCATCACAGCTACTTGGCATTTCCGAAAGGATGCCATGGCTGACCGGATTATTCGCACTCGCTCAAAATATCATTCTCGCGGGGCCAGGTAGGCTCGGTGACACAGACAGTGTCCTTGATAGGTAAGTCTATATCTCATTTCTATTATGTTTGTATAAGCCCAGATATTTGTCTTGCCCTTGTGTACGCCCCTTATGGCTCGGGCCTCCCAACACCGCATGAACCCAGGAGGAGCAACGGTGCGATCTCCGAACTGCGATCTACGAGAGTGAAGTGTCACCCTGTGCGAGTCATGGTGGGATGGCGAAGCGTCTTGCTCGCATACTGCATCGATCACTTGATCTGATTACCATTATTACAACTGGTACGGTCACCTTACGGTGTGTCTGACTGGCGGTACCGTCGTTACGGTCATACAAAACCGGCGAATCCGAGATCAGATTGGCTGCCTCAACCTGGTCCGAGCGAGGGTGATTTGCGAACAGGGATCCTCTTCCCTCCTGCGTCTCATTTTTTTGCTCTCGGTGTGATAACGCCGGGGCCCGGCCCTTTCCGTGCCGCGTTCCCTTTCTTCCCTATTCTTCGTCATGTCGCGAAGACTGGGGGTGTGAAGGGTGGAAAGTGGATTGTTATGGGAGTCACTCTCTGGCACGGCCAAGCCAGGATTTCTTTTTCTCGGGATCCGATTCGATCTCGACTCAGCCATGCTGCTAGGAGGGAAATGAAATGCAGCCCACTGGAAAAAGCAAAGCATGGGAAAACAGAGTTTTTTGCCTGCCGAACCACGTTCAACTTCTGAGCATAGCAGAAGAGGAGGGGAATCGAAATCGCCTGATGCCGATCCCCTGCGGCGATGGATGACCCATCCCTCTTTGGGCACCTGCATGAAGAAAGACTTCTTGGCCGAGGCTAGTGATTTTCCCGTCAGGCATCCAATCAGCGAAATTCGTCGCGGACGGGATTTCGAATCTGCATTGCGACCGAGGTTGGCGCATATGCCCGCCTTGTGCGCCAGGTACGGCTTGCTGGGATGACCATCCGCTTTCGGAGAGCTTCTGCATCTGCGTCTGCGTCTGCATCGGAGATAGGAACTGCGAAAGAAACAGGGGAAAGAGGAAACGACCAGCAAAGCCCGCCTCACTTTTTTACCACTTCTTGAGGGCCCTGGTTCGTGGAGCATTGACACCCCTGTTGCAGCAAGATTGGCCCAAGCTCCTCGTCTTCCACACCGGGGCCGATCGGGCTCCGCCTCCCCCACTTCTCAATCGCCCTAAAATGGCGGGAGGGATGAAGCTCTTCTTCGCAGTTGGCAAACAAAACGGGAAGAAACACACCCCGACCGCATGACGCTACTTCAACGTTGCCGGCACTCCACCGTCGCCGCGAGGGGTTTTCATCTCCATTTGAATTTTGTTTCTGGTTTTGCTCGCACTCGCTACTCGGCTCTTCCGATGTCATATGTGATATTTGTGTTTTTTTTTCTTTTTGGAGAGATCGTTTACTGACTCCACAGATTTCTCCGAGAAACCATTGAGGAGCACGTCCTGACCCCCACTTTGTTGCCCAACCTTCTCCTCGCAACAAGGACGGCTCTCTTCCCAGCCAATGCCCGGCCGCAATCACTGGGTGTGCCCTCTGTGAATATTGAAGCGCCCGCTCCGACTCCGCAGGTGTCCGTGCAATCGTCGGTTGGAGGCAAAGCCCTCGCGACCCCAAAATCCTCCTCGGCGCCCATCCTAGAAGTAGGAAAAGGCACGGCGACTACCCAAGTTGATCACGAAAGTAGCAGCAATAATGAAAGCAACAGCAACGGTGTTGGCGGCAGTACTCACGCGCCGCGAACATCATCCCCAGGGCCGGGAATAGCAATTACCCCGACAGTATCTCTCTCGGCAGTCAATACGATCAAAGTTCCTGCCAGCGGGACGCCAATGACGGGATCGGAGAAAAAGCAAGACCTAGCACGCCCTAATCCGGAGATCGCCGCTATCAAGCGGCGATGTGCAGCTAGTCTCCTCGCCGTGATCCCGCGCAATGTCGCACGAACCTTTTTCGCCGCTCCGACTCCCTCTAGCAGTGATCGTTCCTGCAGCACCGCCAGTGGTAGCTTGTCCTCCCTCACCAGCATTAGACCGTCTCCACCCACATCACGAGATGAGGAGAAATGTGGGGTCCAGCCCCGATCGTTTCAGGGAGCCAGCTCGACGTCACAGTTGCCCCAGTCAAACTCCACGCCTTCAGGCTCGAGTATGAGTGGTGGCAAGACTGGGACCGAGCGGTTGTATGTTGACGAACGAGATGGCGAACAAGATAGTGTTGATTTGGAAGAGTTGTATCTTCTGGAGACTATCGAGGATGATCTGCTGGATCTTTTCGCCGACGAGTACTGTAACAAGCACTTGATCTATTCGATTATCGAGACAGTCTTGTCTAAGGTTCTCCCGGAGCTGACGGAACGCAGTATTCTAGACCTCATGGAGGATCGGGGGGTGACACCCATTTCTGGCGGGTTCTAAGTTCGACTCCATATCTAGAATTTGAGTGTTCCTGCATTACGCGGAACCTTGTGAATACACTTTAATGAAGGGCGAACTAATCTAATATCTACCCAAACCCTTTTTGGAACACTGCCTACATAGTTCGCTGCTACTCCTGGTTGACCTTCTAGGTACTAGTACCTAGTACGAGATGGATACGCGTTTAGCTGTAGAGAAACAAGTAGCACTGCATTCAGGGGCTGGGGGTATCGTGTAGTAATACTAGGACTAAATAGTATATCAAATCATGAACAAAATGCCAGTGAACACTCAACGTTCTGCCGGCAAATGCCCGGAAATTCGAAAAGAGATAGGATGATAGTAGAAGGAATCAAAGAGTAGAGAAGGTGAAAAAAAAAAGACGGGATTAATCTGACAGTGGATGACCGGCTGGATTCGTACAGGATCCCAGCATATTATGTTCTTTCCGCGCGAGCGGCCCAGTTTAAAGAGAATTATAACAAAGACTCATAGTCCGAGGAAAAAGACAAGTAATAAAAGAGTGTAAGAAAAGTGGTATGTCAAAGATAAAGTGGGAGGGATATAATAAAAACAGCGGCAATCGGGGTGAGTGGGTATGGGTATGAGTGAGCGAGAGTGTTAGAAACGGGGCAAAAAAAGGCGTCAAACATGAGAGGAATATAAACCAAAACGAGATAGAAAACCGAACAAGTTAAGGTCAAGCTCGATAGCGATCCGATGAACAGGAACCCGATCTCCTCCGCTTCCAAATCCAAGAATAATCATAAACAATCTCGGTCGCCATGAGGTTGCTAGCCCGGGGAGCGTAAGATGTCAGGGGTAAAAAGAAAGAGAGAACAATTGCAGCGCCGAATCAAATAAAAACCCCATTTCAAAGCATGCGAGGTTGCCCTCTGGTATGTGTATATCTGTTGGTTGACAAGTTTTGTTCCTTTCGCCAACGCGAGTCGGCATATAAAAAAAAAAGGGCGTGTTTGGTTCGTACAGTTGAGAATGCAAAATGAAATGTGACAGAGAAACAGTAAATAGAAAGCGTGGTAGAATCGTCGAGCCGGAGTAAATGAAGAATAACAAGCCGCCCAAAATAAACCAAATAACAAGATGGGTGGGGGAATCACTGAAGCCAAATATGCAGGTGGTAAAGAGAATAGAAATGCGATACCTAGGTAGGTTGAAAGGAAGAGTGAAGGGTTTGAATAGGATTGGCGGGAACAGCCTGAGGCATATGAGTTGAAAAGCGACACTCATGCGAGATTGTGGATACTCCGCTTCTTGGTGATGCGAGGCGAATCCTCATGTTCATCGATCCTTGCCAGCCCACCAATGAGAGGGTTGTATTGAGCCTTAGCAAGCTCAAGGCGCTCCATGAGCTTTCCGATAGTGACATATTCCTGTGCCTGAAGACCGGCAGGTTGATGTTGGAAATAGTTCATGACGAGTTCCAAGGCCTGCCGTGCTTCATCTTGAGTCGGAGAACCAGGGGCACTGATCGGTGATACGCCAGTAGACTTGGGGGTTGGGAGCGAAGATGGGGGTTGCATCGACTTGGTCTTGATCTCCGGGTTGCTGCGGTTGCGCTTGACAATCTTACTAGGATTGGCGCCTTTGACAGTGGCTTGGCCTTCCTCATCACCCAATTCCAAAGGTGACTCGAGAATAGCCACCGATAGCTGTTGCCGGGAGTCGGATTTGCTGCATTGTTGATCCATAGACTCGTCTGCTGTCAACAAAGTTGGATCGATGGGGGCGAGCGGGAATGTCTGACTGCGTGGTCGGGATTGGATCCCAGCTGATGATGGAAGACGAGATTGGCTTGTTGGAGTAAACGGGCTGTCGGAAATCAATGTCGACGACGGGCTGGTCATTCCTGTAGAGGTTGTGTCCAATGAGGTGGTGCTTTGGGAGTGACCATGTTGATAGCCACCGGACAGTTCAGGCAATCCATCGATCGGCTCCCGCTTCACGCCATCTAGGCTATGAGTTGGCGACAGGGGCGATCCAAATCCAGTTGCAGACAATGGTGAATGGCCAGTGGGACTGTTAAGAGGGGACTCGCCCGTTGAGTCGGTATTGATACGACTGGGGCTGTTGGAGCCGCTGCGAACTCCCTTTCGGGCCTTTGCACCCATCAGGCTGTTCTTTTGCTTGAATTTCTCCAGCCAGGCCTTGGTAATCACTCTTTCTTTACCTTCTGGGCATCCACAAGTGACCGCGAAGAAGTGGGCCTTTTCTTTGATCATTTCATCGCTTAAAGAGAAACCTTGGCGCTGGTAGTTTCTGGCCCAGTTGGATAGGGCTTTCTCAATATCAGGGATTCTACCCTTCGCTCGCTTGATGGGTGAGCGATGACCATCATCGAGGCTGAGATACTTTTCTTTCTGGCGCAAGACCTTGGAAACGGTACTATATTAGAAAAGAGTATGTGAGCAGCTATTTCTGCGAACTAGAAAGATCTGATCACGCGACCAGACTAGCATTCGATTTACCTTCTCTCCACACCAAACATTGCTGCGCACGATCTAGTTAGCCCTAGCTCCACTTCCACAGACTCAAGTGGTCGAATCAGGGAATAACAATCTTACCTCCAATATCGGTTTGTTTAGCAGTTTTATTTTGCTCGTGATATAAGCACATTCGGCGACGATCATCGTCGGTCAGGGTTCTGCGCGGCGTTGTACTACTCGTTGAGGACTTGCGACCCGGAGGCGCGGGAGCCGAGGGTGAAACAGAAGTTGGAGCTGGGACTGGAGGCAAGCCGTTTTCTTGGAAAGGTGTCGGTGGAGTCATCATGCTGGGCCAGTGATGCGAGGGCAAGGGTAGCGGCAGCGAAGCATAGGGTGGCGGGATTGACATGCCGTACGAATCAACACCCATCATCGTCGAGTGACCATAGTCAAAGCCACTGTATTCAGGCATCGGTGGTGAGTGCTGGGGGGGAAGTAAAAGTACCCAGTTCCACCCAGGGTGAATGTGTAAATTCGCGGTCCGGGGCGTGGTGAGATTCTGTCTCCATTGCAGTTGAATCCTCCATGGCGACGATATGTGGATTTGGAGGGGGTTTGCCCCAGATCTGATAGGCTCAGTTCGGAAAAAAGAGACAATAAATACTCCTAGGAGGAAAGAGAAACAATGCACTTTCCCCGGGGATGGAAATAATGCGACAATCTAGAGGTGAGACAATGAGGGACTATGCATGTTCCGCACCACACGACCACGAGTTGTATAGATTGATCGGTAGCGGTGTGTGATAAATTTCCCCAACTGCAAACAGATTCCACAAGCGAGGGGAAGAGGGACTCGATTAGCGAGGCGGAGCCAACGAGAAACTATCCCAGATACCAGAGGAAAGAACTTGTCGGGGCTGTACCTAAAGGTATACAGATATGCAAGAGGTAAAGGAGAGGAGAAGGTGCGAAATGCGGGTAAGGCAATGGACGGAGTTAAAAGGAAAATCAGGGCTACTAAGAGCGCAGATCCTAAAAAACCGCGTGGATTGACAGAACCAGTTGGATCTCCATTGCAACTGGCACGAGAAGGGGACAGCCCGGAGAGAAGTGATAACCTTGTTGCGCCGAGAGGAATCCAGCCGATCCCAAGTGTGATTGGTCACGGTGCAAAGAAAAGGCTGGTCCGAATGGGACCTAAAAATCTTTTATTTTATTTTATTTTTTGATTTTAATTTCGAGAAATCATAATATTCCAGCAAGATTTTTTGGCAAAAAAAAGCCACCCCTGTCAAACGGAGAAAGAAACGGCGCCTGGTTGGTCCAGAGTGAGATATATTGGCTGCGCAGGGGTTGCATCTCCTCAGGTCCGTTCGGCCCAATCGGTAGTCCCGTTTGTGTATTACATGGAAAGGTATTGTCAAAGAACAGAAAGGTTGTTCTATACTACATAGAGAGTAAATGCGGGAAGTGTCTCTCTGAGGGATATTCTGCTCCGTACCTAAGGTGTGCCCGGGATATTTCTTATTTTATAATTTCTTTTTTTTTGGCTGGCTTCGCTTGATGTTGATTCCCTCCCACCCCCCTCGCTTTCCGAACTCGGCCGGGATCTGCTTGAGTATGGAGTATATTGCTATGACATGCTTGATACCCAATCTATGCTTTGAATGGAATACGAATTTTTCCCTCGTATCTACTTGTAATATATAGGACCCTCTCTGCGTTGCGAGGTTCCTTGGAACCACCTGGGGCCGGGCCTCCTGGAGGCGTCGTGTATTCGACCATCCCTCGAGGTCTACAAAATTGGACAACCTGCCTCATGCTCAATCTATGACCATGAATGGCCGTTGTCGGTGGAGGAAGCCTCGTTTCACCAAATTGCACCTCGAAGCCATGGGGCTAATCGGACCATCGGAGCAACAGTAGATCATCCGCGGGGAGCAGACGAGGTTCACTCGACGGGCAGATATCCGTGATGATTTGCTGGGGGCCGGGAAGCGGATCGATAAACCGCTGAACCTAAAGGCCGCATGACATCCGCTGCATACACATAGCGCAGGCTAGGACGATCAGTGTGGACCAGTGTGGGTGTGGACAAGGCGATTGCGGCGGTGCCGACTATCGTTTCATCCCGCCCACTTTGCGGAAGGAGCTCAACGGTTGTAATAGAAGTGGCCCAAGAGTCATGTCATGACCTCGATGGAGAGACTATCTCTTAGAATCATAGGTTCTGGCCCACTCCGCGTGATGTCTTTGGCGAGGGCACGGTGCCCCAAGCAAGAAAGTGTAGTGAAGGACCTCAAGAATAAACGGAGTCGAAGGTTAAGAGGGAGTGCGAATGAAATTTGTAAAAGCACGATCTCGTTCATGACTGGAGATCCCTCGAAAGTCAGACTGGCCACGGAATGGGAAGATGGGAAGATGGGAGGGTGTGGGTTGGGGGGGTTGGGGCACATCCCACGAGCAAATAAATCCCTTTTCTTTTGCCCAGTCCAGGGACTATTGCCGAATACAGTATGAGGGATCTCTGAAGGACAGTGCCGATCACCCTCGTTTTCTGCCAGGATCCGAACGCATCAGAAATCCTAGAAAGATGACACGGCTAATAGGCAAATGAGGAGCAGCATGGATCCTCTCCATATGAGCGAATCCCCCGCCTCCATTTGCCTGTGATCAATACAGAATCGATACAAGGGCCGAACTAGGTTGGATTTATCTGCCCTATCACAGGGCAGAGCGGGGAGGGGGGCTTAGACCGGGAGGAGGAACTCCATGATGCGAATTGTGTTTGGGCGCTAACTGCTCAGCCCTCATTTTCTGCTTCTGCTCCACCCGCGACCCACAACGGTCCTCCCCGGCCCGGAAACCTTCAGTAAACAAGACTGTCAAAGAACGGTCTCGCAAATCTGCACGGATGCTTCCCAAGGCGTCCCATGGAACGATGTGGAGAGAGCGAAAGCGAAAGAGGGAGAGAGGGTTGGAGATGAGGGTAAAGGTATGGAGTGCGGTATCTGCCGTAAATCGGTCTGTACAGTATGTACAATTACCTGTATGTATGGATGCTCAAACCGTCGGTAGTACTCCGGAGCCCTTGCCATAGAAGTCCTCATATTGATGGGGATTAAGATTAATCATTTGGCTGTGGTCTAGGTTGCATATCTCCCACGGCACGAGCGAAAAGGAAAAAAAAAGAACATTATGCTCCCCGCTTGTTCGACCTCACCACGAGGCAATGCCAATGTCAAATCGGCCTGGTCGTTTCTTTTTCCCCCTCTATATTCTCGAACAAATTTTATCGGAAGATCATGGGGATGGCCATGTCTAGTCGACAATAGAAGAAGAGGTCTGACAAATTTTGTAATATCTCAAGTTTGACGGCCAGGGGAGTTTGCGAATCCCCAGCAACGCCAGGGTAATGAATGATTCGACAATGACACCAATCACCATGCGTGCTGCCGTCTGAGTTTTTTATTTTCAAAAAAAGAGAAGGAAAAAAAAAAGAAATATATAAATAATGCTGTCTGACTAGTTTGCGCCAGTCAGAAACGAGGATTATCGAAGGGAAAATAAAGGCGAACGGGTGGAATGGAGGAGGGGAGAGGGCAAAGAGCCAAATCCACCGCGAATCACTTCCTGTCTAGGAGAAGTGCTGGTCGGGAATGCAATCGCATCAGATCAGCGGAGCGTGGGCTGACGCCATTTCCCAGTAGAGAGGAGGAGAAATCTCGGATGATCTCACCAGTCTCTATCCAGTCTTGACGGGAAGGATTAGGGTAAGCCATGAGGGGGTGGCTTTCGTCCACAATGCGACTGGGTCTCACCTCGGAGCAGAAGAAGAAAGAAGTCTAGACTGGTCAGGATCGAAATTGCCGGCATCCTATGGACGGGCAGAGACACCAATAGTTGCTTCTTCGGCGGTTCCCACTGAGAATCTCTTTGACCGCGTTGTGCGAGCCTGTGAGGGAACACAAGCGCATTAGCAGAGGGTTAGGGTGAGTGGATGCTCAGGTTCGAGTCAGGTACCGATCGGCATGATCTCTCAACGGCAGCGCACGCCCATTTCTGGAGGTACTCGGACAAGGATGGTTCGAATGCACCTCGTCCGGACCGCGCTCTGTCGATCGAGTGGAGACCGAAGGATGAACCTAGCCTTACTAGCTATTCAGTGATGGGCTGTCTGCCATGACATAATGCGGCAGTAGGAGCTGCCTTTTTGGAGAAAGTCTACTTGGAGAAGATCAAAGGCTAGCCAGCTATCCTGGTCATGGTCCAAAATCATGACCTACTGTAGATGCAGGCGCGGTGCCTGGGGGAGAGCTACTACTGCAATGCAATGCAACGAGACCATGAGAAGGGATCGGTGTCAGAACAGTCACCTGATAGACCACAGGTAAGATGTAACTAATGTGTATAGAGTACAGTAGAGTACAGGAATGTACATACCTTCAAGTGGGTTGTACTCCCGTATACCACCGGACAGAAAGCATTTGGTGGGGAGCCCTAGGGTATCGTCTCGGGTATCGGGGGTACTTACATGTACTAGGGCTTGTTAGCGAATTCAACTTGGTCTGCAGGAGTCCATCCTGCCGATCTCCCACCTGCGGACGGACCAGATCGTGCCCCCGAGGCCTGGGCTATCGAGATCGGCGATTTGTGGGCGTTGCTCCACTTGGTCTCCGCGAGACTCCGCTGCGGTTCCCTTGTGATGCGAGGAACTTGTTCAATCATCCTATCTGTATCTATGGTAAATCGTTTAGAAACTATGTATACTGCATTACTTGTGAGCATGGCTGAACTGAAGTGGAGCTGATCAGATAATTTACACATAACCCCCGGTCTCACCACGACAAAAATCCTTCTCAATACGATCGCTAAATCGCTAACAGAACCGACTTTTCACCGCTTGTTTCCCCTCTTCTTCAACCATGGATTCGAAGGAACCGGCTTCTATGCTAGACCCTCTTGTATGTATGTTTGTGGATTATTGTTTACTTCAACTATAAAATACTCCATACACAAACCCATGGATTCATTTCGTACGAAATGGGTCTGTTCGCTCGTCCATTTTACCCTTTTTTGCACAGATCGCAACATGTCAATCCCGTCGTGCGCAGATCCTTCAGCAGCAGATAAAAAAAAGGAAAACAGAGGCCGGAAAGAGGCGTGTAAAGCTCGAGCCCAGTACTTTTGACAGGTCGATCCAAATTTTGGTAGCGAGTCAAAGCTGGGCAGAAAAAGCAGGGACACACACAGCAGCGGTACAACGTGCGAAGGGCCTGACAGATCCAATTTCGATGTTCCTTCTCTCCTCTCTCCACTTCATCCCCTCTTTTCTACACAAAAGTGACCCTATCGGATCCCAACATTCTCTCATCGGAATTCTCAGCCATTAGCCCCTAGTCCCTCTCTAAGCTATGACGGGTATACGCATGCCTCCGAATATGGAGCTTCCCACAATTTTTCTAAATCTTTGAAGTGATCTATCTCCTGAATAATTTAGCACCGGTCAGTGCACCGGGTCGAAGTGGCCCCCCCTCCGCTCCTTTTACCTTCCCATCCGCGATGTACGTACGCATGCACACCATAATTGCCTTCGAGCCGCTGTCTGAGAAGGGGAGCTTTGACCGGTCTCCAATCCCTCAACCGACTGCGTCTCGACCCTTCTGAACCAAGTCGGGATTTGCTGCATCGGTAGATCGACCAAAGGGATGAGGGCCATCGCCCCGTCTAGACTTACTATACTATTCCGAGAGTAGTCTCGGAGGCTTGCTGACAGGGGCCCCTTACTCGGTAGCCTCGTCGAAATCACATCAAGCCAGCCCCAGGTTGGAGGCCCAGCAAGTTCGGTGGCGAGTCAAGATATGTAAATAGAAGTCCATGCAACCTACTTTCCCTTCTCGGGATTATTAGGCTTTACCTAGGTAGCAAGGATCGCTTGGATGACCAGAGCTCCATGGAACACCTGCCAGTGGGCAGGCGCAGGGCTAGAAAAGGAGGGTCACGGACAATGGCTTTTTCTCGCGAGGGCTGGATGAGATGAGATGAAATGCCAATCACTCCGTACTCCGTACTCCGTATAGGAAGCTCCTTTTACTCGCTCGGGAATAGTGCACTTCAAGCTCGGACATCCACCCAATGGATATGTACCGAATCGCCGGCATCAGAATTGGCAATGGCATTGGTATCAGAATCATGAATCCGAATTAGCAAACTCGGTACTTCTGACCCTCGTATGCGCATGCGTGTAGTGCCTGATTTATGCGTCCCAGCTGGGGCCGATAAGAATATCGGCCTGTCCTGGTGCAAGCGGGGGTTCGCTAGTATATACCGGGTTGGCTATTGGCTCTCTAGCAGCACTTCAATGCATGCCGTATGTCGGGGGAGTCGCCGACGATGCAGTGTGGCTTGTCATTCTTTACTCATGATTGCAGGATCGATATTAAAGAGGCGGGAGAAGAGAAAATTTGGGCAGCAAAAGCAAATATCAACTATTCCATCTGTCGCTCTACTGTAGCAAGGACGGGGCACCACTGGCTGCTTCACTGCCTTGGAAGATGAAGTTGGGGGGTTAATGGTGGGTGGGTGTCAAAAAGCCTGTGCCGTAGAGTATGCAACAGTGGCCTGTTTCGCCATAAAGACCTTGATCTAGAACATTTATATTGGGGTTCTCTTTTGTTTCTATTGAAATGATTGTTGCTCATGATGGCGGTAAGGACAAAGAAATCCTCGACAATGACGAAAAAAGAATGGGTAGTCATAACAATATGGACCGGTCGCTCCAAAGGTCGTACATAGTGAGCCGGAAACAAAGCATAAAATGGAGAAGAAAAGAAAAACATGACTCAATCAATCAAACCTGACACCTTACCGAGACCATTGCAAATGAGGTTGCCCTTGATACTTCGACCCCTCCCTGTTGCCTCTGCGGCCGACTCAATACTCATTGGGCCCTCCACCAACCAGGCGTGGACCCTAGCAAAAGAAAAGAAAATGCTGGCCAGGGTCACGCCTCAAACCCCTGGCAGAAACCACGGGTTAGGAACGAACATCGCAATAAGCAAGCATTGTATGCGCGGCCCGTCCGGGCTTGCTGCTCACAGCCCGAAGTTCAATCTCCCTTCCCCTCCACGAGCCCTGCGAGATCTCGCCACCCCATTCGATGAGCTTTGTTGTCCGTGCGACAACAACTCGTGCCGTCCAACTGCGCTTGCCTTCCGTGGCGTTTGGCGGGGATCTGTGGCCCAGAAGCCCCGTGCCTGTCAGCATCCCAGGGGTAGTAGCATCCGAACCCCAGGCCGCTGGCCACATTCCCAGCGCAATTTGAATCTGCTCGCTCGGAACGCAGCCTGTTACGGGCAAGGAGGTCGGTATGGATGTTTACCGCTTCACAATCGACACTATAGATGTGGTCAGTTTGAGATCGGAGATTGTTATGTGCATCGGGGTCGGTGTTTGGTACCAATGTCCTCATCAGCAAGCTCGTGGGCGAGACCAACTCGCTGCGGCTGGTGCTTGACAGATCGGCCATACACAATGGCGTGTTTGAACTGATCTTTGATAGTGCGGTGAATGGCGTTACACTGCGGAATGTTAGCATGGTGCTTTCATCGTATAATGGGCATTGTGGTTTTCTTACGAAATCCTCCACAGTGCAGCCGGTGGCCCGAAGCACGACAGGGGCCGTGTAGTCGGGAGCCTTGCCCTTGGGCTTGGTATAGATTCGCTTCAAGCTGAGCTTTTCCCACATCATTGCCAGCAACTCGTCAATGTTCCAGCCGTGCTCCGAACTGATGGGAACGGCGTTGGGAATACGGTATAGAAGATCCAACTCCTCAATGGAGATGGCGTCGATCTTGTTCAAAGCGTACACGACGGGGATATAGCTTCTGCTCTTGGCCTCGAGAACATCGATCAGATCGTCGATTGTGGCATCGCAACGAATGGCAATATCGGCGGAAGAGATCTTGTACTCGTTCATGACGGCTTTGATTTCCTGTTTCTGTGTGAGCCCAACACATTCTGAAACAGTGTTGTGGTGATGATATGCTTACCTCCTGACTGATGTTGGTCAAAGGCTGGGTGCTGGTGATAGCGATACCACCCTTGTCCTTCTTCTTGAAGTTGATGTTGGGAGGCGACTTGTTGATACGAATACCGAATCCCTCCAATTCGTTCTCGATGACGCGCTTATCAACCAGAGGCTTGTTCACATCAAGAACGATGAAGATCAGATGGCATGTCTTGGCCACAGCAATGACCTGACGACCACGACCCTTACCGTCCTTAGCACCCTGAATAATACCGGGAAGATCCAGAATTTGAATCTTGGCACCGTTGTACATGACTTGACCGGGAACAGTCGTGAGTGTTGTGAACTCGTATGCGGCAGCTGGGAAGCAATGTCAGTCATGTCAGTCCAAAGTATATTCCTCTACTTCGAGTCCTTTCACCTACCTTCAGAGTGTTGTCCAGTAAGCTTGCTCATGAGGGTACTCTTTCCGACGGAGGGGAAACCAATGAAACCACTGCATAAATGAATTAGCATATCGTTATATTTCGTAGTGGTAGATTGCAGACCCAACTTACACACTTGCAACACCAGTACGCGCAACATCGAAACCGGCTGAAGAATATCTATATTAGCCATGGGGTTCAAAAATGCAAGACATCCACAGAGGAAAGCACTCACCACCACCGCCACCACCACCTCCTCCAGTCGGAGTCAACAGCTCACGCTTGAGCTTTGCGAGCTTAGCCTTCAGTTGTCCTTCACAAGTTGTCAGTCGAGTCCGTCGAAGAATGTAGATGGGTTTCAAGAGTATGTCGTACCCAAATGGAAGGAGGTGTTCTTGTTCTTTTGGGTCTTGGCCATCTCGGACTCAATGTCCTTGATCTATAGCATGGAAATAATCATTAGCGACCGCTCATCCCTCGACAGCCCTGATTTCAAGGGTTCGGCAAAGACCTCGCACTAACCTTGTCGATTGTGGTCGCCATGTTTGCGGTTGGAAAACACTATAAACGTCGGGGAAAAGGGTGTATGGGACCAATTCGAGGTCAGATATGGGCAGGGAAATCTCTCGTCTTGAGCTTCCCTGAAAGTTTCGAGCAGGCGCCTTTTTTGTTGCGATGATGAATTTGCGGAGACCGCAATCTTTGAATTGTGGCACTCAAAAAGTCTTAGTCATGGCGGGGTGTGGGCCTCAGGCAGATTTTTAGCCATTATGTCATATACTGCCTGAAGTTTCAGGCATATATACCACGTGAATGTCGTGATCACAACATCTGATGCCTCAGGCTGAAATCCCTGAAATCCCAATGGGGTTGGAAGGCACCTTCACAACAAACCATCCATTCTACATGTTGTTTACTCATATCATCAATGAATGGAGATGCGAAGTAGTGTGAAAGACTCTCCACCGTTCAATTTTATTTGCTATCCATGCGACCACATCAAATCGTTCTTCCTTTCAGCCCGATATCGTACTTATAGCCGCCTCCGATTCCAATTTGACTCCGATAACGACATCATTCCATCTTAATCGACCGGCTCGATTGATCGGACATCCTTCAGATTGAATCTGAGGTTCCTGGTTCATTACCTTCATTATATTGATATGCCGTATCTCGATACACCTGTCGATTCACCGACGGTCTCTGACCTAGACTCAAATGCTTTTGAGAAGCTTGTGCGAGACCTTAGTGCCGTCTTAGGGCCGAGCTCAGGTCTGGATTCGGACGATGTTGACCCGATGGTGATACAGAAACTGATGGAGAAATATATTTCCAATGAATCAGAATGGGGTTCATTCGCTCTTGGGGACGCGAGCAGAGCGTATACGCGAAACCTCATAGATGAGGGAAATGGCAAGAGCAATCTGGTAAGTGAATATACTGACGTTCGATACCTTCAAGCTGCTTGAGTCTACTGATGTTTGAAATGCTAACATTGACTGCCAGCTCATTCTGGTCTGGACCCCCGGGAAGGGAAGTGCGATTCACGATCATGCTAATGCACACTGCGTGATGAAGGTATATTCCACTCAGACAATGACTATGAAATTGCATATCTGATCTTCTACTACCTCACAGATCCTGAAAGGCAAACTCCAAGAGACGCTTTATTCTTGGCCTGATGAGGCAAAAATCGGACGGGGGAGACGTCTCCGCTCCACGTAACCAAACAGACTACCTATCATGAAAATCAAGTCACCTACATGTCCGACAAAGTAATTCACCCGAATATTCCAGAATTCATTCCATGATACTTATATCTTCTTAAAAGCTCGGTCTCCACCGCGTCTACAACCCCGACCCAGGCAATGTTGCTATCTCTCTACATCGTCAGCCCTTGTCGACCCTACATCACTCCTGTTGTAAATGCTGACAATCGACAGTTTACACACCACCCAGTGCTTCGATCCACGGTTGCGGTCTCTATGATGAGAAAACCGGAAGGTCAAATCACATCAAGATGTCCAACTTTTACTCTATTCGCGGCAAACGCCCGAGCGAAGTTGCAAATCAATAAACAAGGACAACCTCCGACTCACCGATTAAGCCTCCTCGCATTTGCTCACGCCTTTCATTTGAATGCAAATCCTGCTGTTTTGTGCATCTAAGTCTTACGTGATACCCGATTCTGTCCCGATCTTCTGCTCCGATCGTATTTCTGGGGACAGCTGGTCATTGGCAGCCAAGAGCCGGCACAAAGTGTTTCCTTTTTAGCCTCAAGTCTTTAGCGCAATAGACAGTTACCTTTTTTTCTCCCCTTATGCCGCTTAGTAGTAACGCTACTTTGGTCCCGCCCAAGGAATGAATTGAAGCGAGCTTTACCTACCGTGAATACCAGTTGTAGACCTCCCTGTGATGCCCAGGGGCGCCACTGCAAACTGTACATAATCGATTTAAGCTATAATTTCTATAAGATTTTTAGCTATATTTACTACTTCACCAGAGAAATATTTGCTAACTATCCTGCGTTGATGCTGACACAAATAAGGTCTCATTTGCCAGACGTTACAAAGTTCGTCGCCTTTCAGAACGGCCTAGATTCCAGTACTCGCTCCAGGTTGTACAAATATCCCAAAATTTCGTATATTTATCTCAATTTTATTCAAACCGTTCGGACACTTCCAAGGTTGCAAGGTACAGCGACAGTATTGAAAGTAGTGCAAAAACTTGAGATTCTGACAAATAGTATGATATTTGATGTGATGGAGGTACATAATTAGTGAGATACAACGCCATATCAACCTTAAAACCAGTGATCTTCAATTCAAATTACATTTGATACCTGATATCTCTTGACGTATTATGTCCTTTAGGTACCGTTTAGGAGCTCCAGTTCCGAGTCCAGTAGCTCTCTAGCAAACGCTTCAAAGTCAAGGTTTTCTTCAAGCGAGTGCGCATCAATCCCAAAATCCGTGGTGCGATTTTGTCTAACCTCAAGGTCTGAGTTTTCATTCTCTGGGCTTAGACGATCTCTTCCAGCACCTAGGCTTGAGTCATGCAAAAACGAGAGGGTCTGTAAAAGGGCATTGAGAAAACCTCGACATCGGGATATGACGAGATTGCCGTTATCCAAGTAGACAAGCACCCTTTTCGAAATTTCCAGGGAACGCCATATACTCTGCTGTTCATCGACATTCAAGGCGTTGGCGAACTGGGGTTTCTGTAATATCAAAATGGCGGCCACGAGCATCAGCGAGGCCTGAAATGCTGTAAAATTGATTAAGTTATAAGTTGTTCCCGAAAATTGTTTCCCAGCCACATGGAAAGCCATACCGTAATAACACGTTATCCACCATGCTCCTAAGAGAACCTTTTCATCGCGGCCTTCTCTGACAACCACTTGAGCGAGAACGACGCATTGTTCACACGTCGTCACGCAGGACTTCAAAAAGTGTATTCCTGCATTTTGCAAAAGGAGAGAATCACTGTCTGCATTAAAGCTTCCTGGCTGGGATTCTAGAAAGCATGATATGATAGGTCTTTGGACCAGAATTTTGGCACCATAGTAGCGAAAGGTCAACATGGTCTTAAATCGTTGAGCAAGCAGTGTTGAAGGTTGGTTTTGACCTTGGGCTAGTGAGGGATCTGGGCGTAGCTCCATGGGGATGGATTGAAGCCATTCGGATAGAGCTTGTGAACTGCGAAAACAAAGCTCCAGAGACTGAGAGACAGTACGATTATCCTTGAGACTTTGGTTGTTCTCAAACAGCCAGCCAAGGATGTCATAAGTGAGTCGCGATAGGGTTCTTTGATGGTTAGTAAAAGGAAAAGCCATGAGATGGATGAACCGACATTATAGAGGAAAAAAAGGATGAAGATAGATCGGTTTTTGCGGCGCTGTAACTTCTGGAGGGATATATTTCACTGATGTCTTGTGGCATATCCAAATTCGCGAGAGACTTGGTGATGAGAGGGGGGCGACCGAGAGTAACGCTAAGCATACTACACACATGGCATGTTAGTTGGCCAGAAGTCTTGTGGGGAGGGTCACATACGCATCGTTGACAACACACCAATGCCAAGTTCGTTTTCGCATTTCTCTGTCAAGCAAGGGTAGTCTGGCAGATGACTCAATTGTATGAAAACCTACTTGCATGGAAGCTTTTACTGCAAGACTGTGAAATGTCCACGCTTGAGAAGATCGTGGGAGACTTTGAAGGTGGCATGTCGTGAGACAAAGCATTTGCACTATAACCGAGGTCAGAAAGCTTCAGTCGCCGTTGACGCTCATCTATGTGCTTTTTACCTATTTCTAGATTCGCCTCAAAGAGCAAGCTCGGCATTGCAAATGCCAGTGCAATTTGAAACAAGCTTTCGGTTCTTTTCTCAATTTGACCGGAAGGCGAGTTAGCTGTTCTCGTATTATTCGCATGACAGATAATCATGATCAATAGTGCAAGCCATGATCGACGCGCAGTTTTGAATTGACCTTTACGGTGCTCTGAGTATGCTGCAAAAAATGTCTCTTGATCAATGCAAGGGAAAAGTGACCCCACCGTAGCAAAATATTGTTTCAGAGCTGCTATTATCTCTGTGTGTGGCGGTAATAGAGATATCGGTGAGTCTAATTTGGAAGCAATTGATGAAGGGACGTTCAGCATATCCTGAGACACCCGATTTTGACCTCGCGTTGCCTGGGCGGGGAATGAGCCAGTAGCTGGAATTTGTCTGTTCTCAGTAGAAAGAATTCCTGGATGGTCTCTGTAGGAAGCAAGAGCAGGTGAAATTCGTTGGATCAATGCTAAATTGGAAGAGAGTCCTATCATGTTGATTAGAGATCGAAAGCATGTGATTTAGATACTGTCTAAACTTCTCACCATGGAATGTAGATGTATCTACACTCTCTGATAGTGCAATAGATCCCATTCCATCCACATTGTCATGGTCTCCGGTCTCGAGCCGAGAAATCTGGGCTGCGTCATTTTTCGTGGGCTCGCTGTGTAGCGGCGTATCGCCAATTTGAGGAGCGTCAGTAAAGGCCTGGAGTTTTCCTTCCAATGCTTCTATTCTCAACAACAAATCTGAAACTGTTCTTTGTGAATGTCAATAGATAATTTCACACAGTTTGACTGGGATCAGCATTATTTGTCGGGCTCAACCTACTGTTCCCCAACACTCTGGATCCCCGGTTGTTCATATATGCACTTCGTCCCTATCTCCAAGCATCGCTGGCAACTAGGATGCTGCCCATCGCACTGATTCGGCGTGTCAGACTGAAATATTGAAGAATAGGAACACACATACCCTTGATTTGCGAGTCCTACACGTCTGACATGCGATGGAGATGCGTACCCGTTTTCTTGTCGGGGTATCCTCTTCCATTGCCAACGAAATACCAGGATAATTTAAAAATGCCGTACAATAGATTGTGTAGGCCGGTCATGAATTTCAAACCCCTGATGTTTTTGGAGCACTTAAAGATTGTGGAGACGAGGAAAGAAAGAAAGGTAGTGGTTCTAGCGCGGCTCACAAACAACCATTTCAGATCTCGTGACTTGCTAGTAAAAGTTATGGAACGTCGCCAACGGAACCGACCCGGATATCCGGAAAAAGGCGAACATCCGCTTACTAGTAGTTGTCACGGCCAACATTTTTGACCTTGTTCATTACTACCGATTTCAAGTTGCTGAAGAATTCAACCTGCTTCATGCAATGAGGAGCAATTAAAAAATCGAGATCCGGTTACTGCTTTTGATTCACAACAAGGCTACCCTATCACAATTGAGCAATTACTACTAGTAGTAAGTTTATATGCAGTGTCTAACTAAAATGCTGACTTTCCACCTGCCAGCATCATTCATACCCCACTTGCATATTTCGCACCAAAAGTGGATAATTCCATGAAAGGGTATGAAGGTCAAGGCTATCGAGCCAAGTCACTTGCGTCCACCCAATTTCCATGCAAGCCCGCCCGCAACCGCAATGGCAATTTCACCTCCGCAACGAGCTCCCATGCCCTAGCATCCAAAATGACCAGATCGCTCGACATCGTCTCGTATCTATTTACCAAGGCCATGACGTAGCCATCGCCCTCGTCTGCCGCTTTCGATCGGGGAATAAACACTGGCTCTTGAACCATAGACTGGGCTCCAACAAAGTACTTCTTCATCTCACCAGTACCGAGGTCGAGTTGTCCCAGCGCATTAAAAAGCGGATAGCCGCCGCCCATGACAGCTCCAATGGCCGCAAAGTTCGTCTCTAGACTGTGATCCATAACGTTCATAAAACAATATTTATGTCTCATCATGGCGAAGCGATCATCAATCCGCGGGAACTCGACATCTTCCTTTGCAATTATCAAAGGCTCCGGCAGGTCCATATTATCAGAGCGCGGGTCGAATACGACTCGACTCAACTGGCTGCAGAGATCAGTCGGAGCAGGAGCATTGCCGTTCTTGTCTGGCCACCAAAAGAAGACGTTCTTTTCGCTCATTGGGAGATCCATGGTAATCTGACCATCCTCATTCTCGTAGGCATTGGCGGTATGACCTGGAAATGCATTCCGTGACCGGAACCACTGGTTTACACTATCTCAGTGGTTGAATCTTTTGGCGCTCATACGATTGTAAGACTTACCTTGACATCGCCTGACTTCGGGCCATGGCGTGGAAGAACTCCAAAGTAGCAGGGAATCGTGGGGTCCCATTGCCAGTGCTCACCCCCGGCTTTCATACGCTCTAGTGAGCAGGTTTGGGGGATCAGTGGGAAGATTACCTGCGTCAATTTGTGAGTTTTTGAAAAAGGAAGATTCCATTGAACAAGAAACGAAAGATGTACACCTACATAATTCTTCGTCACGGCAAAATCATGGATCATGGCCACTACTGGTGCCACCAACCAGACATTTTCTCTTATCTTGCCATTCCTGCCAAAGGTGTAGTAGTTCACATCAGGAGTGCCGTCTCCTTTCGCTTCATATCCGAAACAAACCATTTCGCCTGTTTCCGGGTCGAATTTAGGGTGCGCAGTGAATGTGGCACTCTCGAGTTGACCCTCGAAATCCCAAAGCCCAAGTGTCTCTAGTGTGTCAGGATCCATGGCATATGGCAATCCATCCTCTTTACAAGCCAAAAGCTTGCCATTGAAATGGAGAATGTTGGTATTGGCGGTCGTTCGAGTCTTAAGATCGGCAATATCGGTATATTTGTTTCGGTATTTGCCTACATTTCGACCGTAAACTTCTCATCGTGGATTTAGGTTATCCTACCCATTTTGAGCACAGGCTGACTTACCAACTAGAGCTCTATTTGCCTCACGTTCTCGTTCAAACTTTTCCGTTCGGACGAATCTCTGCTTGAAGTCAACTTGTCCATCGTGGATTCGGAATGCGCTGACACAGCCATCGCCGTTGAACCACTAATAACTGAAATTAGACCCATGCGACCGATATCGCCCGATCATTTAGACACACCACATCGTTCTCAATAAACGGAGGAAATTGGGGGTCGGGCATCACTCGATAAAATGTTCCATTGATTTCTGGAGGAATAGAACCATGAACCTCCACGTTTTGAACTTCTCCTTCGAATCGACATGGCTTCATAAATCCACTGAATTGAGGTAAGTCGGGATAGCGGTTTCTAACATAATTCTGGCGAAAATGGACCGCCATAACGAATGTTTTGATTAACAAGGACTGGCAGTAGTGGAGATGTTCCAGTAAAAACTAGATTTGCTTTGTAGAGTTTCTGTATTTATTCCCCTTTGACGGATGCTATCCCCGCCAGGCGAGTCCCAGGTGCTTCCCCGCTCCGGGAGTATCCCCGACGGGATGAGCGAATGCCGTTCTTGAAAGGAACTCGGTCCCCAGATACACTTGAACAGTAGACTTACAAAATATTGTAATTAAAGCTTTTTCTTCAATGGAAGTTCCCCGAATTCCATCAATACCATTCTTCATTTTGCTTGATTGAAACTTATCCTTTGATCTTACACTCGGATCATTACCCTCCGCATCACATTTCTGAGATACTCTACTCGCAGAATATTTCCAACGCAATGCATTTTCCCGTTCTCCCCCCTGGTATTGATGACAGCTCTTTCCAGAAAATCCTGATGGAATTGCGTGACATTGTTGGCGCCGATGACCTTTCATCCGATGCCACATCCGGCGCATTAGAGGGCCCTGACCAAAAGACAATCTACGGGGATCCATACTCATTGCTCCCAAGCAATGATAACCAACCGAGCGGTGCAGTGCGACCCATTTTAGCAAACGAAAGAAACGCTTCGATCAGCCAAGAAGTACGTGAGCACCGTCGACGTCGGCCCAGATGATATTCCCCACTGCAGTCTCCCAACTCTCAATCCATTGAAACTGCTCTCATATCGCGGGGTTGAGGGTGGCCACACCTGCTTTTCACCCGTCTTCCCTCCATCCGGCCAAGAGCTCTATTCCTGGTATCTGGGAGCTAAGAAGGAGACTATAGACGCCCAGCTTGACTTTTTTGCAGACTTCCATGTATACGGGCGCTACGTTATCGGGATTGCGTTGGTGGTTTTTACGCCTGGGGAAGCGGCTCGGTGTGATCGGTTGTATCGGTCGCTTCTGGATGATACCGCGCAACAGGGTTTCACGGAGTATCGGACTCATGTTGATTATATGGATGCTGTTGCAGGTCATTTTACCTTTAATGATGGGGCTTTTCATTAATGTTTGCAAGGGCTTAAGGATCATTTTGATCCTAATGGTGTACTGTCGCCTGGAAAGTCTGGAATCTGGAACTCATAAGGTAAGCCGCTCTTGCAGGTTGAGTGATGGGTGGTTTTTGGTATCAACTGCGTATACCTTCACGCGCTCAGTGATTGAAGTTCGTCATTTTTAGGTCCACTATCTATAATAATCATGGGGCATCTCCGGATGCCTCCTCTGCAGCGGTGCCAATCCAATTGTAGTTTACCTGACCGTCACACGACGCGGAGATTGGAGTATTCTACTACAAATACAGTGAAGAGAAAGTAAGTAATAATAGCAATGCAATTGATCAACCAGTAATCAATCCGATAGGCTATTCGCTAGGACCGAGCAAATGCAAGTAAATGTATAGTCTATGTACAAGTAGGTAGTTCGTGTAATACATTCAAACAAATCGTGAAGATGGGACAATAGCACATCGTAGCCCGGCCAGCGGCACTTAGGTATCAGTGTTGGCACAGGTGAAGCTGGAGCTGCTGGTATCACTGTGGATGGCAGTACCCGAAGCGTACAGACCGAGCACGCAAAGAGCCAGACCGAAGCCGACGATGGCAACGTTCAACACGAAAAGAGCGATCTTCTTGGGGCCCGCGAACCACTGGCCCTGGTTCAAGTGCAGCCAGTAAACACCACTGAGACCGTAGCTGAACCAGGAAGCGAACAGTGCGGAGATGAGCGAGTTCAAGTTGCTGAAGACGGGGATGGCCTCGGCGATGATCCAGGCGACGACCCAGCACGAAACGCCGAGTGCGAGCCACAGACCGATGGACTTCCAGCTGCGCTGGTGGATCAGGTCGGACTTGGAGCAGAGGCGGAAGTAGATGTACTTCAGGCCAATGTGGCCGTTGACAACACCGGCACCGACGATGGTGGGGATGGCGACACCGTAGGCAACCTTCTTCATGACGGGTCCGGCGGAGGTCAGAGCGGGAGAGGAAACATCAGTACCAACGAAGTAGTAAATGACGACACCGGCAGTGAGGTAGAGGCAGATTTCGAAGCCCTGGAGCATGAAGAGGGACTTCTTAAAGTCGCTGGGGGTCTCCATCTCGGCAATGAGGCCGAAGAAGGCGACGTGGGCACAGTAAGCGAAGACGATGTTCGAGACGGCTTGGAATGCAGTGTATAGGTTTGTCTCGACGGTGGCGTCAATGACACGGGTAGGAGCGGCTTCGACGCCGACGGAGATCATGGTGATCATGACGGCACTGAAGATGGAGAGGAAGGCTGTTAGGATATTAGTTAGTATGATTGAGATAGACTGAGGGATTGTATCACCCGTGTGATGCGGGTATACTCACAAGCAAAAGAGATCCAGGTCATGCCCTTCATGGTACGGGGGATCGACAGAACAAGCGAGATGAGCATGCCGATGAGACTGAAGACGATCGAGCAAGTGCCATGCTCAGTGATGGTGTTCATCATGACACGGAAGGTTAAGATGTGACTTCCCATGACGAAGATGCAGAACAGGAACTGGCCGAGACCGAAGAGCTCACGGCCAAATCTGCCCAGCAGGATCTCACCAGCGTCACCCAAGTTCTGAATGTGAGGGTAACGCTCGCGCATCAGACCAATATTGTAACCAGTGTAGGTAGCGAGCAGACCGAGTCCCACGATCAGGATCACACCGGGGACCATGCCCAGAGTTGAGACGGCGGAGGGCAGAGACAGAACACCGAGCGAGACGGACTCGCAAATCATGAGCAGACCACATTGCCACCAGGTCAAGGTCTTGTACTTGATCTCGGCGTACTCCTCGTTACCGAAGGCGTCCGAGACCTCTCCATGCTCGGGCTTCAGATTGTTCTCTTCGTCAAAGACTGGGTTGGGCTTGTTCTCGCCATTGCCAATCTTGTCATTCTCGTAGGCCGGGGGTTGAGGAGTGACAGTATCCATTGTGAATAGTTACTATCTGGTGGTGGAAAAGGTGGAGGTTGGGGGGGAGGAAGAGTGAAGGAAGTGCAGTTGGCGAAGTAGAGGTACTAGTAGATATGTCCCACGAACGCACAGCGATGCACAGCCCACACGAGTAGAGAAGAGATAGGAAGGGGAAAAGATGGGGAAGCAAGCAATTAATAAGAGAAATGGATATTGAGTTTTGGAGAGACCCCAGGTCTCCGCGCCCCCAAGATGAGCATTGGGATTCTATTTCGCCTCCACAGATGGGAGGCAAGACACGAGAAGACCCAGAGGGACCCAGAGGGACTCCGGACCCATGGAAGACCCGCCGAAGATTCTACAGTGTAAGTGTCATTGGTTGAATGGGAGGTTTAGTTCTGTCATTCGGCCCGACATTCGGACGGTCGACCAATCATCGTGCCGGGAATTCACGAGATTCTCCGCATCGTGACTAATTTGGAGCCTGGATGGAAATCCCAATGTAACGCCCCCCGTAAGATCTGGCCACAGATGATCGTACCATGAGGGGAAAGCCCTCGGATCGCTACTTTATTTGATTTTCTGGGGATTCTGGAGTTCATGGGGCAAGTAATATCATCTAGAGTGTAGTATATGAGTAGTTGAATAGTACTCCGTTGATAGAATGTTGTACTTCGGGACCGAGTTGCCGAAGATCTGTATAGTTCGGGTCGTGGCTGGGCAGAATTTTTCTCATTTCTTTTGGTGGACCGGTCGGGACACGCGGCTACCAACCTTCTTCTGCACGGCTTGAAACGAGACAGCCAAGACGGTAGTAATTTATTCCGTTCTGGGCAGGGCATGGCAGGGCAGTTGTTGTTTTGCTGCTGCTGCTGCTGCTGCTGGGCATGGGCCAACTCTAGCCCTTGCTCTCCCCCTTCTGAGGTGTTTCAAACTCCTTCTCTCAGCTTATTCTCAGCCCCTACCCCGACCATGAACGCCAAATTATTAATATGCTTTCTTAGCAGCCTATATCTACCCCAATCAACCTGCAGTCGGGCAAAGCTGGGGTATCCGCCGTTGTCCGCCTGGGGTAGATCGTCAGTTCCCTGCATAATATTTACTCCGTACCACCTGCAGACATCTTTTCTATGATATTGAATATCCTCCTCGTAAACAACAGCCACCCCTTAACATGGCTGCCTATGAACCCATCCAGCTCGGGAGTAATCCGAGTCCCCCCAGAGTACGGAGTAATCTCTCTTCCTTCACTCACCGGATATCCGATTTTAGGTTTGTTTTAGTCGGTCTTAGTGCCCGATAGTTAGCCGGGGCGCAGATAAGCATTTCTGTTTGTTGAATTTGTTGGTTTTTCTTCCGAGTCCGCCCCAGTTCTGCTTTCTCATAGGCTGACCAGTGTCGGGTAGACACACTCTAAATAGGCAGGTCGGTTTTTGCACCATTAGTGTACACCGAAGTCAATTCGCCTATCCACCATCATGACCCACTTCGCTATTTACTAGTACCTTAAGGTAGTTCTACAGATTATTCTACGCGAGAGACCCTACGAATATCGATAATTCCAACTTCAATCATCATACCAGTAAAAGCAAAGCGTTGCTAAAATGAGATTATGCAGTTCATGCGTTGACATGCCAATTAAACACAACCGAATCAAATCAAATGAAGCCAAGGGATATGAGCTCATGAAAATGACGAAGGAGAAATAACAAAAAAGGCGATGCATAGATGCACGTCAATTTTCAAGGCCCAATGCAAATGCAATATACAAAAGTGAGCTGGCAAGGCAAATTGAGAATTCGCAGCATAGATGAACAAAATTGTTTCTCCGAGATCAAGAAAGGGGATCAAATCAGATAGACACACAGACAGAGGAATAGAGGGTAAGAAAGGAGGAAGCGGAGAGATTATCACGACCCTTCCTCAGCATCAGACCCCTGCCCACCACTAAAAAGTTCCGGAAACCCCAACCCCACGGACTGCCTCCGACGAAGCTCTTCGAGACGAGCTAGGGGATTCTGTAGAGCGCCACAATAAGTATGTTGCGTTGAGGAGTTGAGAAAACGCATCAACCGTGACACCCACCCAGTCCTCCTGATCCGGCACACCCTCAGCAGCAGGGAGCAGGGATGTCCCCGCGGAGGTAGAATCGCCTTCATTGCCTACGGACCACCGACGCTCGACTGGTGCGGGCGTGACAGGTAGACTGGGCCGCTCCACTTCGGTTGGGAAGTCTGTTAGTCGGAAGCTTGGTCGGCGGTGGTCGGCGGCAGTGGCTGATTGGTTGTCAGGGCTTGTTTGTGCGCCGTCGCTGGTGAGGACTTGGGTCTTTGGTTTCCGGGCCGCTTGGATTGATTCAATGTAGCGCTGGATCGAGGGGTCTTCATCCCAGGCGTTGGAGCGGGAGTAGCTATCCCATGACTCGGCTGAGGGTTCGAATGGGATCCGGGTTGGGGTTGTGTCGATCGCCGCGAGGGCTTGATTGGGATATGTAGGTTCTGGGGTTGATGGTTGTTCGGGAGATGCAGCAGGAGGAGGAGATTGTTCATCTGCGAAGACGCGGGTTGGTCTGGCGGCATGGCTTTCCCAGGGAAAAATCTGAGATATCTTTTGCGGGGCGGGTTTTGTGGCGGGGACTTGGTAGTACATGTTTTTGGGGGCTTCAGGGTACGATGGGGGTGGTTGGAAGAGCTTTGTGTCTTCGGACATGGTGTAGGTCTTTTGTTGCAGGCTGATTCCTTCGGGTTTGGTGTTCAATGGCGGTGGCTCACTAAGGCGAATTAGCATGCTGTCAGAGCAAGTGGATAAATGGGGAGTCTTACCGTTCGGCATCCCATTCTGCCTTTGGTGCTTCGAATTTGGGGGATTCGGGCTCGGGCGATGGGGGTCGGTGGAAGATTTCCGTAGCCGGTGGTGGTGGTACCGGCCGTGGATGGTGGATATGGCTTGTATCATGGGACGGTTCATGGTGCTCATGATGTTCATGATGCTCGTGGTGCTCCTGGTGTACCGGCTGGTTTTCAAGGTGAGGTTCGATATGATTAATAGGTGCCGGTGGGTTAGGCTGCGGGGGAACATAAGTCGAAACATGTTCTTCGCCGCGGACGTATTGTGGTACTATGCTCAACACCGGTCTCTCTGCTGGCGGAGCTGCTTGTTGTGGTGCATCGTGGTCGTGCGACTCCCGAGCAGAGTGTTGCTGCCACAATGATTGCTCGTTTGAGGTTTCCGGCGATATGAGAGTTGGCATAATATCATCCGAGTGGCCATGACCACCAGAACCAGGACCATGACTATTACTGTGATCATGATGGACCTGCCGAGGCTCCGGCCAAATTTGAATTGCATCACTCGGGGCTGTATTCGACAATCGCTGTATGACGACTGGTCCTTGCGAAATTTGGGATGGCTGCTGAGTAGACAACTTTTCATGAATTAGCTTCATTAACTGCACGCTTGATGGAAGCACTTACAGTTTGGGGATGGTAGTGTCTGTCATAGATAGCCCACCACTTGTTGAGCAGCTGATTATACGGCGACTCCATCGGGACCACATGCCTAGGCATATTCCACGGCTTTCGCGATCCGATAAAATGAATCAGGCTGATGGTACTTTGGAAATGCTTGTACGCAGGGATATACTGGTAGTTTGCGCTGGGGGTGCAGTTGTATGTGAAGCTTAGTCTATACCAGTCACGGAAATGCATATTCAACAGACCCTGATCGGCTCCATCGAAGCTGATGCCCCGCTCCGCGAGAGCCTTCAGAGCGTAATAGTCCTGCATATTGGGCCGGAGAGACATCAAGCCACTGTTGAAGCAATCCGGCCAGCCTACGTCCGGGGCGGCAGCGAAATCTACCTCCAACGTGAGCAGTTCGTCGGGGGCGCGCAGGGCCACGACATCGCAGTCGATGTATACGACTCGGTCAAATTGGGTTAAGCGCCACAGTTCGATTTTCGTGAAGGTGGCGATGAGATCTGGTCGGTCCATCAGCCACAGGTTGGCGGGCCGGCCATTGAGGAAAGAATGCACCGCGATCAGCTCATCGTAGACGGTCTTTTTAAACCGGAGGTTAGTATGGGAGAGTGTGTCGTTGCGAAAGACATCGTCATTCGCTCCTGGGCTAGATGAGACATACCCTTAATTCATCAATTGTTTCCTGTCGGAGGGTCGCCGGTGTGAACAGGGCCACCAATTTCGCTCTTGTTCCATTGTCGCGCAAGGAATGCGCCAGGACCATCGCCCCTAGAACGGAAATAGATCAGAAATGCACCGCCGCTGCCGCTGCCGCCACGCGGGGATCAGCCCATTGCTTACCAGGCAGGTAATTGTCGCTTAGCAGAAGCTATTCAGTAGATGACGACGTTAGCTTGGCTCCGTGAGCGCGACGCGATTTTCTAATCAGAAAGGCGGGGTTGGTGGTGGCTTACTGTGCAGTAGACGGCATTCTGTTCGGAAGCCATTGCGCGAGTGGAGACCAACCCGGCGCAAAGGGAAGACAACCAGAAAAGAAAGGAGAGGAGAGAGAACAGGGGATTCTCCTCCAGCCCAACAGTGATGAAAGCTCAAATGACCGACTTGAGAAGGGGTAGGAAAAAAGACCAGGAGCCAGGAACCAGGAACAAGCAACGCGGGTCTATATTTAACCCCGGCGATGTCAGTTCGGGCTGGTGGAGAACTGGTCGAGCAGCTGTGGTACCTGGACGAAAACGACCTCAGTGCATCGTGCGAGGCGAGATGGTTGGCGGTGCAATTAGGAAGGGGGCGAAAGGGGGAAGGGATAGAGAGATGGAGAGATAGAGAGATGTGGATGATAGAAATTGATGAGAAGGGGGGAAGAAGAAAGTGAAAGTGAAAGTACGTGAGAGGGGAAGCTCGTGCGTTGAGGTCGAGGGGAAATTTGGGGGAAACCTTAGGAAGTGGCTAAGCGGGAGAATCCACTCGGATGATCCGCGGTGGGGAGAGCATTGACGGCAGTATACATACAGTAGCGTATACACAGTGCATACATTAGCTAGTAGAATATTCTTGCATCTCAAATATCTGTCTCTTCTCTTCAATTTACATGAAACCCGACCGGAAGGCCAGACGCCTCCCTAACCCCCCCCCCCTCGGCCGGCAATAATAAGCTCCGCGCAAAAATCAAACCATTGAAATCCCTCAAATACGCGATGTTCATCCGGTGTTCAATTCATTGGAAAATTTGCCATGGTCCCCATAATGATCGCTGTTAATCGCAGTCCTTAGCGACGCACAGTGATCGCAGCATCCGGGTACGAAGCCTGCACCGCAGCCTCAACCTCCCCCTTTTCACCTCCAACCGCCCACTGAATGGCCGCTTCTAGAGCCGCGCGACTCTCCATTTCAATTGGGGTCCAGTGGCCCGACCGTGGCAGCATCACTACCTGGCTATCCTTCACTAGGTAGTCCCCAATGCCATCCAGACAGATATGCGGGTCGAGCGCGATATCCTTCTGGCCCCAAATGATAGTCGAGGGGGCCTTGAGAACCCCCGGAATACCTTCGTCGAAAATACCCGTTCCACTGCTTGTCCGACGGAGCCCCTCATCGCCTGCAATTCCGTGCAGCCCGGCGATTGTCTCCAGGGACTTGTGCCAACGCGCAGACGCAGCACCTTGGCGGTAGTAGCTGGCCATGTCAAAGATTTTGGAAAAGTCCTGGCTATAATCAATTTCCTCGGGGAAGCTATCACCATTTGCATTTTGTATCTTCGACTCCGCCAGTGAGGGACCCATCGTGATAGCCATGGCGTCGGCCTTGTCCTCAGGGGTGGGCTTGTGACTTCCGTAAGAGCTGCGGTGAATGGCTACCATCAAAGAGCTGTTTCCTCCGGTCAAGAAATGTCGGACTGCTGCAGGTGGCAGCTGCATGGCAAATATATAACCGGATAGGCCAGCCTGGCGGATGACAGGGCCGAGAGTACGGAATGCCTGCAGCACTGGTGTGCGAGAGGAGAGAGGAGAGTTGAGTGCGGTGTTGAACATCTTCTTCGCCGAGGTTAACAGCCGACCGATGTTGGATTCGACTAACTTGACCTAAATCCTGTGTTAGCTATTGCTTCAAAAAATGGCCCCCAGCATCCTTTTCTTCCCTCGTCTTTGTCACGTACCAAGGGCGCATTGCTCAGAATCCACCGGTCAGCGAGTGCCGGAGCTTCAGCTGCCAGTCGCATCGAGAGAACACATCCCCAGTCATGGGCAACAACGATAGTTCGCTTCTTCTTAGACTCGGAGTCATCATCCACGCCATATTTAGTTCGAAGAGTAAGTATAAGCTCTGTCAATGCCTCGAGAACATTCGTCGCGGAGTATTTCTCCAGTCGCCCCGAGCCTCCAAATCCAGGGAGATCTATAACGACGAGATTCGCCGACTCTTGTAGATCAGCAGAGCTGGCAATGTATCGCCAGATAGCCCAACTGTCGGGCCAGCCGTGAATGAGAATGACCAAGGGTTTCTCCGGGTTCAATGCCGCAGCAGATCCAGGGGCTGCATTGCTCATGAAGTGAATTTTGAGCCCACTGGTAAGAGTGGTGAAGTGGTGGGAAAGACCAGAGTACTCCTTTGTCAGGTTCCACATGCGATCACGCGCTACATAGATCAGGCGTCAGTTGTCATTCTGAAGGTCCGCCTTGAGACCACGAGACCAGAACTCGGGGGTGTTGAAGAGAGTCACGACTGTTTCCTATCTCAAAGACATACCGATCTGAAGCTCGAGAGATTCCTTTTCAGTTCTCTTTCTGAACCAGATACCCTTTTTCATAGCGATGACCGCATAGAGTAGCATAGAGAAGACGCCATATGCAAAGACAGCGACCGAGGCCACCACTTTACCTAGGGTGACTGCCATGGTGATCAAATTCAGACCTTAGAATCAGATCTCGGAGTAGAGTAGAGCATTGACAAAGGAAGAAGACAAGTGGGGAGATGAATTTAAGAGCGCGTCCACGTTATCCAACGATGCGCGCATAACTTGAAGGTCTCAGGGTGCGCCTGCCGCTTGTGGTGGGGCCGCGTTTGGTGGAATATGCTCGACTCCGTTTGGCTACAGATCCTCCTACAACGGCCACACAGCCACGGGACCTCGGTTGGTCGGTGTGAACTTCTTCCGATGTTCTCTCTCTCCCCCTTTCTCTCCCTGAGATATACGAACACAACAGATTGATGATGTGAATATTAGCCGAATTGTGTGTCTATGGTTTCTGAAAAATCAACCCTCAATTTCTTCAGATAACTACATATGCTGAAATTACCCAGAACAGGCATGGTTTATTTCATGAATGACAAATGATCATGTTCTAAAGTAACTTGGAACATTGAAAAACTTGCTTAGATGGACTCTTGCAAAAACACTGAATACCACTAATCGAAAATAGACGCCTTCATTGAGTTGGGTTGGATATAGTCTGAGGCGTTCCGGAAGCTGGTGAAACCCCATCGGATCTGGGCTGCCATGCCAATATCAACATCAAGACCCTTCGCAAAGGCCCAGGCGAGGCCAGTATCATGCTGAAATGCTCAGCCAACCAGCACTACATCCACATCATTTTCTTGGAGAATCCTCTCAGCAATATCGCCGTGTTTGATCATTCCGACGGCAGCAACCAAGAGACGATCACCCACAGCCTTTTTAACCTTCGCAGCAAAAGGTACCTGGAATGCAGGACCGGAAGTGATTTTCTGCGCAGAGTGAACACCACCGCTACTGATATCGATGAGATCAACAGCGCCTTGATCTGCCTAAGCAACTGCAAGGGCAACAGTATCATCAGACTTCCATCCCTCTTCGTCCGGGCGACTAGTCTCAAGCCAGTCAGTACCCGAGACGCGGAGAAAGACCGGCATATGAGGTCCAACAGTCTCACGCGTAAGCCGAGAAACTTCGAGAACAAGCCGGTTACGATTCTCGAAGCTACCACCGTAGATATCCTGTCGCTTATTTTTGAGGATGCGCTCAGGAATGATGAGAGTAGGTAACCATGTGCGGCGTAAATCTCAATGAAATCGACACCCGCACTAAGACCTCTCTTAAAAGCAGCAACCCAAGCATCCTTCAACTCTTGGATGTCTTGAAGAGTCATCTCCTTAGGCACGATTTCATTATCCGAGAAAGGGATCGCGCTAGGACCTTTGACATTCTCAGTCCAGCCACCAACAGTATTGGTCGTAACCCCTCCTCCAACCCACGGAGGGAGAGTAGAAGCCTTACGTCCGGCATGGCTGAGCTGAAGTCCAATCTTCTGACTCCGGCTATGAGCAAAGTCGACAACCTGTTTCAGAGGTATGACTTGAGAGTCTTTCCATAGTCCCAGGCATCCCGGCGTGATACAACCTTCGGGCAAGACACCAGTTGCTTCGATAATCATCAGCCCGGGGCCTCGCTGCGCGATTCCGCCATAGTGTGCTTGATGCCATGGGGTGATATACCCGTCATCGGCACTATAATGGCACATGGGTGCTAGGCCGACACGGTTGTGGAATGTAGTCCCACGGACGCTCAACGGCTTGAACAGTTTTGGAATGGGTTTGCCGCTTGTTCGGGGGTCTCGCGCCGTGCCAGCTGGTGGACTCTGAGCTGGGTGTAGAATGGGACGCCCTGTGCGGGCTTGATTGGAATATCGGGCCAGTTGGTTATCGTGACTTCAGCACAAGATTCCCAGGTATGGCGGGTGGTGGAAGGTGGTAGGGATCGGAATAAGGCCACTAATAGTATAGAAGTAGTTATACTAGTAGTGAAAGGTACTAGTAAGATCTTGAACAAATTGTTGAATGGATTGATACCTCCATTGACATGGGTACTTGATCCAATTTATAGCTACATCCGAGTCACCGCACTGGAATAATTATCAAAGGCCCCGTAAAGTTTTATCACGCTATCTGGTACTGGTATACTCCCATTTTTTCCCGGTCGTTGTAATCTCTGTAAACCATGTGGGTGGATGTCTCCGACGACATCATGATTCAGCTGTAATCGGATAGTTTGTGTAGACCCACCGAAATTAGTGAGTATTTTAGGGCGTAAAATGTCGGGATTCACGGACGAACTAGATTTTTCGTTTCCAACCTTGATGAAAATTTCCCGCCACACAGCCACATTGGGAGGAGGGCGAATTTAGTACTTGTTTCTCGCCTGGTATTTTTTCAGAGGCCCAATCTGAGCTCGAGATGATGACATGTTGCCGGATTGAATTTCGTATCCTAATCTAAACTACGACTTCTTCGGGGTACAAGCTATTGGAGCCATTTTCTGAGATTTCAAAGTACGATGAATGAATCCATGGATGAAATAGTATCATTCTCCAGTTCTGACATAAATTTATCTATCTCTTCAGGTAGAAGTAAAAAGGCCCAGCGTCACCCAGGGCTTTTCCCTTCATCACCCCAGCCACTAAAGTGTCACACGTAGCGAAAATGATCGAAGATTGGACGATCATAATATATCATTGCTGCCGAAGAGGTTCCTCCATATATCATTTCCCGTAGCTGATCCATATAGTTTTCTTGGTTCTCTAGAACTTGAAGCATCTCACATGCCGGAGGACAAAACTTACGTTAGCGAACCCCCATTTCCCCCAATTCATCCGCCGGCCTCCCTGATCAATGATGACAGGATCAACATCTTCGATTGCTTTGAATGATTTGCCGATCCACTTGATCTCTCTAAGCTGTCCAGTGACGGGATGGCCCGTGTCAAAAAAGCCTCCATTCCATTCTCCCAACATGTCGCTAGGTAGATTTGGGGGCAATTGTCTGAAGAGACTGTCGATTTTACTCGCTTCGACCTTTCCTCCGAGCTGAATGATAGAAAGGTATTCCTCTTGGGGACTGATTTCGTGAGCTTCAGTTAAATAACCAGTAGAGTGACACTTACGACATGTTTGTGGATCCTTAAATGTTTTGATCGCGCTTGAGATAGGTTTTAAGGTTGCCAGCAGGATAGAAATTTATCAGTTAATGCACAATGTATCTTTTCCATTACTCTGGTCATATTTGTATAACGAATCCCTGGCCTGTCAGCGCCACCTGGGCACATTTGTCATTTATCCCAGGAAGTCTCCGATTTCTCCACACTAGCGATGGGATTCCGATCCATGGTCCATCCGATTTTGTCAGAACTCTAACCATATGCCGACTAAAAGGCCCACTACAGCAATTCTTTTGGGGCCGTCTATGTTCTCTTGATTAGACTGGTGTTCTCCTAGTAGCGGTAATAGCACTCGTTCCTAAAACTTTTCATCCAATATACGGTATGTTCAAGCTCGACTACCAGCCAAACAATGCCAATTTGCTAACTCTGCGGGTAGTCTTCTTAAGCACAAAGCGCGACAAAAGCGCGCAGAAACTGGGGACAAACGATGGAAAGGTCTGATGGATGAACATGACCAAACTATGATACCAGCCATTGGTCGCTCCATTTATCGACCAATCCAACTTCTCACGCTTGAGCCAATGTGTCTGAGTCTCTGTATAATCTCTGCGACACTTCTCAGTGTTCTATATCTTTTCTTTGGGGCTTTTCAACTTGTTTTCAGAATTAGTTATGGATTTACACTATGGCAGCGGGGATATAGCTTTCTCGGGCTACTGGTCGGCATGATTCTAGCTATTTCAACTGACCCATTCTGGAGACGGAACTATGCCAGACTAGAGAACCAACATTTACAATCTACGCCCAATGCCGAATACAAACCCGAATGGCGACTTCCCCCAGGGGAGTAATTTGAAAATACTACCAGTATGAGTAGTAGTACCACGGCCTTCATGTTTACCCTGACGCCCATCCATCGCAGCAATTTTCGGTGCTCCATTCCAAGGTTGGTGACGATCGGACTATTTATCTTCGCGTGAACAATCTACCCACACACTCACTGGATGAATCCCATCATCGGCAGTGCTATATTTGGTACTGGGTACGTAATATTGACCAAGTAAGGTTTATATAGCCCCGAGTGACCAATTCAAAGACGATTTTGGTGTATTCAGGCATCTTCACGTTCCTGGTGGATGCATACCCTTCCTACGCGGCTAGTGCCTTGGCGGCTAACAGCTTCGCCCGATCTGCGTTCGGAGGCGTTTTCCCACTATTTGAGGTCCAAAGTAATTATTTACTTCAAGTTTCTCGTGTTTCTCCGATGCTTTTCCATTCGACAGATTTGCTTCAGTGTACAATTGACTAGGCTATCATTGGGCTACTAGTCTACTTGCACGTCTCACTTTAATGATGCTTCCTTTTCCGCGAGTTCCCTTCAAGCCGCCCCCATAATTGGTCATCAATTCACTGAATAATTTTCGAAAGGTATATCTTTTACATATATGGACCAGAACTTCGGCAGAAGAGCAGATTTACAAAGGCTAGATAGTCCTTGAGACCACTCAATTTCATCTCTTTTCGATCCATGTATCTTGGGCTACCCTAAGGTAGTCATACTTGAGTGGGGTTTGCGATGAAACAGCGCTCATGAGAGGAGATGCCAGTGTCAGGCGGCTCGTCTTGTTTGAAGTTTGTTTGAGAGATTATGTAGTTTGAACCGAAGCGCGTGTCTGCAACTTGAAAATTCTAGAGCATCTCTAACAGATGAAGACACGTACCTGGGTTTTGGCCCCTGTTTCGCCCCCATCTCACCCCTATCCGTTTCGAGCCGACCAATGTTACAGTGGAGAAGCGCGAGAACTAACTCCCTCAAGGCGGGATCTTCTTTCCGAACTGGTCAGTAGGAATAACAAACTCCTGTCAATTCTGCCGATCACTGATCCAGGTATAGGAAGGATGTTTCAGATTGTTGACTACATTATGGTCTCTGATTGGTCCGATTACTCTGTTAGTCCAGAACAGTTCCATGATTTACCCTGCGCCACATGGCGGGTGGATCGGTGTCTCTGATCTCTAATGCCCTCGATTCAATTGTGTTCGTGAGTGTTCTGTTTTCCTTTTTGTATACGGAGTAGAGTCTCTTATAATTTTTCTATTAGTATTGCCATCACTAAACAGGGAGCGTCTCAAATGTTTCATACAACTAACTAGGGCGAAAGACTGAATTTTCAAGTTTCGAAATTTAAGATTGGGAGTTTGTGAGCCTTGGCCAGTTCATGGGAAAGTCGTACGGAGTAGAGTCCCTGATAGTCCAATCAAAACAGTCCAATCGACCCAAAACAATGGAATTATGTTTAGACCATGAGCCCACATCGTACGGAGTACATCCTATGTGCAGATGTGGGTTTAGCTGCCCCCGCCAGCCCGATTTTTCGAGCTCACATTGGTCATGGCAAATCAACCGACGGGATTTTGGGAGGATCCAGCAAACTTAACACTGGAAGGCCTCCTCGCCCTAAAGACTCCAACCAACCACCAATTCTACCTAGGCTGGGCACTAACGGAGAAATTACGTGCTCCTAGGAGGACTTACTGCGCCCGAGGAGGGTTTCAAATCGATCTTTAGCTTTAAAGTGGGGCATTTCCATGGCCCCAAAATCGATCATTCCAACCGACCTGCGAACGTTAACTACAATTGCAAATTTCAGTATCGCTTTTGCAATAGTACCAATTGGCTTCTATATAGAGCTCACAAATCGGCTATTTCAATACTCTATAATTTCACCCCTCAATATCATCTGTCTTGGTTACCAGTTTTGAAGAAGTTTGCCCAGGCGTACATGAGAGATTGGAATTTTCAATTGACCAGGGTCAAGGCCAACAATCCTATCATCGAGAAGTACCTGTTTTGGCCCCAGACCCACCGTTCTAGACCACATTGATTCAGATTCAAGCAGTAGTGTGATCCTGCTGGATTTCCCTCTTCTCCTCTCCATTCTCATTCCACTTGCTCTCCCAGTGCCTCAAGGACACGTCGTTCGACCCCTGCTATCGCCATGCCGTCCCAGGCGGAGGATGCAATCCGCACCATTTCGGCTTCGGCTACACAACTCGGCAACCAAATCTCGGTTCACATGCTGAACTATCTCAGCACTACTCAGCAGTTGCCAGATGGATTTCGCGAACTGTCGCACACGTTCCTGGACACCTGTCGCACTCTGTGGGCCATTGAAACCGGAGTGACTGAATTGACCGCCGCCAACCGAGCCTTGCCGGAGGTTATCATCGACGAAGTGGAAAAGAAATTCGTTGTCGCATACCGCGAATTCCAACAATTGGACAAGGTCATTTTGAAACTCGTTCAATATGAACATCGCGGAACACTGGGGAAACTCCAGCGGGGATGGCATCGCCCGGCGCATGAGCTGAAGCGCATCCACGAGTCCTTGAAGAAGACAAACGAAACCCTCCAGATCAGCGGCATGGCATTCCATTGGTCCCTGGGAGAGGTACAGCCGGAGGAATCGGTGGGCATTGGGTATGCTAGTCTGGCTGCTGCGCTTGACCGCATCTCCAAAGGCCGCTCCATCATGGGAATAAACAAGGTTGCGTCTTCTGAAAACAGCGGGCCTGGGCCATCTCTGCGGACTCAATCGTTTGAGTCTGATGGCTCTTCGCCCTCTGTGCCCTCAAAGGATGTCTCGCCGCTTCGGAGTGCACCTAGGGAGTACCAACATGAAGAGCCTAGCCAAGAAAGTTCTCCTCGACAGGACCGCGGCAGTTACGGGGACGATGTATCGTCGATTCTGTCTCTTAATCAGTTCCTGAGTTCGCAACCTGGACGCGAAACTCATACAATTGCCCCACACGAACAACGAACAATGTCATATCGACCAGCCAAGACAAGTGCCCCGGCTTCCGTGGCCAGTATACGACAGGAGGCCGAATCAGATACCTTGCCACCTCGGTTATCCAGCAAGATTGGGGGTGGGAGTACATCGACGATTCGAAATAATCTGTCATCGGCGATGAGAGAGCGCGATCATACATCAATCGAGCAGCTTTTGAAAAGCGGAGTGTCGCCAGATAAGGAGGGCGACTTCTATCCACTCCACGAGGCCGTGAACCAACGTGATATCGAAAGCGTGCGGCTATTACTAGCATTCGAAGCCAATCCCAATCTCGCCGAGCCACAGGGAAAGACGCCCCTCCTCTTGACTGTGGAACAGGGATTCGTGGATGGGGCCATACTATTGCTGAAACATGGTGCTGATGCAAACTACCGCGCAAACGAGAAGCAGGATTCTCCTCTGAGCTGCTGCATTAACAAAAGAAACATCAAGCTCGCACAGTTCATGCTCTCTCACGGCGGAAATCCAAATGAAGAAACGCCCAGCGGAACAACATTATTGATCGATCTAATCCGCAAGCAAGCCCCGGAACAACTGATTCAGGTCTTGCTTGAAGCCGGCTGCGATCCCGATCGCAAAGACAATCACGGCAAGACAGCGCTCTGCGAAGCAGTGCATGACGACCAACCAGGAACCGTGACAATCCTACTCGATCACCACGCAAACCCAAACCTCCCGGGTCCCGAACACGCTCTCTGGCCCGCGGTCTATCGCCCAGCCTGTCTACGCATCCTCCTCGCCCGGGGCGCCGACATTCGCAAAGCCCCCGGAATAATGGAGCAAGCGACAAGCGTAAACAACATCGACGCAGTCCGCGTCCTACTCGAAGCCGGCATAGACCCAAATTCCAAAAAAGACGGAATATACACCCCGCTCTGCTCCGCCATCCGCGACGACCGCCCAGATATAATCACCCTCCTCCTCAGTCACGGCGCCGATCCAAATCTGATGGCATCAGAGTATCCAGCATGGAAATGCATCACTCATAACCGCCTCAGGTTCCTCCCAGAATTGATCGCTGCAGGTGCTGATCTGCACAATCCCCCAGGCATAGTCGAATGCGCAGTCCAACTCAACAATTCAACCGCAATGCACTGGCTCGTCGAAGAAGGCGGCGCCAACCCAAATGACCGCAACGCATCAGGCCACACAGCCGTAACCACAGCAATCCGCGACAATCGACCCGAGGTCCTAGAATGGCTGCTAGCGCACGGCGCAGATCCGAATATCCGCGGCCAGGACTGGCCCATATACATGGCCGTTCAGTCGCCAGCGCTATTACGGCTGCTCTTGCCGGGCATCAAGGATCTAGCCGCGCACAAGGGGGTCATGGAGAAAGCGGTTCAGGCGAATCATCTCGAGAACGTGAAGCTTCTCTTAGAAGCTGGCGCGAATATAGAGTGGAAGAATGGCGGTGTGTTTTCTCCGCTGACGACGGCGCTGCGTGAGCGGCATGCGGATATTGTCCAGTTTCTTCTCAGTGAAGGTCGTGCTGATCCAAATGCTCCTGGTGAACATCTTCCTCTTGTCAAGGCGATACGTCGCTGTGATGACGGAGACTTCTCCATGATTGAATTACTCCTCGAGAAAGGCGCCGATCCTAATAAATGTTATCGTGACTGGAATGCTATTATGCAAGCTATCGAAAATCGAGATCTCAAGTTGTTGGGCCTGTTGATTGAGAAGGGTGGTTCTGTCGATTTGGAGAAGACGGATGAGACGGGTCAGACGGTTCTGGGGATGGCGGAGGCTTCCGGCTGGCCGGAGGGAGTTCAGCTTTTGATTGACAATTCTCGCAAGTGATACCTTTTCTTTGTTTGTCTTTTGTTTCGTTATTTTGATCTTGGGGGTCGGGACATGTATACCTCTAGGTTTTCTTTTGTCAAGTTGGGATAAAAGGAGGTAGGTAGGTAATATTTAATGCCCAGGGGAGGGGTCAGCTTTGCTGATCTCAGAACTCCGTTGGGTTACAGGGGCATGTCTAGGTTAGCTAACTATTTAGATACGTAGCTGTTTTTCTTAGATATGGGACAAATTCGTCTATCAGACAGTTCAAATGCTGTCACATATAACAGCCTAATGCTTTTCCGGTTAAATGTTAAGTAATTTGGTGATCAAGTTACACAGTAAAGGTATACGTAGTATAATTTTTGGTTAGTTACCTAGTAGCACACGGCAATGGTATACTAGTATAAGTTGAGGAAACACTGAATATGTATAGCAGGTCAAGCATACACAGCAAGGGTAGATGTATTCGCGTGGCACGAATCAAAGAAGCGGGCAGTTGATTGAGGAGCAAAAAAAGAGAAAAAAAGATATGACAAGAGTGGGATTCGAACCCACGCCCCGGAGGACTGCGGAATATAGAGATCACCATAAGGTGATAACCTAAACACAGCACCTTAGACCACTCGGTCATCTTGCCCAAAACGGTAGATAGTTTTGCTATTCCTCG